ATATGCATGTTAACAGGGCACGTGGCATATGAATCTATCGGTAGAGACGTTTCAGTTCCCGTATGTGTGAGAAAGAAAAAGATGCCGGCATCGTTGTCTCGTTTTATATAATTTTAAACGCATTTATTATAGATTAATTTACCAATTCTCTAAATTGCTAATTTATGTCTGCATGGGCAGAGACTAATTTAAATAACTCAGTCAGTGCTTCAGTCGATCAGACTACTTTATGACGACTCAACTGCTGAAATTAGAAAATAAATTCCATTTATTGCAGCTGAAAATGGCAAGAAGCTGACGGGCCACCTCATGGAAAGAGATAACCATCGCCTAAAGTTTATAGACATGAACAGCACTATGCAGATCACGAAATATTTATGATATGATGCTCGTGATATCCTTCATACATCGCTGTTCCTGAGGTCTATGACGTACAGTTAAAATTATTGTCGTAACACACAGGCAAGAAATGAGCTATTTTTAGAAATTCTAATGATTCCGTTTAAATATAAGATGAAAACTGGCTTTTTTGGAAAGTTTTCGATGAGAAATTTATACAAGTACATATCTTAGTACTTATTTAATTTATTTGGACGCGACATCCTAGTTTTCCAACTTATATAGAGTTCACGAAATAAGTAATTGTTTTTTATCGGAAAGCTCTTTATTACTATTGAGAATAACATGCCGAACTCCCTGCGGTATTAGAAATATTATGATAGAGATATTTTTACTAGGTATATCGGAAATTGGTGTTTGTTTATTTCAACCTATTAAATATAAAGAGAGGACGGAATTTGTTTATATGTTTGCAATCTGCTGGCACCGTTTATATTTAGTTATATTTTTAAAACACAAAAATATTTCGTGATTCGTTTGAAGTCTACATAATATCTACAAAATAGGTACTAATTAACTTTTGTATTTAGTTAGGTGGGATGATATCTAATCTTACTATGAGCATTTATGGGACGTAATCTAAAGACAGAATGTATTATACCTAAATTTAAATATATATGGCTTTTATCATCGTATCTAGGTTAAAAATTAAATTATAATTAGAAGTCATAGTGTGGCGGTAGGTACGTGCACCTTCAGAACTGTAAAGTAGGTACCGTCTTCTGACTAAATTTTATTGTTATATTAAATAAAACAATTCGAAGATTGTACGTAACTATACCTATAAATATTCATTACTTATTTAAAGTCAAATTTTCAAAAATTCTTTTTATACTGCTCATCAGTATTTTATAAAATATACCTAGTCAGTAAAAATTTAGTAATCTACTATGTCTAGATTATATATTTTATTATATAATTGTTTCTAAAGTGTCGCTGTTTAAATTGTGCATTCATCAATCAGTCAGAGTTTTAAATAGAAGATAAGTCCTTCGTGATAATAACAATAAATTATGGAATAATTTTCCAAATTCGCCTACCTATGGTGCGCAGGGAGTTGATCCATTAGAGATAATTGGATCGGTGTCCGCAATATTGTACCGATATAATGTGGTACTTGTCGTTCTATTGTCCCTTGTAGAACAAGGACAATCAATCATGCTTGGTGTGGACGACAGCTGCCCCACCGCGACATATTACGGATACCTATAGACATCTACTTGAATTATGTGCCAATTAGAACATATTTACCTAACAGAAGGAGGTTAGGCGGATTTACCATTTCATTATCATCCATTAACAAATAAACAAAAGGAGGTTCTGTTAGGTGGAAAAGAGAATCGTTAGTAATGGGTCGACTGTTACATGGGTCCCACTGGAAACCGTCGTGGTTAACACTTATAGATTCATTACGATGAGCTAACTGACCTGTTTTCATCGCCTATCATCCCTCAGTGGTGTCCCGCTAGCGTATACTGATAGCGCAGGCGGGCTTACCATTAAATTATTATGCATTAAAAAACAAAAACTGATATACCAAAGACTTCGGTGGAAGGTAAGGAAAGGCTTGTTAGCTATGGGCATAATATACTCTATCATCTATATCTTGTAAACAATAAGTTGTGTCGTAATAATAAAACGTGACAAACATATAAAATATAATATACATATAAATATAAAATTCTCTGTAGACTTATTTATCTTACTAATATAAAATTGTAACTAGACGATGTCTGTCCATAGGCGATATTTATAAAACAATAATATGAGGGGTCTTAATAAGATCAATAGATGCCAAAACAATATTTTTTTACAAATTTTGTCCGTTCGTCTAATGACTGACCGTTTGTCTGTCCGTTTGTTTGTCTGTTTGTTTACCTGTCTATTTGTAGGTTTGTTCTCGCATCACGTCTTCCTGATGGTTTAACTAAAAAACTGGAGTAGGTAAGTTTAAATTTAATACTTTATTTAAAAGTGGTCTATTTCATTAATAATGGCCCTACTTCTGGAACCCACGTGTACGAGTACTAAGTAGTAAGGGAAAAAACTAGTACTATATACAAAGTGGAAGGGACAGGTTGGCCAAAACGAATACAGCTGATTCCGAAGAATGGTCTGAATCAGATAGCAGATTATTTTCCCACCAGGAATGCACCACAGTCACATAATTAATAATTCTTAATTTTGACGCCGCGCAGTGTTTGTAATTTTGCAATCCACACGCCGCATGATTCCTACAAGGCGCACTCAATAGCGCTTTTTCGTAGGTAGTTTTCGTACGCTTGAGACGTTGACCTTCTACAGCTGATTCCGCGCATCGTAGTAGGATTTTAATACGTGTTTTGAATGAAAAACTATCTAGCTCAGTAACAAAAAACAACATTATGTCTATGATTCCGCAGGAATTTGAAGTGTATTTTATATCTTTTCATACTAATAAACAGTAAAGGTGTTCAGTAACAGTAAACAATGAAAAATCTTTCTCGAAATACATGGGTAACAATAAGATTCATAATCGATCTTTTCAAAGTACTCTCCACCAGCCTCTATACAAAGTTTTATGCGTCTAAACCAGTTTTCGAAACACTTTTTCCAGTCCGCCGCAGACACCTCGTTCACAGCCTGCTCGAACGCTGAGAGCGCATTATCCGTCCACGAAAATTGTATCCTTTTGAGCTGATTTTTTATTTTTGGGAATAAAAAGAAGTCTCTCAGTATATGCTGAATCTCTTCTCTATGTACGATTCGTCCGCTTTCAGGTGACACTTAAAATAGTAAAAAATCATAGCGCGAAAATGTTCTCGACGCAAATCTATTATTCAGTGAGACACGGTAATTTTAATTAGCTCGCAAAAAATGTGGAGGGAAGTTTTACAAAAGTCGTTTGCTTGGGTACCTCTGTCCCATTCGTGTTTCAACCATAAAGCAGTTGTGTTTGCATGGCTGTGTTTCGGTTTGAAGGGTGGGATATGGCGTGAATTTATAGGGTGCAGAGGAATAACACCTGAGTCCTCAGGAATGGCAACGTATGGGGGGTATCATGGGCAAAACAGTATACTCTGTTATGTCCATGATACTGCTCATTGTCTATGGGTGACGGTTACCACTTTCCATCAGGTGGTTCCATCTTACGCACCGATGAACATCAGCCATTGGGAGTCGAGTAAGGCGCTCGATGTTGGTTTTGATATTGCAAAGGCATTTGATCGGGTCTGGCATCGGGGTCTTCTATCGAAATTGCCCTACTATAGACTTCCCGACAGCCTTTGTAAATGGGTCGCCAGTTTTTTATCCGGCAGACATATAAAAACCATTGTAAATGGTTGCTGCTCCAATAGCATGGGTATTAATGCTGGCGTCCCGCATGGCTCTGTGCTGTCCCCAACGTTGTTTCTGCTGCATATGTTAACCTTTGGTGACATTCATTGTTATGCGGATGACAGCACTGGGAATGCCCATTATACCAATGTCCCTCGTTCCATTGTGGAGAACAATCGTGAACAGCTTGTGTCTAAAATCAAGAGAACGTTAACTGGAGTCTCTGATTGGGGACGACAAAACTTGGTCCAATTTAACCCCTCTAAGACACAAGCTTGCGCGTTCACCGCTAAAAAAAATCATTTGCTGTGGCCCCACAGTTTCAGGGCACGTCTCTTAACATCTCTAAAAGCATTGGGATCCTTAGTGTCGACATCTCTGGTGACTTACAGTTCCGTGTCCACCTCTAAGATAAGGTGAAACTGGCATCCAAAAAACTCGGTGTGCTTTACATATCACTGGATCAGCGATTAATGTTCTACAAATCGCAAACCCGGCCCTACATGGAATATTGCTGTCACTTATGGGCGAGAGCACCTAGATACCAGCTTGAATCCTTCGACTCAATGCAACGACGAGCTATAAGAATTGTCGATGATTCCAGGCTTGCAAGCGGTATTGAACTTTTAAGTCTTAGAAGAGATTTTGCCTCACTCTGCGTGTTCTACCGCTTGTACAACGGATTGTGCTTAGAGTAATTATTCAATATGATGCCTGCGACCATTTTCTCTCATCATACGGCTCGCCATCGACAGGGAGTTCACCCTCGTACCCTACAGTCTAAATGGTCGCGTACAACGCGGTTTCAGAGATGTTTTCTCCTACGAACACTCAGGTTATAGAATGAGCTCTGTGCCCAGGTTTTCTCAAGAGACCACAGCAAAGGGTTCTTCGAAAGGGGAGGTAAAGAGGTTTCTTCAGAGTCGGCAATGCGCGCGTAATACCTCTGGCACAGATAATATAATACTATACTAGCCTCTGGTATTGCAGGCTTTCATAGGATACGGTAACCGCTTATCATCAAGTGGGTCGTATGCTTGTTTGCCACCTCAGTGGTAAAAAAAATATATATATAAAAAAGGGAAAACATAAAACTGAAAATTATTCTTAGTAAATAAGTGTTTATATTAGAGCGAGCACTGCGTTTGAACACGTTCCGTTAGAGTAATATATTTTAATTTTGCCTTCGATCGACTGGACTAATAGTCGCGTTTGACAGATCAATCGCGATCTACCGGTTGGCTACCCTGAATGTATGTTATCTATGCATACTGGGTATTTGAGTTAAAGATTTATGAATAGTTTGAGTTTGTATTCGAGTCATCTTTAATTGGCCATATCGCTAGTCATTAGTCATTTAGATTAGATAGATTACGAAATAATAGCGAGAAGTCAAAGTACTAAGTAGTCTGTAAAAGTCTACAGTAGTCTCTCTAATCGAGTGTCATTTAATTTTTTTTGTTTGATAATTATTCATTAAATATAATTTAAAATTAAATAAAAGTGTTAACTTCTACTGTAAAAATTAAATATTTTGCATAGTCAGTGTTTAGATTTACACTGTATTTTTTAATTTTCTAAGGAACTGATATAATAAAATTTGTGCTTAAATATTATTTTAAAAATTTATCTCTTATAAAAATGATTTCGGTTTCTATTAATAATAACATAGTATCGGGACCGGAGGAGCAGCTCATTCCGGCCCATTTGTCTTATGGACAGTACATGTATGACCAACTAAAAAAAGGAGGAAATGAAATTGCATTGGTGAGTACATTTATTTTGTTTATTTTTTATATTAAGGATAACAACAGCCTTAACAGTCCTAGGCCAATAACAGTTATACATATACATATTACTAGTGGGTACTACAATAGGTTTACACCAATACTCTTCAGAGCAAGGTTTGTAAAAAAAAATTAAATATAAAGTGTATGAATAAAATGTATTAATGTACAAAGATTTGTATGCATGTGTATGTGCATTATATATGGTTGTGTATACATACATATTCACAACATCATTACATTAATTTATATCAATCAAATTATTCCTCTTAATTATATCCCACAGAGGTAACAGACGCCTGTAATACTACATTTAAATAAAATCACAAAGAAAATTTTTAATACAGTTAAAAAAAATAATTAAATGTGAGTTGTGAAAAGTAATTTAAAAAAATGTCACATAAGAATTGAACTCACATGGTATATTTATATGATTATATATGGAAGGTTTTATATATAATTATATATAATAAATATAAGTTAAAATGGCCTTGATTGCTTTCTTATATAAAAAAGGTATTTAATATTTATATTTGTTAATAATACTACAAATCATAATTTCTTACTTAGGGTTATAACTGCCTTTAAACAAAAAAAAAGAACTTCAGAGATAAGTATTTTTTCATTTACAATAATAACTAAAAAACTACCTTCTTATATTAAATAATCAATTACTATCTACTTTCTTCTGAGATAAGCCAGCATTTTACTGAGGTTTTTTTTTTTAAATAGATGACCCTTGCATGGTATCACTGAGGTATAATGTGTGAGATTAAGTTTCTTTGCCATAAATTCATCATGATTATTAATCTGACCAACCTGTAAGGGTATATTGCTAGCAGCTAGATCCCAGCTTGTCAGTACTAATAGTAATACTAGTTCTAATAAAAACTGCCTAAATGGCAGCTGATACCCACATTAGATATTCTATGATTACTATAAATAAAATTTTTAATCCATATTTACACACAGAAATAATACAGGAAGATTGCATCTTCAGAATCGGCATTGTATGATTAATATTACATAGGTGTCACAGTGTATTCTGTGCTGTCCATGGTGCTTTTTATATTTATACATGACAATTAGTTACTGTTAGCTAATCTATTATTCAAAGATGCCACTTTGGAGATAAATTATTATTATTAGTTGAAAACTATGCCATATAAAAATAAATTAAAAAATTGTTTTAAAGTAAATATCTTACCCCACATGGTTTAATAAGTTTATTTAAAAAATTTGAACCACCAAACAAAGAAAACAAAAATGTAATTTTTAATTACATCCACTGCAATATGTATGGACCAATGATGTCTAAAACTATTCTAAACTTCAAATCAATAGCATTAATATTTGCTAAAAGCTATAGCAGTGTCACAGATGACAAAGTGACACTATTATCTGGGGCGGCTCCACATAAGTGCTCTTATGAAAGTTTAATATGAATTGTACATATAAACTTTTTGTAAGAATATCTAAATGGGAGACATACACATATTAAAATCTTTTGTATGGTATAATTAGAAAATGGAAAATAAATATAGGATGAGTTAGAGGCAGAACTTTTTAAACATATTATTATAATGGTTACAGGTCTCAGCAGAAACTTCAGAATCTGTTACATATAGAGAACTATTAGAGAACAGTGTGAGTGTAGCTGTTGAATTACAAAAATTGGGTTTGAAGAAAGGGGATCTAGTTAGTCTTAGTTGTGAAAATCGTTTTGAATTTGTGCCTGCTGCCCTAGGTGTTATATTCAGTGGTGGTATACTGTCAACTTGGAACATCACATATTCAACAGGTGTGTTTTAAATATTATTTTTGTTTATATTAAAATATTAGTTCTTTGAGAGGGTTTTATTCATTATTTTAAATTATAGTACATTTTTTTTTATACAACTTAGAATGGCAAACAAGCTGACGGCCCACCTGATGGAAAGTGGTAACCGTTGCCTAAAGGCATAAGCAGTACCATGAAAATAACAGAGTATACTGTTTCACCCATGATACCCCCCATGCGTTGCCATTCCTGAGGACTCAGGTGTTATTCCTCTGTACCCTGTAAATTCACACCATATCCCACCCTTCAAACCGAAACACAGCCATGCAAACACAACTGCTTCACGGTTGAAACACGAATGGGACAGAGGTACCCAAGCAATCGACTTTTGTACAAAGTCTCCCTCTGGTAGATAGTGTATACATAGTCTTAATTTGCTCCCATTTTACAAAATTCGAAATCATAGGAGGAAACTTCTTTAATGATTGCATTTTTGGTATCAGTATCGATTACTAATCACCCCCTGATAGTTATTTTGAAAATATATATCATGTACAGGATCGACCTCTCTACAGATTTATTATAAGTATAGATTTAGAATCAATCACAGACAACATGTGTTACCTTTACCTGCCATTAATATTTAAGTAGTTATTAGAACCGTTTGTGGAATAAATTAACAAATATCACACATGGACCTCCCCTAAAATCATATAAATCATCAAAAAGAATTGAATACGATATTATCTGATTATGAGATTAATATATTTATTTCAGCTGATATGGCTAACTTATAAATTTAATTGATGTTGTTACACAAGATAAAAAGATATGGCAGGTTCATAGCTTGATAAATAATAAATGGTAACATAAAATGTTTATAGTACTTTGCACTTAAATAAAATGATATGTGTAAACAATAAGTTTCAAGGCCTCATTAAATTTATGTGCCTATATTTATTTTGGCCTGTATACCGGTACGGTATCCATTAAGATTGAATATGGGCTTGCAAAGTTCACAGTACAAAATATCAGGGGCTTGATTTACGTTAATTAACATATTTGTTAGAAGCTAGGCGAAGAGACTGAGGTGGACAAAGCCTGTGAACGTAGCCTCCCTCAATGTCTTCTACCGCTTAGTGCGTGAGAAGTTCTTAGAAGAACTTTATTCCCTTCTTCAACCTTCCCCTTTCCGATATCGTACAAGGGTGGGCCAGTAACTAATCTGTACACGGTAGATCGCCGCGCTCGTCTACATATAAGGGTATTAACTTTTACGTGAACTGTACCATAACCATGTGAAAAGTGATCTTTCTCGAGAAGTGATTCCATCGACCTTTACCGCGGATCCGATATAAGAGCAATGGAAGCCAAGCAAAATTTTTTTAAAATGTTTAGTCTCTGTCTGTCTGTTTCATCGTTTTACCATCACTAAAAAACTAATTCACCAAATTGATTGAAATTTTCCCAGTTGTTTCTTAAGTTCTAACTTAATTTCTGGTGTAAAACATACATCTTGATAGGTCTTTTTTTTTTGTTAGGTGAAAATGGTATGGTAACCCCGCCTGCGCTAACGGGATACGCTGGCGGACCATCAGTGAAGAGTGATCGATGAGAATGAAAACAGGCCAGTTAGCCCATCATGATGAATTCATCTGGAATTAACCATGATAGTTTCCAGGGGGAACCGCGAGGAGGTCGACCTGGTTGGGTATATTGCTAGCAATGGGATTCTCAGTCTCCATTACTAACAATCCCTTTCCCCCTGATAGGCCATTTAGAATTGGTTATTAGTTTTCTTATATAAAATAAATTTTTCTAGACGTAATTATAATCTATACATTGCAGATATGATGAGAGATTTTAATAATAGCAATATTAGCCAAAATAATATTTTTTTAAATTTTTGTCTATATGTGTATATTCCTGATGACATGAAATTGAATGCTCCTTTCATGATTATGTATTAACGCAAAATTAGGAGGCCAATTCTCGTTCAATTGTACGTTTTATTTTAATACGCCATCTAGAAGTGATAGGTTTTTTTACGTGAATAGCGATATGAATATTTCATGAATATCTTTTTCTAAAAAATGTTAGAGTATTCAAGTAAAACAACTTATTTATTTCTTCCAGGGGAATTGGTACATTTATTACATATAACGAAACCTAAATTTATATTTGTGTCGCCAATTACCGCTCTGAATATTCAAGAAAGTTGTAAAGAGGTGCCTTACGATATTAAGCTTATATTATTTGGAGAAGATGAAGTAATACCGGCACTCATGTATAATAATTTAATTAAGTTGAAAGTTAATGTGGACGATTTCACTTTGACGGATGTGAATGGGAAAGAGGACCCTGTTGCTGTGATGTGCTCGTCGGGAACTACCGGATTGCCCAAAGGAGTTATGCTTACGCATGTAAATTTCCTCACCCTAACTCAACATATGAGGTGAGTTTAAATTGCAGTGTTCGATTTTGTTTTTTTTTTTTTTTTTTTTTTTAATACAACATAGACTGGTAAACAAGTCAGTTTAATATATGGTGACACACATAATACTCATATGACATAGTGACCTCATATGGTCCTATTCTTGAGGACCAAGATGTTAAGCTTCCGTAACTTGTGATTTTATTGGAGATGCTTTGAGTGCAATCAATTGTATTTATGAAACTTGCAGTTTCCCAATTGTCTTATAACAAATCAAAAATGTTTAAATCAATACATAAAACATTTAATATAGATTAATGAACAAATAAAAGGCTGATTATGCTGTTATCAGTCTATCAGCCAAGATTAGGAAATTTATATACAATAAACATTTTACAATTAAGTATATATTATTATATAATAAATACTATTATTATATTTAATGTTTTATATTTTAGTATAGGTAGGTGTATAACGACACTTAACTGCCAATATTACCTAATATGGACATAATTTTACAGGAAACAGGAAATATTCTGAATTCCGAATTTATTTCACATATAATTAAACCGAAACATAGTTGATTTTAAGACAAATCCTTGCTAATATAATAAATATGAATGTGAGTTTGTTTGTTAACTCTTATCGCCATAACGGCTCAAGCAATTATCATGAAATTTAGTATAAGTACTATTTGAGATGAAGAAGGACATAGGCTACTATTTACCCCGGTCATGCCGACGGAGTCACGGGTTAAAGCTAGTTCTCAATATATTGATGTACAAATTATTTTCCTATGTAACACAGATAATAAGATATCTAAATTAAAAAAAATACAACTGTTTTATATATCAGTTAGATGGTGGTTAAACGCTAATAACTACGGTTTCATGTTTTTAATTCCATTTATAGATTTTATTATGACGCATCCAAATTGAAAGGAAAACATGATATAATTAATGCACTATCACTCATCCCGTGGTTCCACGCGTATGGATTTATCACGACCATGGCCACTATCGCAATGCACAAGAAAATCGTGTTTTTAATACGCTTTGATGAAAAGCAATTCCTGGAGACAATCCAAAATTACAAGGTAACTGAGCAATGTATTAAGTATCACATGTTAATTTGAAGACGAAAATTTATATTTGTCTAATTTAATTATACACAAACCATTGTCTCGTGTTTAATTTTCTTTTAAAATTTAAAAACGTAAACATATTATGTATTGTTTGTATCTATAAATTGTCTGTGCCAACATTTTCACATGTAGATATTTTCCGATATTTAAATGGTTAGTATTCAATCACGTTTAAACGGCTGAACGGATTTGAATAAAATTTAATACACGGATGAATTGATGGTATCATGGGCGACACAGTATACTCAATTATGTCCATGGTACTGTTCATGTCTATAGACACGATTACCACTTCCCATCAGGTGGGCCGTCAGCTTGTTTGCCATTCTTAGTTGCATAGAAATAGATATATATTAATTTACTTCTTTTCCGCTGTTGATCCAAGTATATCAAGCTGCTGCTATGTAAATTTAATCAGCATATATATTGCCCTAGCTCTGAATATAACGGTGATTCTAAGCTAGGTAATACTGCCAAATTTAGTTTCTTTTTTTTTTTTTAATAAAAATTAGATAAACGCGACGACCATCGTACCACCACTAGCCGTTTTCCTGGCGAAGCATCCGCTTGTACCAAAATATGACTTGTCATCACTCAACGAGGTGTGGTGCGGAGCTGCCCCACTATCAAGTGAAATACAAAGAGCCATTTCTAAAAGGTACGTAATAATACTGTGTGTAAAATAATTTGTACATTTTACAGAAGTTTCATTTTTATCACAACCCATAAAGTCCCACTTATCCACATGTACTTCATAACAGACGATATGAAGAAATTATAGTTTTTTTTTTTAAATTATCGAGTATTGATATGTTATAGTTGTTTTTTTTTTTACAATGGTGACTGGTGAGTCTAGAAAGCAGATAGCGAGACTTGTGTTTGTATATTGTAAAAATTCAATATGGCAGACGAGAGGAAAACTTCATGTTATTTAATAATTTTATGTTACAATATCCATTATATCTGTTATGTCATGATTTCGATAAGTCGAAGTACAATATGACGCATGTTGGTCTCTAATACGATTAAACATAATAAGATAAATAATATGTTTGAAAGCAGTAATAATTATGATAAATGCCTCCAGATAACAACACTTATTGCTTATAAGTAATAAATTCCCTCTTATAAACAAATACAGTGAAACCATTCAAGCCTCCCTCCCCCTACCCTTTTCAGATTGAACACTGGGCTGGTTGAAAAGCTTACACGCTACGCAGGTCTCAAGCATAGCGCTTCCTACAGACTTCTTTTTAATTTGGACGCATGGGAATGTAGCATAACATGTAAATATGTTCAATCGAAATTAAATACACCCGACTAACTTTTTCATTTCTCTGTATAATATTTTATACTAACCTCTAATTATTTAATGCATCATATTTAATACAAATACTTAACGAAATTTGCAGGACTGGCTTAAACTTCATTAAACAAGGTTACGGTTTAACTGAGGTAACCATGGCATGTTGTGTCGATTTAACTGGTGGGGAAAAAATAGGCTCCTGTGGAACACCAGCTCCTGGCATGAAAATAAAAGTAATTATAACTCTTGCTTACTTGTGTAAGGCCTTATGATATTTAAGTCTAAAACCCTACTATTACTCCATTTTTGTTCTCAATCATATACCCATTACCTGGAATGTGTTAGGTAATAATAATAATGGCTTTTTATTCTTAAGGCATATGGTGAAGGTCGCAAATTGTAGCTATATAGATTTTTGCATATAATTTACTTAATATAATACTAACCTAACCTAGCACTAAAGTAATATTTTAATAATGAAATGTCTAATAATGTTTTAATAATGAAATAAGTGTTTTTAATGATAGTGTAAATGAAGATATATTCGACCCAACCAGAAACAGTCTGCTGATGTCCAATAATAGTACTAATAAAAATCGACTAATTGATTGAATGGTTTGGTTAGTTACTAATTTCATTTGGAGACTCTTTCTGTAATAATTTCAACAAAACTTAATTACCTTTTTATTAAATTTTATTAAAACGGACAGTAATATCAATCTGTTATGTATTGTTTGTCATATCATACAAATTATAAATTTAGTACAAAATATTAGAATAGATTTAAGTACATATAAATCAGTCTGAAAGACTAAATAAAGATACATTTCAACTGTTATCCTAGGAATTTCGTTTGGTTTTACAAATACTACTGCTGGGTCTTAGAAAAGAATTATTTTAGTTATAAGACATACCACGAAATTACATTATCTTCTATATGAGGTACCTCTGTCCCATTCGTGTTTCTACCGTGAAGCAGTTGTGTGCATGGCTGTGTTTCGGTTTGAAGGGTGGGATATGGCGTGAATTTACAGAGTACAGAGGAATAACACCCGAGTCCTCAGGAATGGCAACGCATGGGGGGTATTATGGGCGAAACTCTATAATGTATATGGTACTGAATAATACTGTAACGTAAATTTAGAGCTTTCCGTACTAACAAATTATGAACTTGGCTGAATCTCTCCATGAAGATATAAAGAAACATAAAAATAGTGTCCTTATAGTCACCTTGTAGGCGCCAAAAAATATATAGCCCGTTTAAAAGTATTTTTATTTAAATAGGTATTGGACATAGAAAGTGGACAAAAATTAGGACCTGGCAAAGAAGGGGAATTATGGATCAAATCCCCGTTGACTATGAAAGGCTATATGGGTGATAAAGCAGCGAGCGAGGCCCTCTTTGATAGCGAGGGCTATGTGCGGACTGGTGACATTGGGTATTATGACAAAGATGGATTCTTTTACATTGTAGACAGACTTAAAGAGCTTATCAAATACAAAGGATTTCAGGTGAGATAAACATAAGATTTAATAGATATTTTTAGACAATAGAATGGTATTCCTACAAATATCGAATAGGGAGCAAAACACGTAGTACATATTAAATTCATAATTTATCGACATTTTTTAACAGACTAAACGACTATTTGGTTGATAGCACAATATCTAAAATGTCTAATGTAAAATTACATCAATAATTTATATTAAAACTTAACTGCATTGGTAGCAGATTATATCGGAAACTCAAATATTTAGTTATTAGTAAATATGAGCACGATCGTAAACCTTTGTACAACTTACTGGTAGGGACTCTGGAGCATAATAGTTTGTCCTACTGTTTTCTAGTTCTTTTAAATAATAATAATATAAGATGTAGTTATCTGTAGATATTCAGACAAATTCGTATTCAATCGTGGTTTGTAAATAAATCTCCATCGACAAATTGAATTGCAGGTGGCACCTGCAGAAATAGAAGCATTGCTACTACAGCATAAAGGTGTAGCCGAGTGTGGAGTTATAGGCAAGCCCGATGAATTGGCCGGTGAACTGCCTCTCGCCTTCGTAGTGCGCCAGCCAGGTTCTAACGTCTCGGAGGAAGAACTCGTCAAATACATTGCCTCTAAGGTAACTTAAAAAGTATTTCAGAAACTATATTAAATATTATTTTAATACCTGTTTTGTATTTATTTTATATCTATTTTATATTTCTATTTTATTTTTAATATATATCTTAATAACATATATTCCATAGTCAAAAATAACTTATTTTTAAATATCTTTTGAAAATTTATGGCCGCCATTATCACGTTTAACTATTCAGGAGACACGTTGCGCCAAAGATCCGAATAGTATCTTTTGAGTTTGTCGAATAAAAAAAAAAAAGTCAATCCCATCTTATAATAGGATTTACAGACTATGTCTATATTTTTCGGTTATGGCTATATGTTAGGCACACTTTTTACTTTTCAGCAGACTTTAAAAGATCTTATGTGTTATTTGACAATAAAAAATAGTATATATATACTCCTTTGTTAATAGGTGTCGCCAGCGAAGCATTTACGAGGCGGAGTTATTTTTATTGATGAAATACCAAAAAATCAATCTGGAAAAATATTAAGAAGAGAGTTGAAGAAAATGTTACTAACTCCAAAGAGTAAGCTTTAATATTGGGATAATTTATTTGTAAATGACATTTAATCAATTTTGTATTTATAATACTTTATTTATAAAACATAGTTTCGTTAATTTAATACTTGTAGTATTATTTTACCTGATGACAATTTATTCATATTGCTGGCAAATTTATAATTAATTAATGGAAGATTTTTCTGTTATCTATTTATTTGAAAGCGCCTCTTTAAGTTCCTGCGGTATTCTACTAAGAGCATAGCTGTGGAGTTCATCATTAACGGCAGCGAGAACACCAGTTTTATTTGGGTGCGATACTGAAGCACCATATTTATAAAAATTACCAAGAATATCTGTTAATTTGCCACCTGCTGCATTCAATACTGCTTCGGGCGCACAAGTATCCCATTTTTTGCATCCACTGCTCGCAAATACATAAACAGAAGCCTTGCCTTCTAACAATTGTAAGACCTAAAAAATAAATACAATTTTTTTTAATTATAAATCCCAATCTACACCTATAATAATATTATAAAGAGGAAAGATTTGTATTTTTGTGTGTATGTATGTTCGTAATGAATAAACTCAAAAACTACTAATCCGATTTCAAAAAATTCTTTCACCATTAGAAAGCTACATTCACCCTGGGTAACATAGGCTATATTTATTGCTAGAAAAGATTAGGGATCCTTACTTTAGTAACGTAATTCAAGGTGTAAAGAAATGCTATATCTTTCGTCGCGTGCGCTGCGGAAACCATTGGTGACAGAACAAAAGTATGTTCTACAATATTGAAGAAAATATCAATAACTACAAAAAAAAACTTCGCGATACCATATGTCCAACTATTATCGTTATGTCACAATAACCTTTTTTTACATTTTAAAAGTTGATAGAAATACCGACCAAAATTACACCATGTTCATAATTCATACTTCTGTTTAAATCCTTATCCAAACAAATATTGTTTTCAAAAGTGTTTCAAATTATGTAGATTACTTTTTGAATTGTTCCAACCGGCTATTCCATTCAATAGATATTACGAATTTAATAAGTCATGGCTTTCATTCATGTTATATTTATTCATTTTTATCCAAATAAATTATATCGTATTCAAAGTTGTTTCAATACCTGCTGATTACTTTTTGAATTTTTTAAATTGTAGGTATATTCCATTCGAAAGATATTATGTTAAAAAGTCAGATATAAAAAAGGCGCCGCTCGCCGCCCTTGCCGTTTCGGCCGCGTGACTAGCTAGCCAGGCATTGTAGCGGTGCGGGAGGTAGGATCAGATAAAAATTTAAAATGTAAAAATGTTCACTCGTGCGAAGCCGGGACGGGCCGCTAGTTTATACTATAACTTAAAGTTTAATGTCATAAATGTACATGTATCTGTCTGCTTAGTTTTGCCAGTTGAAGTAGATTGAAAAATTTTCTTATGTAAATAGGTAATAAATAGTTCTGTAGTAAATACGAATGAATGAAGGAATTTCCAATGATAGTATAAAAATATGTCCTGCAAAGATAATTACTAATCTATAACTTTTACTACATACCTTGTAACCAGCACCACCTACTCGAAGTATTTGAGAAGCATTCATTACAGATAATGCTTGTTCTACTACTGGGTTAGAGTGACTTCTGGTAGTGGTTATTACCAAAGAATCGGGAGGTGGAGCTGGTGTATAGCCACCAACACCCACCTCTTGTAAACCCCAAATAGTTCGACCCATTTTTTTCTCACTTCCAACCAAATTTTTATAATATGGTTGATGTATAACACCAGCAACAGGTTTTTCATTGACTGATATTCCAATTAATACAGTCACATGTTCGAGAAACCCTGTAACAATTACCAATTTTATATTCAATAAATAAAAGGACAACATGCAACATGCAAGAAAAAACTTAATATTTAATATTATAATAGATCTATTTAAAAGAAGAGTAATTAATATTGTGTTTTATTTAGTATCATAACTATGTATATACAACTAAACTATAAACACTAAAAGTACTTGTGATCAAGTTTTTTAAAGATTATTAAAATTTCTGTTAATGTTAGTTAAGGTTATCGAGAAAGGTGACAATAATTGTGTAATCACAATTTAGTACTTATTCATATTTTTTCATAACATATTAAAAATATTGTAGAATATAAATAAATAAATCGAACATTAAGACAAAATCCTAACCTGCTGCTATTTAAGGAAAAACTCCTTTTTCGATTACCATATCTTCAATTAATATTTGAAACCATAGAAACCCCATTCTATTGTGGAAATTTAAAATTAAATTACCATATTTTGATTGTAGCAAGCTAAAATACCACTTCATACTAATAAATGGATGAGTTAAATACATTTTCCATCTTTCCCAAGGGTCTCTCTTCAACATTAGGGCACCTAGAATTTTGCAGAGATATTTGAGAAAACTAAAAAAATCAGTACTATGGTATCAGAAAGAAAACAAATATTTTTGTGTGTAACCTATTATAAAGGGGGAAAGTAAGGTAATATCCATTATTAAAATGTAAATACCGGTGTACATAGTTTAATCAATTATATATAAATACCTTGAATCTGTTACACTCATATTTATATTATTTAGTTTTCCATTCATTCATTAATATAAATAGAAAAGTACCTTGAGTATACTCTGAGGTGCCATCAAGAGGGTCCACCCAGACAACAATGTCCTCCTCCTTCACACTTTTAAGAGCAACCGGACATTCCAAAGACAGTACATCTTTATCAGATTCAAGTACAATCCAATCACTTGGAACATCACCCTAAAATGTTTTAATTATAGTATAAGCATTTTGAACTGTTACTTTTGTGGCACCATATTTGCAGCACTCAAATTTGTATTGATTATAACAATTTTTTTTTTTGCAAAGTAGTCAATAAAGAATAAATAAAATTAAAATTTCAATTAAATATTATACCAAAAACTTTATATTGAGGACCAATATGAAATAACTTTCAAAAAGATTTAAGTAAAAATTATAACTACACACTATTGTATACTCATATACCTTAGAATGATTCACAATGAAATGTTAACAATGGTTTGAGATGAGAAGTAATTACATTCAATACAATCTTACCTCATTATCTGGATTATCTTCTTCCCCAATTATGTTTAACTTTGGATACTGTGCAGACAATGAGGCAATAATACACCTTTGAGCAGATCGATCTGCTTCCGTTTGATAATCATCTTTGCCCTAAAATTACACATTTATTTTTATATCACACAAATGTTAAAAAGAAAAAAAAATAATATTAAATTTATCTGTTTAAAAATCATCTTCAACCTTGCACATTCAAGTCTTTTCATCAATATAAAAGAAATTTTAAAAAAAAGTTATAATAATTGAAACCTTTTCAATGATTCCTAATTCTCCTTTACTCATAACATCTCGCACAATTTTACCAGCTCTGTTAGCCACTGACACTGATGAAGATAGTAGTCTCACAATAAGAGGAACACTTGTAGACATCGCGAAAATATATAGTTTAAAGACAATTTTGTAATTAAACACAATTGGAAAATATTTTATTATGGATCTGTTGGTTGACCTTAAAATTGTATTAATATAATAGAATCAATTAGAACATTAAGAAACAAGTGTAATAATGGTGATTATTAAGTAATTATTACTGTTATTGACAAAATGTGAATGTGGCAATGCATAGATACCTATAAAAGAAAATGTCAATGTCAGGCAAGTCGTCATGGACACAGTTCGTTTTGTTTGCTATCTAAACTTTTTAATTGCATTCTTATTTGTAGGACAATGACGGCAGGTTTTTTACGTTTTTAACTGAACCAAAATTTTTTTTGGCTTTTAAACGTACATTCTACGTCGATGTTATTTTTTTTTCAATCGTTCCTTATTTTATGACCATTTTTTCCAGTGTCATGTGTTGTAATGGGTATGAAAATTATGGTCTAATTTTGGGCTCAGGCCTTTAATCTGTCTTGCCACGAATCTATAGATTTATGCACTGTTTCCAAGGGAAATTTCGTCACTGCTTGCTCCAAAGATTTTTTAAGAGACTCAATGTCGCTGTATCGTTTAGAGCAGGCTATGTCCTCTAAAACTGACCATAATTTGAAGTCTAAAGTGTTGAAGTCTAGGCTAGATGAGAGCCAGTCTTCAGCTCTTATAAAGTCCGGAACGTTGGTTTCAAGCCAGGCTTGGGTAGTTCGTGCCTTGTGATCAGGTGCAGAGTTCTGCTGGAAAGGCCACGGTATATTTTTAAAAAGTGTATTGCTAAGAGGTATCACAACACGATCCAAGACTGTATCTTGATGCACTTTAGCTAGAGTTTTTACTCCTTTTTCACAAAAATGAAGTTTTGTGACTCCTTGTTAAGACACGCCCCACCAAACCATCACTGACGCAGGATGATGACCACGTTGTACCTTTCCTATTACTTGAGCAGCTTCTTTAGAACCGTGAGCGTACACTTTATCATTTTGCTTATTGTAGTGTTCTTCAATCATGAAAATTTTTTCATCGGTAAAGAAGATATTTCTGTGCCTTTCACCTGCATATCGCGACAGAAGGCGTTTTGATCGATCCATTCTCTTTAATTGTAAATATTGATTTAGGGTATATCTTGTATATTGATTATAAGCACCGAGCTTCAGGTTTTGTTTTATAATACGAGACAGAGTCCTAGCGGGAATCTTCATTTCTCGCAATAGGATTTTTTGCTTTCTAATGGGGTTTCGGCGAATTCTGTCTTTAACAGCCTTTGTAGTTCTAACAATACGCAGTCGCCCTGATAAAAGAAGTGCTGTTGTATCTGTTGATAGTACGATATACGAACATACGGCTGATACCAAGTTTTTGAAGTGTCTGCAATATGATCGACAGCTCCATACCCACCTTGTGCAAGGCGATCACTACAATTCTATTTTCTTTAAAACCCCTTTCCAAATTATAATTTGATAATGAACATAAACAAATATGTGAAATAGCACGAAATCGAAAGAAGTTTTTTAAATAATGAACATGTTTCAAATTCAAATAATTAAAAAGTTGAAAAAAAGAAAAGTTTTTATGTAACAGAAGTACCTATGTATATATATTTACAAAGATACCTATTTTGTAAAGTGACCACCCAGGTTAATTTTTCTATTGACTCCCCTCTCGTTTCTAATAACCTTGAACTCGTAGTATACAAATTGAACATATTTTGGAAGATTTCAAGAAAAACAGGTAATCTAGTTAATAATAAACACCCAAATTTTATTTGAAATTTGTATTTTTTATTTGAAAAGGCGGCAAATAAGTATGCAGTTTACTTGATGGTAAGTGATTACCGCAGTCCATAGATACTAATGACACTAGGGGAGTCGTCAATACGTTAATGCCTTTTTAAAAAGGTATCAATACTCTTCTTGAATTCTTTCAAGACTATCGTATTACTTAGAAAATGGCATTATTGGTAATACCACTTTTTTTACAATACGTCACAGGAAATTACACTTGAAACGCTCAGTAGAAGTCCGCTATTCATTTAGGTGAATTTGATGGAAATGTAATTTTCGCCGAGTCGTATGGTAATGGAAATTAGCGGCTGGTATTATACTAAACATTTCCCCAGAGTACTCCTCGTGATACAGCCTATAGAGTATACAAAAAAAAAACATGCCGAATTATCAGATGTTACTGAATAGATAATATGGAAACAATTTAAATTTGTAGCCAAATCCCGGACTCCGGACGCGCGGTAGTCAAGGCTGGGTCAATCTTGACTGATATAAATTCAAATTGTTCTTATTGACCCCATTTTAGGATTAAGTTCTAACTTATAAATTAGAGTTCTTTTTTCCAAAAACTCATATATATACCGTCGTATACTTTCATTCATCTATTATCACGTAAAGGTACTCTGCCAGTGTATTCCAAAAGCGTAGACGAAGTTACCATTCCTTTTTCTTCCATTGCCTACTACTAGTATATATAGATATAGAGTCCCCCTCGCTATCCGTATATTTTGTTAGGTTGACCTTCACGCAATTGAATTCATCCTCATTGCAAGAATATTAAATATCCATTTTACATTTCGATAGAAATAACTAAATAAGTTTTACACTTAGTTAAAAATTCATGTGGTAACGGAACTTAGGAAATCATACAAGTTATCTTAATTATATACCTGTTTAATTCTTTAAATCTTGTAAAACAATATAAAATATTTAGATATTATAATTAAAAGTTATCAGATACTAAATTAAAAATACTTACTTATTCTTGTTAACATTGAAAATATCATTAATTACATATGTATTAACAGGAAATAAGTGATACTTAACAAATAATTTATTAATTTATCCTAAAACGCTTATAGAAAGGAGTATATTTATATAAATTTAAAATGTAAATTTTTTTTTAATAAAAGTATATACACATAACAATAAACTCCAGTAAAGGTAAAAAATTATTTAATTTCTATGATTGTCAAAACAAAAGTTTTGATAACTTACAATAAGCCTCTGACTACCCCACCCGGGGTAGCAGTCATGACCTTAGTATATAATAACTAATGATAACTTAAAATATGAGGCACATGATTGCACAATTTTGTATAGCAGCACCCCTGTCCACCTTAAGCTAATAACTGACCTGCATAATTTCACTTCTTCACTGTAATTTATTTCTCATGTTATATCGAATCTACAATACTTATACTCCAAAAGCATTCAATATGAACCTGAATTCAAACATTTTTAGTATAACAAACGTGAAGACTGTAATTTGAAGCAGTCGTTTTAGTGTATTTTCCTTAGATTATATATAGATAAGACTCTCCATACAAATGCTTAGTTAAAAACAAATCAACTTTTTTATCCATGTTGTGTGAATAGAGTTACCATAATATACATCATTAAATATATGGGAGGAAGTATATTGTAAGTTAAATTGAAAAATAGTAACTAAACAAAATTCTTATAATATATTTAAAAGAACCAGATAATCAGACCATAATGATTTGTGATGGTGCTTATCTTTAGTGAATTCTTTGATTTATATTTGAGTATGGTCATAAAATATGTTTTACTTTTTAAATAATTGAAAACTTTAATTAATATATGTAAATGAATTTGTAAACAATACATGTATTTGTGTGTATATATGTATCAGAAAAAAAAAAAATAGTTTCCAATATAATTTCCAATTTTATTTAAAAAAATCAACCTGATCTAGGAATTTTTTAATCTAATTAGTTGCTGCACTAAATAGATAAAAAATAACATTGTGTTCGTTTTAATTAAAAAAAAATTTCATCCAATATGATGTTTGGTTGACTAAAAGTTGAAACGTTTTTTACACTCTGTTCTATCTATATAGTTTAAATTAATGTAGTAATAATGTTTGTATAACATATACATAAATAAACACAAAATCTAAATAAAAATGTTCCTGAAATAGAGACGAATTACTTATCTTAAATATTGTAGTGCCTCTAATAAATTATTGTTGCTTGCACATAATTGGATATAATATTTTCACAACCTGTAGCTACTTAATTTTTTTTTCTATATTTTTCAACAATTACATATATAATTTTAATTCGAAGAATAATAAGTATTTTTTTTTTTTAAATAAATACCCACTTATTTCCTAATAATAACTATATTATATCACCTAAAAACCTATATAAAAATATAAGTGATGTTTCAACGTTTTAAACTTTACAAATATATAAAAAACGAGCTCTAAAAATATCTCATATCGTTTCTGAACGTTCAAAATAGCGTAAGAGCAGTTTGTAAATACCGCGTATCTGCGTTTTTACATTTACAAGAAGAATAAAAAACTTAATATCTTAATCATTCATCTATAGTTTATCGACAGAATTTTACGTTACTCCTTGACGAACTAATTTATAGGAAAATAACGTAATCTTACATTAGTTACCTTAGATTCCGAAAAAATCACACACGATTTTGTAGTAACAAATTACTAAAAAAGTAATCAACTATTAGCAATTATGTAAGTTTGAAACGAAACATTTTATCAAAGAATAAATTTAATATTAGTTATTACGAATTATTATTATAACAAAATAATACAAACTAAACTTCTAAAATATAAACACCTTTTTAGAAAAAAAGTGTCACAGCGGCAAGCGAGCATGCCAAATGACCACAACACTAGTGTTGTGGTCATTTGGCCAGTGTGCGACGTCTAGATGTCGCTGGTTATATCAATGCCAAGTATTCCCAGACCCGACTTAATATCATTTGCCGACCCTGAAGAAACCTCTTTACCCCCTTTTGAAGAACCCCATGCTGCAGTTTCTGGGGAAAACCTCGGCAGAGAGCTTATTTCATAACTAGAATGTTCGTATGAGAATACATTTCTGAAACTGTGTTGTACGCGACCATCTAGGCTGTATGGTATGAAAGTGAACTCCCTATCGATGGCGAGACGTACGATGGTAGAAAGTGGCCGTGGGCATCATTTTGAACAATTTCTCTGAGCACAATCCCTTGTACAAGCAGTAAAACACGCAGAGTGAGGCAAAATCTCTCCTAAAACTTAAGGGTTCGATTCCGCTTGTAAGTGTGGGAACAATTCTCATAGCTCGACATTGCTTTGAGTCAAAGGGTAAAGCTGGTATCTAGGTGCTCCCGCCCATAAGTAACAGTAATAGTCCAAGTGGGGCCGGATTTTCGATTTATAGAGCATCAATCGTGGATCCGGCGTGAAGGCATAAGGACACCGAGTTTTTTTTAATGCCAACTTCACCTTGTCTTCGAGGTGGCCACGGAACTGTACGTCATTAGAGATGTCGACACCAAGGATCACAACGCTTTTAGAGATGTTAAGAGACATGCCTTGGAATTGTGGAGCTACAGCAAATGAGCTTATTTAGCGGTGAACGTGGAACCAACTGTGTAGACAAAAGTAATTAAACTACTTCTGTAATAATAATAATAAGTAAAGAGTCGAAGAAGACGCGTAAGTACCCGGGAAAAAATAACAGATAAGGACTTATTCATCTATTTGATAAATACGGGCTTGCTGCTAATTTCAAGAAGATTGTTGAACCGCAATAATATTACAATGCTAAAAATTAAGTTCATTTTTGGTTAACTTAAATTCAGATATCCATATATGATGCCATTCGCGTATTATTTCAATTTTGCGCATTTGCTGTTATGTGGTATTTACAAACTGCTCTTCCGCGGTTTAAATTAGGATATATGTAGATTTAAATAGATATTGTAACCGTAATGTACTATGCATATTATTTTTTGCCATAGTAAACTGAAAGAGTCTACTTGGCTTTCGGCTAAATTTCAGATTTGCTAGGTATATACATACAGCATATGGAATATGGAGTCAAATTTTGAGGATTGACAAAAACAACATTATAACAAGTGATATTTTCGAAACAATAAGAGGCGTGAATTTGTTCACAGTAAAGGCACGCTCACTTTTCATTAGTAAAATATTAAAGTACTTGCGTTGTCTATCAACATCTATAATTAAAATAAATCTTAAGAATTGGGATGTATCATTATTTCTATTATTATTAGTTAGTCTTCACTGACTTGCATGATAATATGTTTGACAATCTGGTCAATGGTGTGTGTGTCGAGCATACGAGCTATGTTCTTGTCTTCGACGGCGTAAAGGAACAAGTGTTTCGTGTTCTCGCGTAGACATTGCACGCGTGTCCACCTGTCTCGGTCTGCTGCCTTCGCACCACAGTGTTCAATTACTTTCTCTAACACCTGTTAACGTTCGTTTTTCAAATTTAAATCGAATAAATAATCTTGTATAAAAGTGTTATATTATTATTATTAAATTAGAGGATGCGAAATGATTTCGCACATTAAATTTAATTAATTGTGATCCATATAAATTATGTTACACGAACTTGCCGGTATGAAAATATTTGAAGCAAACTTTCAAGTCCCCATGGTACCACTACTAATGTGATGTTGGCCTTTGACGTTTTTAAGTTCGCATGAGTATTAATTTTATTTCATAAAGCTCATATTCATATACTTATATCGTTTTTTCTACTATAAAATTATAAATACGAAAGTATGTAAAGATGAATGGGTGGATGCTTGTTACTCATTCATGCAAAAATTACTGAACGCATATGAATGAAATTTGATACACGGGTAAATTATATCCCAACTAAGCACATAGGATACTTTATATACTGATTTACGTAAGGAAAACAGAGAGCCCCTTCTTCTCCATGAAGTCAGTCAATATAAATAATATATATAGATAGTGTAATATAGTCTGTTTATCGTATCTGTTTGCAAACCTGATTCATATTATATTACTTTACGCCTATTTAGTATTTAGTACTTGTATGTTGGATGAAATTAAAATAATAAAGTACAAGTACGTGAATGAATTCAAAACATTCAACAAGTTTACAATAATTATCACTTACCACATCAACAGTCTCGTTGGGCCACCCAAAACACTCCAGTGTGTCTTTATCAATTAATCGAGACAATAAAGTTTTAAGATTCTCCACCAATTCATCTTCCGACATTATTGGACTATTTTCAGTCTGAAATAAACAATTGAATATGAATGTAAATTAAATGTACAATTAACACACCCATCAACAGTACTTGCATATTATTTTCAAATATAACAGCTGAACAGTTTTTGATGAAATTTAATTTGCATCTTTCTGTTTTTAAGTAATATTAAAGTAGTAATTATATATAAATTAAATCGTAAATAAAATGTAGTGTAATTATAATTTGTATCCAAAAAATATTCGGAAATTTTTAAAATCATATTTGTTTTTATATTAAATAGTTAACTAATATATGAATAGTATTCTACGCTATTCAACTGAACAACTAAAATTAACGTCATGATCACGAGTGATTTCAACTAATAACTTATACAGTTAACAGTCAAATATTCGCAACTACGCAACTTTATATATATATATTTGTCTGTATTATTATTGACATTCTATAATAAATAAAAAAAAATCTAAATCGACATTGTCAATAAAATTAACCAGAAAAGTTACAAGGATTACATCCCTTACCTTCATTTTATCATCTTGTACTTGCATGCCTCCATAAAGCACATCTTCACCACTGCACCCTTCAATGATGCGGTCAGATTCGGCATCAAGCACGTTCAGAATTGATTCCAATTCCGATTTTTTCACTCGTTCTACACCAACATTCATTCCCTGTTATGAGATAAGTAAATATTAATACATAAATCGCTAAATAATAATATAGCAATTTTGCACAGGTAAATACAAAAAAAGTAATGACTGCGATGCTAGATAGATTTATTTATTTATTCATTAGTACAAATATGTGTACATGGCAGACTTAATGCTAAAAGCATTCTCTCCCAGTCAACCATAGGGAAGTGTCAGAATACTCGAATGCGGTACTACTAATTATTGATATACATACATACTAAAATTATATATATAAACGAATAAATATATATGAATAACAAATATACTTACACATATATGATATATACTATATTATACACGAATTTGAGAATAATATAAAGATAAAAAGTGAGCGTGAACGCTTTTTTTTGAAAGACGGTTTAGTCGGTAGTCTCTTAATGGCATCAGGAAGCGCGTTCCAGAGTCGTGAAGAATGTAGGAGAAAAGAGTTTGAAGCGTAACCAGTACAATGAGAGGGGAAAGATAATTGGAGAGTATTATTGGAACGAAGGTTACATTCGTGAGTTTCAACATTATAAAATATACAATAGATCTTATTATTAAAAGGTTTTTGAGGTCGCTGATCCTGAATATGACTGTGTTTATATCGTTTTGTTACTTCACTCTTCAAATCAGACATGTGACCATAAATATTAAGACTACCAGGATACCAGTCTATGCTAAATCAGGGACCCATAAAACTTTATTATGGACTTTTTTTATATTTAGTTATATTCACTATGAAATTTTTTATGTAATATATTTAAGGCCAAATAAATACGTACCAGCACTTGCCGCACATGCACGAGGTGCTGGCGGAAGATGTCCGGGTGCAGTTTGCGCACGTGGCGCAGCAGCTGCTCGCCGCGGATGTAGGCGCGCGCCGTCACGCAGTACATGCAGCGGCGCGGCCGATCCAGCCGGTGCGTGCTCACGTGCCGCCGCATATTCACCTCCGCATGGAATTGCTTGCCGCACACCTCACACGCATACGCTGCAATATAACATTAGGCATGAAAACAATTGCTAATTTAGTTTGGTGAAATTATTTCATTTGTCACAGTGATATCACTTAAAACAAATGATAGGAATAACTTTTACTCGCATCACACTCGCCAAAAATAATAATAAAGAGAAATACCAGAGGGAGACTGTACAAAAGTCGATTGCTTGGACACCTCTATCCCATTTGTATTTCTACTGTGAAGCAGTTGTGTTTGCATGGCTGTGTTTCGGTTTGAAAGGTGGGATATGGCGTGAATTTACAGGGTACAGAGGAATAACACCTTAGTCCTCGGGAATGGCAATGCATGGGGGGTATCATAGGCGAAACAGTATACTCTGTTATGACCATGGTACTAAATTTAAAGAATATGATATAGCTGTAAATTTTATTATGTTGTCATTTTTGTGAGAGAAATAAATATATATTTTACTTTACTTTTACTTTAAATTAAATTAGAAATACGTACGTTTAGCGTCCAAGTGGGTTTTTATATGGGCATCTAAACTTTGTTCATTACTAAATATTTTTTTAGAATAGATGCAATCATTAAATGGACATAATAGTTTCTGGAGCCCTTTATGTTCCCTTACGTGGGCGAGCAACCTGTAAAAAATAAATGATAGTAACACACAATTATTTAGGGGGAATGGATACTGCACTCCAATTACAGGGTGTACCCATAGGTGCAATTGTATAAAATCTTAATAAAATATGAATTTAATAAAAATTGTAATTGTATAAAATATAAACAAAAGTATAATAAAAAATACATACCCAGCTTTAGTGGTAAAACTGCGGTCACACTCAAGACATGTGTGGCCGTTGTGTTTCTCCAGATGGCGTTGTAGTTGCGATCGCTGTATGAAGGAGTTGCCACACAGTGTACACTTGTATGGTTTTTCAACGGCATGCGTTAGTACATGTCGCCTAAGCACCTCTGCCGTGAACGTACTATAGCCACACTAGAACACATAAAGGAAAAACTATAATTTTATAGAATATATACTTGTACACTTATGTATTTAGAACAATATTCTTTAATAAAAATGTCAAAATATGTACAAGTTGTTATATACTTTTTGTTATACATCGATCTGAATCAAAATTAAATCTATTAATAATACATATGTTACTAGCTAATATTTTGTAATAGCTAGTAATACTAGCTAATAGCTAGTAATTTATTTCGGTATCTAACTCGCTCCGGCTTTGCATAGACAAATAATGTTAATCTTTTTGTACACATTCAAATTAAAACTCAGTAACTATACAGTTGTAGAGTACTTATATATTTATGTAAAATATATTTAATGAAGATAAACAAATTGAAATTACAAAAATTTGAGTGTTCTATACTGACATTATACACAAACGGGCAGGTCAATATTTACTGGGATTAGATAAACACAACTAAAAGGAAAATTATACCAAAATTTTACTTACCCATAAAACATACAAGTGAGCATAAAAAAACACAAAAAATAAAACATTATTACATATTCTAACTCTATTATTAGATTGCATTAATTCTGAATAAGTACCTATCCTAAATTTATCTCAAAATTAAATTTTAAAATTGATATTATGAAAATTTTATTTTGTTTCTAAAAAAATTGTTCAGTTTGATTTAATCCATTTCCTTCATATTATTTCTTGGATTAATGTTTTCGTTGTAATATTAAGCTGGGGTCCCAGTGTGAGTTTATGTTTTTACGAGCATGAGGACACAAACAGGAATTTTGTAAGAACTTTATTTACAGGATTATACAAGGTATGGAGTAACTTCTATAAAGAATTAGGTACTTAAATATTAATAATTACCACATCACAATGGTGTGACTTTTCACCATGGATCTCCAAGTGTTTAACCATTGCAGCCCGGGAACTTGTTGTTTTCCCACAGTGGTCACATTCAAACTTTAAGGATTCTGAAAATAATTTATCATTTCTTTATTTTAGCAAAAAGGCATGGGAAAGAATGGGTATGCAGACATACAATCATAATCCTCAGGAATGACAATGTCATGAGGGGAACTATGGCCATCACAGAGTATTCTGCAATTTCTCAAGTAGTGTTCATGTCAATAGAAGACAGTTAACACTTTTCATCAGATGAGTCATCAGCTTGTTTGTCATTTTAATTATCATAATAGAGGGACTTACTGTCATAAAATAAGTATGATATCAATCACACCCTTACTTAGATGAATAGAGAATAATAGAAAAGTATTGAATATGACAGGGACAAAGGGGATTAAATTTGTTATCCATCATTACCTCACCAGTTAGCCTTCCATCACCAAAATAAAGTCTTTTTATAGAATTATAATAAAGTGTAAAAATATACCTAAATGTGTTTCTTGCCAATGCCTGACTAATTTGGAAAAATTTTTAGTGTGATGAGGACAAAATTTACAAAAGTAACCATTTTTTATGATATGTTGAAGTCGGAGATGAACTTGTAAATTATCTTTCCTTGTAAATTTTGCATCACATATCTGAAATAAATATAAATGTGTTTTTATTAATTATGCATATATTTTTAGATATCTTTCCAATTTCAAATCTTCAAAAAAAGGCATTTTCTCAATTAATTCAACTGTTAAATAAAAGTGTATTTTATGTAATTAAATATTATTTTATTAAAATATAAAAACAACTTTTGGTTTGTAAAATAAACTTAAAAAGATGATATATTATCCAATGGTAGGGTAAAAAAAATTAAGGGTAGAGCCCATTGGTACTCAATTATGTCTACCCTGCAAGATATGGACATAATGAGAGATATGTAGAATTTAATTGTAATCAGATTTTTTTACAGTACATTTCAAATACTCATAATTTTCTTACTACAAATTGCTTAATTTTTTTAAATGATTATGTATGTATTATTATGATATAGCATTATAATGTACATATATAATAAAAAATAAATTATTGAATGATTATGTACAAACAAAACATTAGATAGATATTTTAATATTTTACAAATATCATAAATTTTACTTTCTTTCAGTATATTTAATAGCACAAAGAAAATGTATTCATACCTCACAACAAAATAGTGAAATGTTCTTGCCATTACAACCAGACTGCATCATGTGTCTTAAAACATGTGAATGTCTTACAAACTTTTTCATACAGTATTCACATTCAAATTCTTGTCTCTCATGAATATTTTGTATATGTTTTGCCAGTACATCTGTATTTGGACAGCGGACATGGCACTGGTCACAGGAAACAGCATTTGGTAACTTTGAATGCTCATTGAGACAGTGTAGTTTGAAGTTATTTTTAAATTTAAATTTCTTATTGCATTCTTTACAATTATATGTAGCCTAAAATGTAAAAAAAAATTGGTTAGACCATTGTTTTTATAATTATAACTAAGATAAAAATAATGAAAAATCACAACTAAAAGATGTATGCATTGAAGTACATATTCTTGAGCTTAAACTATTAATTGAAGTGTCCTTATTCAATTTGGACATTGACTAACTTTTTATGGAAAAAATTATCTTATTAACAAAACGAATATTCTTGTAACAGGTTTAAATAGTTAGTTGCCTTAAAACTTAAATTTCACACACATGTTACGAATGATGTTGAAATAAATTCAGTAAATGTTAACGGTTCTTTAACAATTAATACTGCAAAACAGAAAGTTATTATTTACCTTTGGAATGTAAAGTTCATCTGACATGTTACTTTGAGAGTTGCTTTTACACAGGTGTCTAGTTAATCCAGGTTTTGTGAAATTTCGATTACAGTTTACACAACGAAATTTGTAGGCGTTAGAATTAGACTTTTTGAGCTTTTTACTCGGTGGGCGTCCTCTTTTTGATCGTTTTGGAGCCATTGTCATATATATATAATCAAACTAAAAACCTTAATAATAAAAAGTTTCTCCTGGGTTACATGATCAGAACAAGTTAACAAATATAAATTTTGATATTGCTTTCACTCAGGCGCTGTGGGCTTGTTTAGAACACAGAATAATATGGATAGCTAGGTAGGTACCATGACATTTAATTCGATTCTATAAGTAAGTAGGTTCTATCTGGTTCTATAAACACGAAAACCGCCACGTTGACACTACTTGACATCTAGGTAACCTTAGATTAAGTATAGTAATTGCGTTCCTTTTTCTATGATACTACCTATCCAGAGATAGTGAATAGTAGCTACCTATCTAGAATCATTGACAAGAATATACTTTAGACAACGAAACCTTAAAACCTATAGAAGGCATCTGCCTGTAGGCATAAGTCCCGATTCAGAATATATTGGGCGTTTTTATACTTTTCCGTGGAACGTTATGATACGATGAGAGAGCAAAATGTATGCATTTATACGGAGACGCTTTTAAGCGTCCCGTACAATAACAACGTGATCGTGCACGATCACGGCACTGCCATAACTTTTCCGTGGCAGACCTAGGCCCTCCTGTAAGATCGTCGAGGCAGTTTTGCGCGTATATATGTGTATGTATGTATATAATATGTATGTATGCGTGTGCCTATCTACCCTGCTTTTCAGATTATAATTTTGAACTTGCACGTTTTACAATATCGTAGAATACCTAGGCTCATAAGGTGGTGGCGGCAACTGTGCGACTGTAGTGTATACGTACAAGAATATTAAACATGTGTGAGACAGCCGATGTTCCCGGGTACCTGTCCATGCTGCTTCCTACTCAGTCTTAGGGGATTCCAATAACTTTAAGAGGAAGTCCAAAATTATAATCTACAGAGCACCGCAGATAGGCACACATAGTATATACAAACACATAATACACACACAAAATTGCCGCGACGATCTATATATAGGTATGCCACGGAAAGGTTACGGCAGTGCTGTGATCGTGCATGACCAAGTTGTTATCGTACGGAATGCTTAAAAGAGTCTATATACAAATGCATACATTTTGCTGTTCTATTTTATCTTGTATATGTAAAACGTATGATATCGGAAACGGAAAAGTATAATAATGCCCAATGAGAAGGAATTGTTAATAACGGGTTTTTTGGTTTAACATTTTTCGTGCGCGTCCAAAAATTATCTGTGCCCACCTCAAAATCAGTACCAAACACTTCAGCTATAGATATAAAGATAAGTAAAAGTTCACCTTTTTGTGAAGCAAAGCCTTCCCAGAAAATAATTTTAAATACGCCAATGGTTTTTACTCAAACCAATTTCGTTAAAGAAACATAGGTTCAAAACAATAAAAATTCAAACTGTGCTAATACAGCGCGATCGGGGGAAAGGGATTGTTAGTAATGGAGACTGAGTATCCCATTGCTAGCAATATACCCAACCAGCTCGACCTCCTCGCGGTTCCCCCTGGAAACTATCATGGTTAATTCCTGATGAATTTATCATGATGGGCTAACTGGCCTGTTTTCATTCTCATCTATCACCCTTCACTGGCGCTCCGCCAGCGTATCCCGTTAGCGCAGGCGGGGTTACCATACCATTTTCACCCATCAAAAAAAAAAAACAGCGCGATCAGCTGTTAATTTATTATGGGTGAAAAAATACTAAGTCGTTTTTGAATTTTTGAATTCATGTAATTTCTGTCCTAAAGTGTTCAACCAGAGTAAAGTGTTATACGTACCACTAACAATTTTGCCTTCACTTAGTATTATTTTATACTAATTAATTTGAACTAGCCTGTAAGGGGCAGGGGGGACAAATAAATCATTTGTCGTCGTTGTCATAGTAACATTTACATCTAAACAATGACGACTTGTCACATCGATTGCAGTTATTAAATAACACCTAACATTTTCTATAGAATTTAAAAGTATGTACCATGGAAAAAGAGTTGGCACCAGATGTTATAAAAGCTACACAAACAGCACTGGGCAAATATGTGAAACGGCCGCCTCTAAGTGAGAAACTATTGAAAAAACCACCATTCAGATTCTTGCACGACATTGTGACAACTGTTAGTATTGATTTTTATGTCTTTAAAATACTACCTAACTCGTATTTTAAATTCTGTAATCCATAAATAATAATAAAGAAATCGAATTTTGATACCGTAAAAAACCGCAAGTAAATATCTCCCATATCTATGCTATGATTACAGATTTTTTTGATTGTATCTGGTGCATTCTTTTATTTTTCTATGGAGATTTTAAAACTGAACGATTAGAACTTTGTCCTAAAATATTATTTATCTTGGTGTGTATTATGCAATAGATACCTACTATATAATTTCTTTACTAAGAATTATCCTAATACTTTGCTGTAAAAATAAACAAAAAGACATGATTTTTTTTTAAGTGCCGTTATACGCTATCACTGCCGTTACTTTTCAACCGACTTCAAAAAAGGAGTACGTTTGCAATACGGTTGTATTTTTTAATGATTACGATGTGGCACCCATTTGCATTTTTATTCATTATTATATATACCTCATGCCCATCCCATAATGTGAACGGGATTGTCAACTATGCGAAACGTATCTGAGAGTCTTGCCTTTTTTGGTCTATATACCCCTTGCTAGGCTACTTCTGGAAAATAATTAAATACGCCAATGCATTTTAGGTACTGAAAACTACAGGATTTTTTGAAGGATTATTCGAGGAGGAAGAATTGATATCTGACAATGTTAAAGAGAGGGAAAATAAAATACAATTTCTTAATAAAGTAATTTATGTCGTTGGTAAGTACCAATTTTTAAATCATATTAACTAAATTATAAATGTAAACAAGTACATTTTGCTTCGTATAAAAAAGCTTAAATCGTAAACCCATATACACCGATTGTTACATTAGAACGTGGAAATTAGTATAAGAAAACTGCATGGTAACGACATGTTTGCACTCCACAAAGAAAGACAGTAATTTTAGTCGCCACAAAGGTAATATGAGACTAATACAAGAATAAACCCTATCCATTAGCAAAAGTATTGTAAAATGCAACAAACTGTAGAATTTGCAACTTAATCACGTAACATAGTTACAAAAACTACAGACAAAATAAGAACCTTCTTCTTTTGGAAATCGCTTATAAATAAGTATATTACCATACTTAAATTTGCGTATGTTACAGGTGCAACAACAGGAAAGACGTTATCAGTAAAGCCGTCTAAAATTGTTGCCGGTCAGGAAGCAGAGAAAACAAATGATCTACTTCAATGCCTTGCATTGGCTTTAGATAAAAAACTTACATCTGATGAAGCTGTAAAAAAATATAAAGATGAGAAAAAACCTGTTCATGCGAACGAGAAAAAATCTAAAGAAATTGTAAAATCAAATAAAAAAAATAATGATACAAAAAAAATTACGTCAAAAAGCACAGAAAAATTAACATCCAATAAAAGAGACACAAGCATACGAACAACAAATAAAAATGAAAACGATAAAAGTAATTCTAGTAAAACAAAACAGAAAGAAAATACAATAATTAAAAATGAATCACAGTCTAAAAGAAATACACAATCTAAAGTCGTAACAAAGAAACCATCACAAGAAAAAAACATCAATTATGGAGCGGATAAAAAACTACTTGATGAGCAAAAGGATAAACCAACCACAAATGATATACAAATTAATAACGAAAATTTAGAAAAAATAAGTACTGATAATTTGGAAACAGATATTAATGTTACAGAAGAAGATCAACAAAATTCTGTCGTAAATCTGTCAATTAATGAATATCAACAAAAACTTGATGACCTACATGCAATTGACAATCAACTAAATTCATCTTTGTCTTCTCAAGATTTGATGGAAATTGAAAAGAATAAGATCGACGAAAGTAAAACATTCAAAAATGAGGAGGAGGTGGAATATAAAGGTATTGAAGACCAGAAATTGATGACGATAGATGTAAATAAAATTAACAGTGATAATGAATTAGAACATAAAACAAATAAGAATGACATAAATAAACAATTATCTAGGAATAATAGCAGCGAAAAGAACGGTGATGAAACTACATCAATAGAAAACAAAAATAATGTCCAAGATCCTGTTAAACAATCTCCTGTTAAAAACGATAATGCTGCTAGGCCATTAAGTATGCGTCCATCTTCATCACGTCCTGGAGCACCACGATTAAGAGATAAACATGAAAACATAACAACTGAACCCGAAAATTTGATAGTTGGTAAAGTAAATATCATAGCTGAAAATGCACCCATAGAAGAGGTAACTACTTTCTAACATGTACATATGTTTCTTTTCATACAATTTGAAGTGGTCAGGGGTTTGAATGGGCAGTCTGTTCATCTTGTTGAAAACCTAATGAAAAGTAGTTTAGTTATTAACATAACTATGTAGAAATAGTTGGCTATATCCTCCTGATAACGGAAGAGATTTGTACTCGATCGAAAAGATGAAAATTTCGATATATTTATTTATCTAAACAGTTAAACACATACACTATTTTAAAAATTGTAGTGTTTATGTGTTTTTTTTTTTTTTTTTATTAATTTTAATAACTAATAATTTAAGGAAGAAGATACAAACGTAGTTATTCTTGAACAAGAAACAATGTCTTCGTCAACCACGCAAGATGATCAAGATCCGCTTCATGTATCACCAGATCAACACGGTCATTTAGTGCAACAAATTTTAGAATCTCAAAAGGAATTTTCACAAATTAGTGGCAAAACTGAAATCGTAAGTTCTATATCAATAATTAAATGTTGAATTTAATAAATACTAATTTTAATCTAATAACTACATTAATAAGCATAATAAATTATATACATAAAATCAAAGTTTTTAGTTAGCACAAGAAAAATAAAATGAAAGTAGAAAAAAATGCTATGTAAAATGACTTTGTAAAAAATCCACCTCTGAAAGTGATGTCTATGGAGTACCTTTAAGGGTTTAAAAGTAAAAGAATATCAGTTTTTTTACAAATTATTTAAAAACTTCTATTTTTTATACCACAAAGGTAGCAAACAAACATACCCGTGCCATATAAATAGAAAAACAAGTATACAGCCCGTCTGATGATAAATGGTCACTGTAGCCTATGGACGCCTGCAATACTACGGGTGGCACGTGCGCATTGCCGACCTTTTATTAACTTTAATATATATATACCCTTACTAGTATAAATTTAAAAGTATTTAAAAATAATGTAAATAAAAGAATACCAAAATATGCAGAATTACTTCAGCTAGAACTTTCCCTTTCAATGTTTTTAATTTGATCGTTACATAAAATTATTTGACAAAAACTTTTATTTTTAAAACCCTGAATGCGGCCATATTCACGGTTTTAAATGTAGCTCGTTCAGTTGCAGACTTTTTTCACGTCAGTTTAACAAACAAAAAACTATGACAAATTTCAGGCTTGCAGTAATTTTTTCTATTTCTGCCTCGTGTCCCCGTTAGTTTTAATGAGTTAAGTTTATGTAAGCACATAATAATTAGGTTAATTGAAATATTAATAGCAACTCTGTCCCAATTTTCCAAAACAAGATTTCCATTGGCAGGAATGGCAATTTGGTGCCCAAAAAGCAAGAGAAGCAGTAAATAAAGAAATAGAACAACTCAGATATAATGTTCAAGCTCTTTCACGTGTGACCAATCCATTGGGTAAAATACTGGATCACGTTCAGGAAGATGTAGAAGTCATGCGTCAGGAACTTCAACAATGGACCAAAATTTATGAAGAAACATCTAAGCAATTATCAAAACAAAAACTGTTAGCATATTTTATATATTTGGCATGAATTCATTATAACTACTAAGTACCTTAACCTTGCTCTTCAACCTATCAATGTTAATTATTATGGTCTGAAATATCTACATGCATCTTACTTTATTATTTCATAGTTCTTTTTTTTTTACATTAGTTCAATGGCGCTGGGGGGAAAGAGATTGTTATGAATGGGATCTAAATGACCCATTCCTAGCAATACACCCTATCAGGTCAACAAAAGTAATAAATTGCAAATGTGCGTTACCGGAACCCTGAATGGGTTCTGAAACGAACTTCTCCTGGGTTCTTAAGGAGGATTAATTTTAAGCAGATGCCCGATCATAAAACCAAAAGGCAGAACTTTATGTAATACGAATAAAATGATATTATGCTGATTCCATAATTGGGATAAGGACAGGAGATGATAATACGAAGATGACATTAATTTTGCACAACCCGATATGTTTTTTTTATGGGTGAAAATGGTATGGTAACCCCGCCTGCGCTAACGGGATACACTGGCGGAGCACCAGTGAAGGGTGATAGATGAGAATGAAAACAGGTCAGTTAGCCCATCATGATGAATTCATCAGGAATTAACCACGATAATTTCCAGGGAGAACCGCGAGGAGGTCGACCCGGTTGGGTATATTGCTAGCATATTATCTCAGTCTCCATTATTAACAATCCCTTTCCCCAACCCGATATGTTATATGACCGTCCTATATACTTACAGTAGAACAGAACGCAGTATTTTTAAATGACGTAATTTGTGGATGGCCCTATTATTTTATTTATTGAGGGTCAAAAAGTGGTGATATACTTATGTAGTTTTTGTTTTGTCAATATTAAATTTACTATATACTAGTAAGTAGTAGGAAATAATATTGATTTTATTTTACAGATTGAACGAGGAATCGTTATTACCAATGCATACGAAAGTTAAACAGTTGGATTTTGACATACAGGAAAAACATGACAAAATAAACAATCTCAAAGTCGTAATACACAAAAACTCAATTAGAATCGAGAAGTTGTTAGCAAGTGGGAATGTGCAATAATTTTATAAACAATTAATTTTTAGTAGATAAATAAAAATGATTTGTTTACATCTTATTTAATTATATTCAGCTTTACACTTTAGGTTCCTATTTTAAATCCATGGCCTATGTTGATTGAGCTATCGGCTATTTTACAGATCTAGTCAATGTAGATCAGTGCATCCCTAATCTTTGATACATCCATATAAATAAAGTCGGGTAGTTATACCATTTATAATTCTAGAACGGCTGGACAAATTTTGATGATCAATGATTTGTTGGATTCGTCGTCACCCCGAATATCGGAATGACTATGAAAATATCGAAAAGATTCACATAAAAAACAGAAAAAAAAAATTTCAGACTGTTAGGCGGTAAAAAGTTCACCGGGGCAGCTAGTCTACAATAAATGTTTATTTTGGAATGTATCTAATTCATCCCAGGTTCAGACAACATTACGAATGAAGCCATAAAAATCGGAGTGCCTATTTTAATCACATATATAGTGAAAATTTTTAACCTAGTTTTGGAAAAGCAAGTGGTACCAAAGCAATGGTGTGAATCTGACATTATACTGCTGTACAAGAAAGGCAACCCGCTTGATATTGGCAACTACAGACCTATCAGCTTACTATCCACAGTTTACAAACTCTTTTCATCCATTATTTTGAGCAGAATAGCAACAGAAATTGACAAATATCAACCAATAGAGCAGGCTGGATTCAGACCACATTACTCTACAATCGATCACATCCACACAATAGAACAGATAATAGAAAAGTACAAAGAATTTAAAAAATCACTTTACATAGCATTTGTGGACTACTCCAAGGCCTTCGATAGCATTACACATTCATCCATATGGCATGCTTTGGCTGACAATAACATAAACAGCACCTACATAAATATTATAAAAAATATTTACTCTAATAGTATAAGCAGAGTCAAACTGGAGAGGCAGGGTGAAAAGTTCACAATTGGAAGAGGCGTAAGACAGGGAGATCCACTTTCTCCAAAACTTTTCATAGCAGTACTTAACAACATCTTTAAAAGTATCGATTGGAGCCATGAGGGTATATGGATACTGAACAAAAGACTAACACACTTATGTTTCGCAGATGATATAGTACTTTTTAGCGAATCGGTTAGCAACCTAGAAAAAATGCTACAAGAACTAGATTTGGAAAGTAAGAAAATTGGCCTAAATATGAATGCAACCAAAACAAAGATCATGACAAACCACAGCAAAAAAATTATCACAATAGAAGAGAACCCTATAGATTATGTGGATAGTTATGTGTACCTAGGTAAAATGGTCTCTTTCGAAACGAACAGTGGAGAAAATGAAGTTGATAGAAGAATAAACATAACATGGAAGAAATATTGGGCTCAAAAAGAAATCCTTAAAGGGAACTACAGTCTCAACTTAAAAAAGATAATTATGGATTCCTGCATCCTTCCAAGCCTAACATATGCATGCCAAACATGGACCTATACAGAAAAAATAAAGAACAAAATCCTATCATGTCAGCATGCGATGGAAAGAAGTATCTTAAAGTTAAGAAAAATACAGAAAATAAGAAACACTGATATTAGGAAGAAAACCAAAATAAAAGATGCTCTTCAGCATAGTATGAAACAGAAGTGGAGATGGGCAGGTCATATAGTGAGGTACAAAGATAAAAGGTGGACTCTCCAAACAACAAAATGGCGAGGTCCAGCAGGAAAAAGAAATGTTGGAAGACAAAGAAAGAGATGGGAAGATGACATAATAAAGATAGCAGGAAAGAACTGGACGGGTATTGCTATAGACAAGGAGAAGTGGAAAAAGATGGAGGAGGCTTTTACCCTTGGGGACCACGGAAGTGGATAAAAAAGCTATAATAATAAATAATAATAATTAAAGACTGTCCCACGAAAAAAAAAAACAAACTTCAGTTGTGACAAAATCAATTATTTTAATTTAAAAACTAAACTACCTATCCAGTTTTGATAAAATTTCTATGGAACTAATCTGTAAATATACCCTTTCAGATAAAAAAAAAAAGATTCCAAATCGGTTAACAACTGACAGAATTATAAGGTAACAAACAAAAAAACTTTCTTTTTGAAGTTGATTGAAAATGATATAAGTTTTTGTATAGGAGTTGCGAGATTTTTAGAGTACCGTACAAAAATGCTACCGTATTTTTTATAGAGACCAATTTTTACATTTTATTTTATGAATAGGGCACTATAATTTAATTTTAGCTAATAAATGTTGAGATATTAAAAATACCTAATTCTACATCTAAAACAAATTATATTAAGACTGAATTCAACAAAAAAACCGACTTCAATTGTGGCAAAACTAGTTACTATTCTCCTTTTTATGAAATTGGTTGATAAAATTGTAACAGTCATACATCTATACTAATATTATAAAGCTGAAGAGTTTGTTTGTTTAAACGCACTAATCTCAAAAACTACTGATTCGAATTGAAATATTCTATATGTGTTGTATAGTCCATTTATCGAGGAAGGCTTTAAGCTATATAACATCACACTGCGACCAATAGGAGCAAAGCATCAGTAAAAACGTTGCAAAAATAGGGGAAATTATTCATACTTAAGGACTTCCGTTGCGTGCGCTGCGTAAATGGTTTAAGTTATCCAAAAAATATGTATGAAAAAATTATTCCTCTTCAAATGATCTAAAAAAATGTCTGCGACAGTATATATCTATCTTTTAAATTGATTCACTAACCTTTTTTATGGTAATCAAATTTGGTCATTATCAAACATTATTCATTACAAATCATTATTACCAATTATTTGCTAAAGAGTTTTATCAACATAATAATATTAATCCTTATCCAAATAAATGTGTTGTTGATTAAGACTATTTAATTGTGAACAAAATTGCCATTGCTTTACATCACATAATTTCAATTAACATCAGAGAAGATATTTTAAAATAACTCCGCAACAAAATTCACACGCGCGCATGTAAAATGCTATGAAATAACCGATCAGTTAAATAGGCTGAAACTTTATGAAGGTATTAGATATGTAATTATCATTTAAGTATATAATATGTACAAGACCGGATTCATAAAGGGTTCCAATGGGACAACTACATAGAAGCGAGCAATGCCGCGGGAAACGGGTAGTATTTTACTGAAACCCTTACTATCCTTAATATTAGTGTTATAAATGTGAAAATTTGTTACCTCTTGGCATTTTAATGGCTCAACCAATTATCACGAAATTTGGGCCATATGGTTAATCAATATATACTGGTCATATAGACAACTATCACTGGTGAGGGCTGGTATTCATTATAAATATGTATATAAGTAGTACATCCACATGCCAGTTTTACTATGTATTACTGGTTGACAAGAATTTAATTTACTATGTAATAAAGTAAGTAGAAATCTTAAGGCTAAAATGTTGCACACAGTTGTTCATTCATAGTATTAAATAATTACAATTGGACTTGAATTAAATTTAGAATACAGATGAACCATATCTTCAATTAACATATGCTGCTTTCTATCCGAATTTATAAGGGAAAATTCACCAGCTACAAGCAAGAATTACTATCAACAAAAAATTGTATACTTCATGCCATTTCGATAAGTTGTATATTGAAATTTCAAATTATATTAATATTTTATAAAAAAAATATTGTTAAGCAAAAATAATCCCTCCATGTTATTGCTCTGCACATAAAATTTACCCTGCTATTATATACTGATACTATAAGGTATCAGTTTGAAAATATTGATACAAATTATCCAAGTCTTGATTACAGATAATTATAAATACATAGTTTGGAGAGTTTTCTAGCTCCATTACTCATAAACTACACAAGCTTTTATTAAACTTATTAATTAATATTGAATAGTTTTACTGCATTAATCTAAATAAGGGTGAAAATAAAAGGAAAATATTTATGAAACAATATGAAATATCATAATACTTACTTGTTTAATTTAATATTATTTATTCCATACAAAACAGAATTATAAGTCTTATATCTATTACATAGGTTACTTTTCTAGTGAAATCTAAAATAGATAAGTGTCTATTATAACAAATACAATACATACAACATTTCATTTTCAAATATAATTGAATTAAATTATGGAACTTTCTACTTCTATAATAAATGCCTCTAAGTAATTAATATTCAATGTTGGTGATTTTTATACAGTTTTTGTATAATCAAGAAATAATTATCAGTGCTTAATAGATACAAATTGAAATAAAAAATTACCTTACAACACTTTAAAAATGAAGAATCATTATTATTAAATACTAGTCCTCTTTTTCCAAGTATGAGTTACATATTGTGTAATGTATTATGTGTGCTCTAGAAACCGCATCAAATGTCTATAATAAATATCATCATTTTTTACATATACCTAAGAACTTGATGCAGTTGTCTTCTTCATTACATATTTATATTCTAAATTATATACACTACATACTAAAACAAATAGTAATATTAAACTATGTATAAAAGTGTGAGGATATTTTTTTAGAGTTTATATAAACAGTGGAGTGACATGTTCTCAAATTTACACTTGAACATAATTGAATAAGCCAAACTCTATCAATGATGATTATATACTTAGTATTTAATAGTCAAAGTTTGTTTTTATACATATAGAGCTGACCTTATAACTCTTATTTTGATATAGGAGGATGAGGAGGACTATTTGAATTATTATCACATAGACTGACATAACATTCACGACCTACTCTTGTTCGTCGCTGGCCTTTGAGCAAGTGAGCAGCTTGTTCAATACGCATTACCAATCTATGCTGATTTTCCAACCTCTCCAAACAATTTTTGCATATAGTTTTAGGTAAAGGATCAGAACGAGACACCTGTAATGATGAAATAAAAGAGTAAAAAATTTGCTGGTTCTTAAATTTTATCAATTCGAACGCAGAAACAATTCGAAAGCATTATTTCACAGTGTAATGAACTATATTTGCTTACATTTATTGAAAGATATCTATTGATTTTCTCGGATATACACAAACGTATGCCTTCTTCTCCATAAATGTGAAGGACTACACGATGCATTTCTGAACATAATCTACATATAAATCCTGTAAGAACTCCTCGATCCAAACTACCCATTTTTGTATATTGTGAAAATAATTAATACACTAAAATTATTTTCAGGAACAAGAATTTTAAGACAAAATAATTAACAATTCACGAAAATGAATACAAAAAGTTGTTTTTTATTTCCCAAAGTCAAACGTCAGTCAGCGTTCAATATGTCAGTCATAAATTTTTAATTTCTTGGACACTAGGTGCCTAGGTAGAACTTGAATCTAACTTGAACTCTAAATTTAACTTGAATCTATGGACTAGTAGAATCAAGGCTTTGTAAAGGAATTACAAACTAAATTGAAAAGGATACTCTTGATATTATAAATGTGAAATTTTAGATAATTTAATAGAGTAAAAGTTATAAACGTTCTTAAAAATCCTTTTCCTAACTTTGGTTCTGCATTTGTATCAGTGTGAGTGAGTATGTAAGTTTTAGTGAATCAGAGTTTTCGAAATTCTTGTTCTTAGCCTAGGTTTTTAGTGGTAAGCACGGAATAAGTAATTAAAATTGTGACCCTTTTAGTCCCTTTTGCTTAGTAAGTCTGTGTCTTAGTATGTAGTTTACAGCGTTTAAATTTAATAATTAAACAGAGATAATATTAAAACGACTTTATATTCTATGTCTCAAATTAACAAAGATAGTGATTGTCGTCATGCCCTTAAATATTAGAAGAATGTTTTAGTTATTAATTGTCATAGATTTTATATGTCAAAAAATTATGTAAGATTTTCAGTTTATTAAAGCCTTAAATTCTGGCGAATTATACTTTCATAATTTCATTTTTATCGACTACCTAATATGAATATTACAGTGGTCATGGAAACTAGAACAAAATTACCAAGATAGTATATCAGTACCATAGACCCAGTAATAGTGTCCACGATCTCAGAAATATTTATTACATTCCCCTCACGACAAACATGAACTCTAAGGACAACTTTGAATGACTCCTATCTTGTAGAGCAGTTTAAATAGCCTTGGTTGTGGTAAAGCTTTGGTCAGAAGATCTGCTTCCAAATTTTCTGTGTCCTTATACTTTATGGCCACTACTGAGTACCATTGACCAAGTAATAATATCCACGATGTTAAAAATATTTATAACACTGTACAAAAAGTAATATTTAGTGGTATAGTTAGGGATGCAACATCGCTCAAAAAAACATTATAATAGAATATCGATATTTTGAAAAGTCAAATATTGATGTTGAAAATATCGAAGTTTACTAATGATATATCGATTTGTTTTCGATGTTTTACCACCATTCAAATATACATATATCTATATATGTCGAATAAATATGCATCTTTTACGGCAATGAAAAAATAACTATAGTAATAAAAACAAAATTATATTATTTTTTTACTTTTATACTATTTATTTTAACATTTTTATGGAATATTTATTAATTTTTAATAGAAAACAAGTATTAATTAAACATTTTTCATTTTTAAGTTTCTTTCTTTTAAATGGCTTTTAAAAATAATAATTTTAACAACCTGATGGTCAGTAAGCGGTTTCTCTCCGGGGTGATTATCGTTCCAATTTCTGAGAATAACCGCTCACTGGTTACCGAAGCTGTCACGATAGGCAAATAAATCATAGCTAGACTATGGAGCCCAGGAAATAACCCCTTCATATCATCCCACATCTCCAATGCGTCTCCCTTTATTGGAGTGACAGGTGATGACAGATGATATTTATTAACGATATATCGATGTTTGGAAAAATCGATGTATCGTTTGCATCCCTAGGCATAATGAGCAACACTAGCCGTGATCAAAACGTGGTTAAATTTGTTGTTGGCGCGGAGGAGTAAACATCTATTCCGACATTGACGTAGGGTGCTGGTTTCAAAACGTGGTATTTTTTTCCATATCTCTCTTTCTATTCGCTTCATCGAAAGTGATGTTATTATTTCTTTTTACTGTACTGTAATTACTTTCTATAAAATAACCTTATCCTTTATGTGATTCTACTAAAAAAGAAACTCTTTCAGTGTATCCAGAACAACAACATCCATATATTTGATTTACAATTCCAAGTCACATGTCACATAGTATCGATGTCTAAATACAATATTTCAGCCATGTCTAAATTAGAAGAAAAGCCTAGGGTGTTTTTAGAAGAATTCCGAGTTAAGGTACGCTACTTAAGTTTTTTTTAGTCATATCGCGCATACTCCTGTTTGTTAATAGTTTATTATTATTTTTAGTTTTTATAATTTTGCTTTTTTTATTACATTCTTACACAAAGAGGCAAGGTACAGAGTTACAACTTTGAATTTGGCATCATCATATCAGCCTTTAACTGTCCACTGCTGAACATAAGCCTCCCCTTTAGAGGGGTTTTGCCAGAAGTTGCTACGCTTGGCAGGTGGCCTGGCAATCACAGTTAGGCTTTGGAAATGTTTTGAAAGGGACTATTCATCCCTCGCTCTCTCTTAGTTGCCTCTTACGACACTCACAGGAAAGGAAGGGGAGGCCTATTCTATACAGGGACCACATGTCACTTATATTTGAACTTGAATGTGGCATACTATAGAGAAATAGTATTAAATAAATTTAAGTTCTATGTCTCTTATTCTCCATACACACTTTTATTTTAGTCTTTTTCTTTGCCTCTACATACAGCTTACTTCAAACATCTTCCTATAGAACTGACCATAATTTTTCTATAAATGATAAAGACATATATAATATTCCTAAAGTAATAACATAAATCTTGTGTTTATAATTCACATGCAACACATTTTGGGTCTATCAAATAAATGAGAAATGTAATTCTACATCATATTCTATCTATTAATTGATTTTCACACTAGTTCTTTTGTGGGTTATGCAAGAGAGAATTAGATGCCAAAAGTTTCTATCTATATACATCCACTCTTATTTAATAAAATTTAGAATTTTGTCTCATAAATAAGTCCCAGATTCTCTCGATTTTATTTCAGATAGCACTTAATTTATTTGCAGTAGGATAGTCTAAGTATTCTCTGATATCTGCTTCCATTCTTTTTTCGGCCTTGCACATCTGAGGTGATTACTAGGCTAACAAAAATTATATACAATATTGCATAATGTCATTAAAATTTTTTAGAATGCACCAAATGACTACGGTTTTGCTGATGAAAAATGGAGTTTTAAAAAATTTACAAAGAAATTTCGTATAATAATTGTTAGAATGAATGACTTCGAAATGGAGTTTGACTTGATTGGTATACAACCGGCATTTGCTAATGCTTTCCGAAGGTTAATGCTTAGTGAAGTACCAAGTATGGCGATAGAAAAGGTTGCCATTAGAAATAATACTTCTATTATTCAAGATGAAGTATTAGCCCATAGATTAGGATTAATTCCACTAAAGGCAGACCCTAGACTATTTGAATATCGAGCAAAAGGTTAGTATTTACATTTTATTTTTATGATATTTAAATTAGTAAACATATTGATGACCTAGCTAATGAGAAGTGGTAACTATTGCCTGTACATGTGCATAGTACTATAGATGTCACAGAATATAATGTGATTAATTTGTAAGAAATTTTAAATTAGCACTATAATTTGCTAAAATATTAAACTTTATTTGATTGTGATTGATTAAAATTTATAATTTGTTTACTGCATAATGTTAACTGGTTATATAGACATATTTAATATGGGCCATGTCAACCCCAGGATTGTCTGGCACCCATTCCAAGACCAGAAGCAGAGCTTTCAGCTATGAACAAAGACATGTTTAAAAATACATGTCTTTTTTAAGGTCCCCCAGAGAAAATAATCTTAAATTTTCCAAGGCTGGTTATCTCATGAAATTTTATATTTAGCTGTTGTATATACATTGCTGCTGTGAAAAAGTTTATTATATGTTGGATCAATATTTTGTATTACTCATTGATAAATAATATAATAAGTTTATATATCTTTAAGACACAACTTATTGAAGTGTGGCAATGTCACAATTATACCTATGCTATTTTTAAAAACAATAATCAATATATTTGATTAAATTTAAGTTCATTATCTGCTGTCATTAGAAGTACATAATCCATTAATGCTTTCAAAGGACAAGTGAAAGATTATCTTTTCTCTATCTGATTGTTTCTTCATTTCAAAAATTTACATTATTTATGTATTTATTTTATGATAGTTTGTTTTCCTTGTGCTTATAATTAATTATATATGTGTAATTATATATTAGTATAATATATATATATATATTATATCATACCTACTTGTATAAAAATTAGTCCATAACCTTAAGGTTGTCTTGAAAAGATTTCTCTCAGCAAAAGACACCTTACTGTACTTATACAATTGTATCTTTGTGATTGTAAATTTTTCTTGCTTATTTCCTATATTGTATAATGCAAATAAAGTATACTCATTCACATTCATTAAGTTTGAAAAGTGCTCTACTAGCAAAATGAAGTTTTAATCTTGCAATATTATTTATTGAAAATATGGATATTGATGGCAAAAAAATATTTAGAAAATTATAACCCAAAATTAGTGGTTTAAATATTTAGTGATAGATTTATATATGCACCATATGATTATGATTTCCATTTTAGTTTGCTTTTAAATAATCAATTGAATTTTGAAAATTGTTTAATGTCAAAATTTACAAATAATTGTGATGTTGCCATACTTCTAAATAAATACACAAAATTATCAACACTCTGTTAGTAATTCAATACATGTCTGGATTTTTTTTTATTTCTAGATTCAACAGAAGGCACAGAATTTGATACATTGGAATTTTCACTAAAAGTTAAGTGCACAAATAACAAAACACAAATAAAGGATTCCTACAGACCAGAAGATTTGTATGAAAACCATTGTGGTATTTTTCTTTTTATTATATTTTTCATAGAATTATACACACATATGGTCGAATTTTCCTTATAAATTTATTTAATTTTCAGTATACTCCTCTCAAATAAAGTGGCACCCAATTGGCAATCAAGCCTCTGTACATAAGGAAATTGATGTAGGGCCTGTACATGGTGACATTTTGATATCTAAAATGAGGCCAGGCCATGAGTTAGATCTTCATTTAGTTGCTGTAAAGGGTATTGGCAGTGATCATGCGAAATTTTCACCTGTTGGTGAGTATTTCTATTTCTATGTATTTTTTTTATCATTTAATTCTCAATAATAAAAAATATATCTGTAGAAAATTAATACATATACCTAATTATTTTATTGTACTTGAAATGGTAAACAAGCTGATGGGATTCCAGTTACCATGGAAAATGGTAACTGTCATCTACAGAGTGATCTGCATCATAGACATTACAGAATAGTAATTACATGGTATTCCTCATGTGTTCCTGAGGAAAGGTGTTGACTCCATACTCTGTAATGTTACTGTTATCGCCCACCCTTTAAATAGAAAAAGCCAAGTACAAATGCTTGACAGTAAAAACATTAGGATAAAGATGACACAGTTAAGTTTTATACAAAACCACCCTCTACAAAAACATTTTACTAATTGTAATAATATTTTTCTTTTCTAGCCACTGCATCTTATCGCTTATTGCCAGAAATAATACTAACCCGTGAAGTAACGGGTAGTGATGCAAAATTATTGCAAACTTGTTTCTCTCCAGGAGTCATAGACATTGATTCTAATGGCCGAGCTTTCGTGAAAGACGCTCGATATGATGTTTGTAGTAGAAATGTTTACAAATATGATGAAATAAAGGATGCAGTAGTCTTAAGTAGAATTAGAGATCATTTTATATGTAAGTATAAAATTATTGTTTGTTACGAGAATAATTTATGCTGAATGCAATTGAAATATATTAAGTAATTTTTTGTATTTTCAGTTACCGTGGAGTCAGTAGGAGCAATGTCGCCCGATGTGATATTTTCAGAAGCTGTTAAAATATTGAGAGACAAATGTAAATGTTTATTGGAAGAATTAAATACATTATAAAATCATTTAAATTTTAAATATTTATAATTTTTTCTTCACTAGTCAATAATGGTTACTAATATTTAAAATTATTAAAAATTAATTACGAGATCTTTTCGAAATTGGTGAAAATATCCCGTTAATTGCCACTTGTTCGCATATCGTAAAACAAACAACCGTCTTACTGCAAAAGCGTCTCTACGCTTTTGCAGTAAGACGGTAGACATCTGTTTGTCTAAACAAAAGAAGGTATTTAAAGTTATATATATATATATATATATATATATATATATATATATATATATATATATATATATATATATATATATATATAGAAGTAGCATCCCCACCCGCGCTATCGGTATACACCGGCGGCGGCACCAGTTAAAGATGATAGATGAAGATGAAACAGGTTAATTAGCCCATCCTGACAAATTCAATTAGAATTAGCCACGATGGTTTCCAGGGGGAACCACGTGGAGGTAGACTTGACAGGGTATATTGCTAGTAATGGGGCTATTTGACCCCATTACTAACACTCCCTTTCCCCCTATTTGTCCATCTATCCGTCCTAACGTAGAATAGCAATCAAACTGATAGTTTACCTGATGGAAAATGGGAGTCGTCGCCTATAGACGATTGAACATTACCATGGACATATCAGATTATACATTGTCGCCCGTGATACCCCTCATGCATTGCCATCTTTGAGGACTAAGGTGTTTTGTTTTATGAGTGAAAATGGTATGGTAACTCCGCCTGCGCTAACGGGATACGCTGGCGGAGCACTAGTGAAGGGTGATAGATGAGAATGAAAACAGGCCAGTTAGCCCATCATGATGAATTCATTACGAATTAACCATGATAGTTTCCAGGGGGAACCGCGAGGAGGTCGACCTGGTTGGGTATATTGCTAGCAATAGGATTCTGTCTCCATTACTAACAATCCCTTTCCCCTTATTAGACACTATTGGACATTAATAGATTGTCTTATGGTCGGGTCAGTTATTACTGATAGTAAGACAGTCTGTTAATGCTTAATTCTTTTGAAATGATCATACGTCCTCTTTTTTTAACTACTTAGTGCAACACTTCACACAGGACTTGTGAGAGATACCTCCATGGCCCGTATAATTTGCTACTACTACCTACTCTGGAGAGGGTGTTGCCATGTTAACAATCATTTTTAAGTGATTCATGCTACTACTACTCTTGTGAGGATATCTTTCTCTGGCTTCTAGGCTGTAGCTAGACCCAAGTTTAAGGTAAGGCAAAAGAACTTTTTGGTAGGACGTAAGCCATAATTGACTTCGAAAAAACGAATCTATTTAACTTTATTGGGGCCATCATTTTAAGGTAGGGCATTTCCCCTCAATGGCTCTCCCTAGTTACGGCTATGTTCACTCGTGTCAAGACTTTCTATGCCTCTTTCATTGGTCAGGAAGGCTTCTAACATGGCTAAGGCCTACATAGTGGGTAAAATTTCCTTGTTTGCTGATTATATCCTACAAATTACATATTACCTTCTTATCTCCAAAGTTTCTGAAGCGAAAAATTTTAAATAATTACAGTTAATAAAGGCATATGTGAATGTGGCAGGAAAAATATAATGATGTTTAAAACTAGCACCGTATTTGTGAAATTATCAAAATCCTCCAAAAGCAAACTTATTTATGCGGTCCAGTTTATGGTCACAGTTATGGCCCAACATAAAAAACGAATTGTAGTATCAATAATAATAAATATTAGGGGTCTTTTTCATATGAGAAATGCAATAATAATGACTTATTATTTCAGTCCGGAGATCTGCTGCGTGTTCATTCTTAGAAAATATAAATAAACGTAGCGGTAGCGTTTGTTCACTACACTGTTGCTCGCTAATCATATCTTTTAGATTAATTTGTGTATTTCCCATCACCGGAGAGTTAATTAAAAATTGAAATTTACACAATGATTAAATTGTGTTCTACAAAAAAAAAACCGACTTCGATTGTGGCTTATTGAGTATTATTATTGAGTATTGAGTTATTTGATTTAAAAGCTAAACTACGATAAAATTGATGAAACCAATTTGTAATTATATCACTTCAGGTAAAAAAAAAATTATAAATCGGTTTAAAACTGACAGAGTTATGAAGAAACAAATATAAAAAAATGGAACCTATTTTTCTTAAAGTCGGTTAAAAATATTTGGTTTCAATCAATGCCCAATTAATAATCCTGTTGGTATAGTAAATCTACGTACTAGCTACACCCAAACGTCTCTTACTCTTAGAATTATAAATAAATTATTATTTATGTATTATAAAAATGTCTATTAGTTTACCTATATATTCATCTACGTCTCTATACTGTACTCATTATGTTAGTCACTCTTCTTTTTGTTTAACATTTGAAAAGAGAGCAATAACGCTAAATAAGTCGCTCTTAAAGCATTGAACCAATAAAATATAGCGAAAGTACTAGTGTCCCCCAAAAGATAATCTGTATCAACACGGCCGGCACTTATGCAATAAGACAAGCGCCCCAGTGCCACTCGCCAGCATCAGTGGGCTCCGCGCCACCAACTGCAACGGCAACCGCCAACGAAACCAGTGGCATTCATTGCACACAGATGTTCTAATGTGATCAACCCGTATTTAATTAATGTGTCGAAGTCATCCATCGGAATCAAGATGCATTCGTTCAAAATCCTACCACTGTTTGTGTTTACGTTCATTCTTTCCGGCACAGGTGAGTTTAATATAATATATGCACAAAATTTGCGATAAATGAACAGCTGTAAATTCTTTTTTCAAGTGATTATATGGTTAAGTTATATAAAATTTATATTATTGTTTATTGATTCCAAAACTAATTGCATGACGCTTTAATTGCACTGTAATTGTCATGAAGTATTTCATAAGATCGATCCCAAACATGATGGTGCTAAGAAAAATAATATTTATATTTAAAGTGCGTATTCATTGCCGAAACGTAAAAAAGAAATCTACTTAATCATCTTTTAGTAATAATTAATATGGCAATAACACTTTTTTTTCCCTTAAAAAATCAATGCCCAATTATATATTCTTTACTGTACTTATGGGTGAAATATTGTGAGCAAGGGTGAACTTATCTCTAAAAGAGATCTCTTCCGGTCAACCCAATACAGTGGGAAAGCATATTGTTTTTTTATTAAATGATAATGGAATGGTAGCCCCGCCTGTGTTATTGGTATACACTGACGGGACTCCAGCGAGGAACGATAGGTGAAAATGAAGCAGGTTAGTTAGCCCATCGTGACAAATTCATTAATGAATCAATCACGATGGTTTCCAGGGGGAACCGTGAGGAGGTCGACCTGATAGGGTATATTGCTACTAATAGTGTTTCTAATCTCTATTACTAACAACCCCCTTTTCCCCCCTGGGAAAGCATATTGTTAACAGGCAATTAAAGAGCACGAGTGCTGTACGAAGTATATCTCGTATAACAAATAAGTCTGCGTTACATATTTTTACACTAATTGAGATTTATGTACAAATCCCGTCTCACGATTTCTCCGGAACCGTCTGACCGGCTAATAAATTTTTTTAGTTATTGTTAACAGTATGGATTTAATATGATAATAATATTTCTTAATCTCTTTTAAAGTTTAATAAAAATCAATGACTAAGATCAGTGACTGTATTCGTATAAAGAAAAGTTTAAGTTATATATAAAAATCCTGTGTTACGATGTTCGTTAACGAATTTCCCCGAAACTGTTCAACCGATGAATGAAAATTTTTAAATATGTAGGCGTTCGTTTGAGAGATAGGATAGTTTTATGTAAAATAACGTCTGCCGTGTCATCTAGTTTATATAAAATACATATATCAATATGGTTGTGAAAGAATATCTACTGTGATCCCTAAGATATCTTTTAGACGTTGACATTCTCGAGATTTAATGTCTTAAAACAGGTCATTTTAACCTTTACTCGGAATATTAATGGACTATTTGTACTAAAACACAAGTCGCAACATCTTACACATTATTGCTTCACGATAGTAACATTCATAATAAACATCAACATTCTTAACAATTCATTCGAAATTTTGACGTGGTTTTTATATATTTCATTTCATGTAATTTCAAAAATTATTTCTACTCGACTCAATGTTTCTAAGCAAAAGTCTTTCAGTATCAAGGATATGAGTACTTTTTTTAAATATTTAAATAATTTTAAATATATTAAATTATAATTGTAATCATGCCTACGCTATACGCTGGCGGGATACACGTGAATGATTAGAGGTGACGATTAATTCAAGTTAATTTATGTACCAATTAACATGACTTTATTAGGAATTGACCAGGAATTAATCATGATAGTTTCCAAGGAGAGCCATGCAAAGGTCAACATGAGGGAATATACGTCTAGCCATCAAATTCTATTATTAAGTACTTTTTTCTTTTTAAATGGATGATAATGGAATGGTAACCTCACCCGCGCTATCGGTATACACCGGCGGGGCACCAGTGAAGGATGATAGGTGAGGATGAAGTAGGTCAGTTAGCCCATCGTGACGAATTCAACAAGAATTGTTCACGATGGTTTCTATAGGGAACCACGTGGAGGTCGACCTAATAAGGTATATTGCTAGCAATGGGGCTGTCAAACTCCATTATTAAGTACTTGATAGCAAAATATTATAAAGAATTGGCGGTAAATTAAGAGAGTATAGTGGAAGGGTCTTTATTGAATGAAAATGGAATGACAACCCCGCCTGCACTATCGATATACGCTGGCGGGGCACCACTGACTAATAATAGGTGAAGATGAAAGCTGTTCAGTCAGCCCATCGTGATGAATGCAAAAATTAATCACGATTATTTTTAGGTGAAACCGCATGGAGGTCGGTCTATATTGCAAGCAATGGTGTTGTTAGACCCCATTACTAACAATCTCTTTCCCTTCATCGCGAAAGCATAGTTACAACCCAGGAGGAGGGGATTATTAGTAACAGGAACTAGCGACATGCTCGATAGCAGTGGATCTCATGGTTCCCATTGAAAATTATCGTGGTTCATTCCTGACCAATTCATCAAGATGCGCCATTTGACCTGTTTTTGTCCTCACGTGTACCCCGCCAACTTAAACCAATAACACAAACAGGGTTACAATTCTGTTTTCATTATTCTTGGCACTGAACTACTTTCGCCAAGGAACATTGAGTCCAATTGAAATGATTTCTGAAACTTACACACAAACTGCGAGGTCGTGTAATCGAATTAGTAATGAAAAAAATATTAAGTCTTTTGTCCTATTAAAGTTAAATATAAATGCAGTTACAGTATTTCGTATTTTCATTACGTATATGTTCCTTTCCAAATCTTAGTTCCATTCTCTCCGTAATTCAGTGTTTTGCATAAATGAGGTCCCGGGTTCAATTCCCGTCGAGCCAATGAGGCAGAAGGCTAGGTGGATTAGAAAACCTGCTTTACACTGTTCTTAATAAGATTTATTTTTTATAACCCGCCGAATTTAATAGATCACTCGCGTTAAGGTCGCAATATTAAGAGACTAGCATAGCTTATCATCATCATCATCATCATTTTACTGTCCACTGCTGAACATAGGCTTCCTCCATAAGGAAGTTTTTGCCAGTAATTGCTACGTTTGGCAGGCGGGTTAGCAATCGCAGTTAAGCTTTGATTATGTTTAGCGAGACGCTGCTGCCCATTCCTCAACCATTAAGTTTAATATATTTAATATATATAATAATGAGTAGGGATAATATTTATATTATTATATGTATTACATCTCCCATATCTAAAACTAACAAAAAATTTTTCATCGTGCCTCCTACCAAATTGTTTATAATTACTCCTCTCCATCTCAAGGTTGCCTGGAAGAGATCGCTCTTAGCGATAAGGTCGCCCATTGTTTTCTCATTGTGATTATTTCTTGTAATTATTTATTTCTTGTAAGTATATAATACAATATAAGACCGGATTCATGAAGAGTTCCAAAAGGAATGCTATACGGGAACTACATAGAAGCGGGCAACGCCGCGGGAAACGGCTAGTAGAAAATATAAGTATTTTCTTATTACCTACAATTAGTAGCAGCTTATATTTTCTATTTTCAAAATAACAAGGCGTTACCTAGCAACTGTGTAGTAGCTAATTCAAAAGTTACAGTAAAGCGACCAGATACAATTATTTATATTCAATAGTACATACTTACATTTGTAAATTATTTATTTAATTTAATTAATTATAGGGCGAAACAGTATACTCTGTTATGTCCATGGTACTGCTCATGTCTATAGGCGACGGTTACCGCTTTCCATCAGGTGGGCCGTCAGCTTGTATACCATTCTAAGTTGTATAAAAAAATACACGTTATAGCACCATTTATAAAAATAATAAATTATATTAATGTAAATAAGTCACAGACACATAAATATCTTTATTGTATTTTTTTCATTGAGAATATTGCGTAAATTTCAATTTCTTTTTTCTTCTACTGAAACTTTCACTGTTTAATCACAGATAAAGAATGCTTCAACTTGAGAAAAAGTAAATGTTAGTGCGGCGATACAGGAAATGCTAGCTACAACCAGCAACATGCTATGACTCTCGGCTAGTCATAGACGGATATGTTCTATAGAGAACACGACTACTCGTCATATGTTGAATTACTTTTATACCTACTTAAGTTTTTAAGTTACACTTTTGGATATAAAAAAAAAAGATACTGAGTGGGTGACTGACTAACCCATATATTAATGCACAGCCGAAATCGCTGAATCTAGAATCTTGAGATTTTGCAAATAGATTTTTTATACAGCGTAGGTGAAGAATATGTAAGGAATTTTGAAAATTCAACCACTAAACTAAAACGGGGCTAAAACGGTGGTTGAAAGTTTCTAATAAATAATTTAAGATTATGTACAAACCGTGACCGTGATAAAAAGTTGCCTGTTATTCTCCATCACATATATATAATGTGTATATTAAATTTCATAGCGATTGGTGAAGCCGTTAAAGCGCTAAGTGGTGATAGACAAACAAACTCACTTATTTATAATATTAGTAAGAATATCAATGACAAACATAAGCGCCAATGATCCGTAAAATGCAGAATGGAAACAATTACGTACAGTTACATGCGTCCGTTATTGCAATGCACATAACAGGAAAAAATATTGTTCGAAAATGTACTCTGCGTCCGCGTCCGATATTACTTAATAATTTGTACTCATCCGGGAGGTGGTACTTTACGAGTACTTCACTAATGTCGAGGTTGTACACTCCGTTACATAAATAAATTCGAGTTCCACATGTCAATGCAGGTTTTAAGTCATGTAGACACCTTTAGATAGATATTGGGCCGATTCTGACGAGTTATTTCTTTCAATTCATCTCTTAACACTATATTTTAATTTGAATAATTTCGCGAGATAATAAAGTATCCTATATTCTAAATTAGGGTATAACCTATCCGTGTACTATATTTCACTCAAATTCGTGCATTTTTTACGTGAAAGAGTAGCAAATATCCATCTATGCATTCTTACAAACTTTCGTATTTATGACATTAATAGAATTATAACAAGATGATGATAAAAAACGATCATTTTTGGATGCAGAGACGTGTTAAACTAAATTAATATGTTAATAAGTCAATAGTTAACATCGCAACGATTGCAACTTACATTCTGAGAAAAATGACCAACGGACCGCAATCAGTTAAGGGTCAGCCCGTATGTAACCAACCGGTATAGATTGCATAATGAAATTAAAATAACCACAAGTGAGTTTTTTTATTATTTATAAATGCAATACAAGAGAGTTGAATTTTATTTACGAATAAGTTGTTCCGTAATTAACTAGTCATTTTTATTTTAATTATATAACAATAATTACAAGTTGTGCGTACGCCTTTGCGCGCCATGTCCGGGATATACTCGTACCTACTCAGTAACCGTAATAATAAATATTTTCCTCCTTGCCAAATTTGTTTTGATAAATTTCATTACAATTGCCAGTTTTCACATTTATAAAACTAGGTTAAGTTAACCTACTAATTATTTTAAATAAAATATCAATGTTTAACCCAAGTCTGTTCAGAACATATATGGTAATTTACCGATCTAGTCTACTATTAGGAACTGATTTTGGAACGTCATTCTGTAAATATTTCATTTCCTCCTTCTAAATATAATAATATTCTTATATATTACGATGTTTGTAATGGAACTCCTCGGAAACAGCTCCACCGATTTTTATGATTTTTTTTTATGTGTATTTACTGCTATCTCAATAAAGAAAATTAAAATAAGTGTCCATCCTGTACCAACCTATATCGGACACTAGTAATTGTTGATCGAGTATCGTGTTATTTTCAACACAATATCTCCACTGCGTTCGTTGATGTCTTTTGTTCGAATAATATATGTACACGATCGAATGGAGTAGATGGTTAGTAAGGCCCATACTTTATTGTTTCTTTTTTTTTTACCATTGTTGCTACAGGGAACGTTCTTAGAAAACTGGTTTATAATTTTTTTTTTAATTGAAAATTTTACCCACTTTCACTGAATTTGAAAAATAGAAAGTCAACAAGATTATGGGTATTTTGTACAAAAATATTCATTTGTTATCCTTATCCTTAAGGATCCAAAAATGTTTACCAAAATTATTACTGTTAGTCACAGATTCAGTCAGCACCACAAGTTAATTAACAGAATTAGATTTCAAAATTCTTTTGTGCGCATCGCGTTACGGACATAAGTAATTTTGACTTTTTATCATTTTTATTCAAATCCGATGTTAATATATAACAAACTACGAGGATCCATTCAACGGTATTATGGGTTTTTGAACATCTGGTGATGACTGTACGATTATAATCTGGTGATAGACCTCTAATTTTCATCTGTGCACTCGTGTAGCTACGCAACAGCTCGTCTCCTCAGTTCATGTAATTGTTAGCATAGTAGTAATAGGTATCTATTGGAATCAAGGGTTACATTACAAAATGTCGCCATTACTTTACACTTTTACCTATAATTTTAGTAAATATATAGTGAGGGTCGCCTACCGTAGACGTGTTTTCCTGTTTCTAAAATTAGGTACTGATTATTCTCTGATAGTTCTCTAACTTAATATTTTTTCCACATGCTCCCGTAAAATAAATTTAAATAAAGGTAGGTTCCTTGTACAAGATTTTTAACACATTTTGATAATGCTTCTATATTTATTTATTCATTAATACATGTACGTATATAAGGTGAACCTTATGCTTAAAATCATTCTCTTCCAGTCAACCTTAAATACGTGTTAGTGTTTCTTCTTTATGCATTCGATAGACGTCACAATTGAAATCTGGTAAAATTAAATAAAACTGAGGTCGTGCATGTGATGTTTTATCAATATAATTCTAAGTACAATATCTCTATTTAATTGCCTAATTATAAAATTATTCACCTCATTTATTATTCGTACTTTGTTACGTGTAGCAAAAAATTTGACTCTGATTCAACAACGATTTCGCGATTTCGAATTATAAACTATCACAGTTTTTTACGGTCAAGGCCAAATTGTCAATTTTGTATTATATTTTTCAATATGTGTTCACTTCTATATTAACTATGAAGTAGATTAAGTAATTATACCCTTACTAGAAGTTTTATTTTCTATTTATCATTTTCTTTATAACGTCTTAGGTAGTTTTGACATATAAAATCAATTTTATATATATATATATATATATATATATATATATATATATATATATATAATGACCGGATCAGTTAACATAAAATGTTTTTAGCACGTTTAGACTAAGCCAAAACCGAGGAAGTATAAGTGCCATAAGAATCCACTCGCTTGGTCTAACACTAACTTTACAGATGAAAATAAACTTAATAGAATATCCGTCGTTCACAAACTTGCATCCCTTTGGATCTAGTTGGAAGATAGACGTAACGTCCTCATCTATCACTGGTATAAATAAATAAATGGTACAATACATAGCATTATCTGCTATAATGAAGTTCGCAGCCATTAACACCGACAGTGATTGTCAAATTTGTTGCAACTGCATATAATTGCAATTGTTGGTCGGTGTCGGTCATTCAACCTGAGAATTTCCATGCTTCAGAAGGCACGTTAAGCCGTACGTGTCTATTGTTGTAGCTAACACAATTTGTAAATTCAATTGAATAGTTTAAAAGCACCTTGAAAATTGTCTATGGTGACTATGGTACGTAAATACACTTATACAGTCATATCCACTGCTGTTAGCTGGGAATCTTCCAGCTGAGTAAGTATTTCGTATAAACCTATGGCTACTTTATTATGAGAATTAAAGATAATTCTAATCCTGAAAATCCTGTAATATGTAGAATAGCACCTTATTAAAGAATAGTCAAAACATTGTAATAGACACTATTACTATGTACTTTTTTAAAATATCACAAATATTATTATCTAATTCAACTGAATTTGAATCAAAATAGTAAAGGAAATTTTATGTAACACCTATGTAATGTTATACTAATCTTCAAACAACTGCATTTTATGACTGGCAATCGAAACACGAAAGAAAAAAAAGTAACGTCATATTAAAATTATTTACTTTATAAGGTAAAATTTTGTCAATTTAGTTAAATAAATCTATAAAGTAATCAAATTTAATTATCTGAATATCATGGTGATAACAAATGAAGTGGATTTGCCAGAATTCAGTGCTCTTAATGTGCCCGAAGTGAACTTATCGACGACGACTCTGATGAGCGCTGCCCCGTACCTCGGGAAAGCGTGTGAATCTATCAACAACGAGTTTATGTTGTGTCGTCAAGAGCTGAAAGATCCACGACAATGCTTGGAGCTGGGCAAGCAAGTTACTGCCTGCACGATGGATTTCTTTCGGAGATTGAAAAAGAATTGCTTACAAGAATTTAATCAGTATGCTAATTGCATCGATAAAAGCTCTGGAGACTACAGTTTTAGACATTGCCGGAAAACACAGTCTGCATTTGATTATTGCATGAGTGATAAGCTGTGCATGGTTCGTCCTGGCTTCGGGTATTTCTGTCGCGCTCGCATCCACTCGAGCTCGAGACCGCAACCAGCCGGCACCCCGTGTCCTTGTCACCCGGTAGTGCCAGATGCTACTCCCTCGTTGCCGGACTGCAAGCCTCGTCCACCGGCACGTTTTGGTAGTCGTTACTATTGGATGACTGAGTGAATATGGACATGTGAACATATTTAATGTTAATGTAATGTAAACAATATAAATAGTCTCTTATAAAATGTAAAGGTAGTTTAATAAGTGTCAACCTAATTTAGTATTCTGTACTACTGCATACTAGTAGTATTTATAAGTTACTTACTTTTACCCGCGACTTCATTTGTGTGATCGAGATGTGTCGATGTGTGTGTGTGTGTGTGTGCCTTTCTTCATTCCATAATAGTACGTGTATACCAAATGTCACAGCGACTGGTTGAGTTGTTAAGACGCTAAGAGGTAACAAACAAACTTTGTTTCATATTTAAATTATTAGTAAAAATATGTAAGCAATGATCTAATTGGTGACATCGTACTGGCAAATTCTCTGGTATTCCTGCCACATTTTTTTTATATACCACGAAGGTGGCCGACAAGCATACAACCCTACAACACCAGGAATGTCACGTGCGCGTTGCCGATACAAAAAGCTTGTTATTTGCCTTTTTTCATAAAAATACACGAGATATAAATCTTGATGACTGGCTGTAAAAAATGATGTAGGGATACTGACTATATGATTTTATTTTCATATGGACCCCATATGAAAATAAAAAGACATTAATTCTTATTAATCAGTTAAACCAGACATAGTACCTAAGTCCTATACGAGTAGATGCGACAGGACGAGTGACTTAACTTTGATAATCTGGTGCGTCATTGAATTGGTAGCGATGAGGTTACATTACGACATTGCTCTGTACGCTTCAATAACATTGTTCGAGGTATTTAAACTCTAACCCACTTACTGAATTTTCGTTGACCTTCGCTGATGCAGCACAGTGCTACCTGTCGCTGCGGCCGGTAGCATGTCCCGGCGTCGCAATGACATGGACGTAATGTCATCATAATTAAAGATATACAAAAATCTTCACTTTTGTTTTTGATTTGACAAGGGTGAAGTACCGCCAATATGTAACCCTATACAAATTAGTTCAGAATTGGCAAAGAAAAAAATAATATTTCTGTATTCGGTCAAAAATAACTGATAATACAAAATAATTATGTATAAATACCTACAAGTTCTGGCACAAAGCTCACACGGTAGCATGTCCTACGATTTCACGTAATGCCATATCAATCACTTTCATAAGTACTTTGTGTAAGTAGCCATTCCACTTTTTTATGTTATGCAATGTAATGCAAAACTACTTATGTAAATACTTATAATAATAATTATATGAAATTTTTTTCCAATCAGTTGTCAGAGTTTATCTTATATTTAACTAGATTTTTGCGTGATGCCGGAACAAACATACAGACATACAAAATTTCTAAAAAATATTGTCTGGCAACTATTAGTCTTATTATGTCCCTCATATTAATTTTTCGTAATCATCTCTCATGAACAGACGTTGTCTAGTTACAATTTTATTATATTAGTAAGATTATAACATAGCAATTTATTACATATTTATATATACCTAATTAAAAAAAACTTATCACTGCGAACAATTTTCATGATACGTAATTAATTTCAAGTCATTTGAAAAAAAAAATACGTATTAACATAAGTCTAATCCATCTGGAACTACCATGTCGAAGACAAAGATTTCATGTATCTTGATAGATGCATTAAATCCTTGTCTTCTTCTTTCTTTGTCATCTTTGGGGGTGATCCCCAATTATTTTAACCCCGCAATCAAACATACTCTTATATGATTAGGTTCTAACAAACAGTTTTTAGACCTTGTTCTTAATTTGAAGATCGACTTTTAATTCAGTAAGTGTTTAACACCTATTTCACGACTAATTATAATATTGCAAAAATCAGACAAATAATACCTAGGTACATCTATATACAATTATTAAAGAGTACTAACCTTGAAATAATTAAATTTCAGTTACTGTACCTAATTAATTTGATTTCACGAGCAATCAACCTCTTAATAGACGATTAGACTTTTTTATTCAAGCATTATTTTAAACGCTTTTATTCTACGGATACACAAATATATTTTAATAATTTAAAATATGTTTGTCGCAAAGTATCCTATAGAATAAAAGATTGGTTTTATATAACTTTTATATATCTATTTTGATCTGCCATATAAGGTTACTACAATATGCAAAATGTTCATTGAGGTTGTGTAGTACATTCTAGTTATTTAATTTTATTATAACTAGGTACAACGTTATAAACAGGACATTCGATGGATCTGGTCTGCAAGCTAGTCAATAAAACCACCACTCTCAGTACACTGAAATTCATCAGTGAAAGATTTTTAAGTAATGATTATTAGGGTGATTAAAAATAAAAGTCCCATGCCTACTTGTATTATTTTGAAAGAAACATAATAATTATGCAATCAATCCATAAACTAGAACGTTATCCATTATGTAATGTAACAAATATGATAATAACGTAAAAAAAAAATAATGCACTTACATGAGAGGAGGCCTAATCAGCAGGTTTGGCTTTACAATAGTTGCAAAATTAATTCATGTATTATTAGTCCACCGGTGCTCACATATATACATAAGTAGATTTTGTATAACTTTGCTATTTATGAAGATTTTCGTCAGTTTTCATTTTTCTCAAAGCATTTTTTTTTTCAACTAAAAATGGCAAACAAGCTGACGACGCATCTGATGGAAAGTGGTAACCGTCGCCTATAGACAAGAATGTACCATGGATATAATCGTATATACTATTTCGCCGTTTTCTGAAGACTAAGGTCTTATGACTGTAACCTGTAAATACACTGCCACATTTACCTTTTGAAATTAAAACACAGCCATGCAAACAACTGCTTCACAGTAAAAGTAGGAATGGGACAAAGGTACAAAAAAACAAATTAATTAAAGTAAAAAGAATTCTAGTGTCCCGTGTTTTTTTTTTACAACACAGGGGGCAAATGAACGTGCGGCTCACCTGATGGTAAGTGACTACCGCCGCCCATGATTACCCACAACACCAGTGGCATTGCAGGTGTGCTGCCGGCCTTTTAAAAAGGAATATACTCTTTTCTTGAAGGTTATGTTGTCGTATCGGTTCGGAAATACTGTTGCTGGAAGTTGATTCCAAAGAATGGTTGTGCGTGGAAGAAAGTGCCTTGAAAAACGCACGGTGGAAGACCGCCACTTGTCCAAATGATTAGGATGAAATTTTAGTTGTGTGTTGTCCACAGCCGAGGGTCAATCGCTAGCGTGTCCAGCGGTGCGCACCAGTAGCGGATGGTTGGACTTATTCCCATTACCTTGTAAGAAACACACTGAATGCAAGGTAATGGGCTCACTGTACCTCTGCTGCAAAGGATTCTGTACAAAGGGCATCCAGAAAACCACTCAACTACGGTTAGTTGTCATACATTTTAATAAGTAGAACGCTTTGTTTTAAATTGTAACATCTATGTGGCGTACCTAAAAGGTAGCGCATAGAATTTACGATTTATGCCAATGTGCAAAAATGCTTTATAATGTACTAATCAATATTTTTTTCCTAACATATACTTTACATATCATTCCTTTGCTGGATCACCCTAAATATTTTTTTAAACAATGATAAATGAATCATGATTTTTAATACTTTACTAATACCTCACTCTACTATATTAAATTGATATTTATGCTTTTTCATGCCACAGTAGTAAGGAAGCATGTATGCTAATGTGTAAGGTTGGAACATTACATATTTTATTAAATTTACTTATGTCTTTTAAAGTTTAAAAGAGTATTTTGACATACAGCGTGGTAGCCTGCCTGGTGTTAAACGGTTACAGTAACTTATGGTATGATCTGCAACAGCCAGAGCATCGCATGCACTTTATTGAACCTGGGGATATTCTGTAACATAACTTTTTAAGAACCCCATGCATATTATCATAATTGCATGAAATTGACAGACTAATTATTCATAAACGTTCTTTATAGCTATTTATTGAGGCATAGCTAGTAACTAACAATCATTTCAGCCGTTAACTGCCAACTGCTGAATATAAGCCCTTCCCATAAGGGGGTTATTGCCAGTAGTAGCTACGTTTGGCAGGCGGGCAACTGTAGTTAGGCGTTTAGAGATGTTTTAAGAGGGATGCTGTTACTCATTCCTGTACTATTAAGTTCCCTTAATCGCTTCTTACGACACCCACAGAAAAGGAAGGGGTGGCCTATTCTATGCCGGGACCATACGGCCAACAATATTCATCAATTAAACTATAAGAGAATAACCGTGCAACAAATTCATTATCGCCACTAGGTGATTATAACGGCCGCTTTTCTAATTACCATATTGTGTATATCTTCGTAATGTTACAAAGTATGCCATGTGTCAAAATTAATAACTAAATCCATTATAAAATATTTTAAGTAATGATTGTATACATAGCATATTATTTAAGTTGCGTAATATCGAGGGCATGAGCATATATTTTTACATATTTTTTATTACTTTTTTTATTATTTTAAACAAAATCACAAACCAGTAAGTGAAACAGAAGTGGTAACCGATGCCTACATAGACAGTATAGATAAAGGTATAGTTAGGTAGATGACTAGAAACTAGATAAATCATACCACAGATATTAGCATACTTTAACTAGGTCAGGCAACTTGTTATTGAAAGACCTTATCGATAACCGAATCTAAAATATTTTATTTTTACACCAAAAATGCCTTGCTAGAGTCTATCATAAAAGTAAACTGACGTGGCAAATGAGAGCGTTGTAGATGTATTAAAACATTATATATGCTGAACATTATTAAAAATAACAAATATTATGCATACATGTTTTAGGTTCACAGCAAAATTCCAAAATGCAAATATCTAAAAAGGAACTTTATAATTCCATTAAATCTATACATATGTGTCGTATGGCTAGGTGTATTTACGAAGGAACCAGGTGAATCCCAGGTGTTGTTTTTTTTAATGGATTTTTTGGATTTTTTTGATGGAATGGCAACTTCATCTGCGCTAAATACGCTGGCGAGGTAACAGCGAGATATGATTAATGAGGATGAAAAAGCAAGTCAGTTAGCCCATCGCAACCAATTCACCTGGAATTAAACATGATGGTTTCCACGGGGGGACCGCGAGGTGGTCGACCTGATAGGGTATATTGCTAGCAATGGGAAAGCAAGACCCTATTACTAACAATTCCAATGCCTTGCCTCTGTTTCTCATAATTAAATTGAGTTCCACAAAAAAAAAGCACTGACTTCAATTGTGACAAAATCAGTTATTTCGATTTAAAAACAACTACTGAACCAATTTTGATAATATTTCTATAGGATCAATCTGTAAGTATATCCTTTCAAACAGAAAAGAGTTATGAGCTAACAAACATAAAAAACAACCTAATTGAGACTGCACTGAAGTCGGTTGAAAATAGTTTTTTTTATGCAACTTAGAATAGCAAAGAAGCCGATTGCCCACCTGATAGAAAATGGTAACCGTTACATATAGACATGAGCAGTACCATGGACATAACAGAGTATACTGTTACATCCATGATACCCCCATGCGTTGCAATTCCTGTAAATTTACTGCCATATCCCATTCTTCAAAACCCGGAACACAGTCATGTAAACATAACTATTTCACGGTAGAAACACGAATAAGATAGTGGTTTCCGAACAAACGAAAAGTTTGACAGTTTAAAAACTTTGACGTAAGTATCTCCTAATTCATGAACAAAATATCTTTACTCTTAATACATTAAACATTTGATTGAAAGTTTTTATCATCAGATCATATCAAAGGAAGTATAAATTGATTATGCCTGTGGTTTCAAAGACCACAATGAGACAATTGATGTGATTTCAGTAATAATTTATAATAAAGGAAGTACACCGTTCGGTTGTATTTTTTTTTTATTAATAATAACTCAGTTATTTATAAGCTTTGAATAATAAACTTAAGAAGTTTGGACAATTCTTTTTTATCTAAAAATAACCTCTAGTTTGTTCAGACTCAGATGCACAGTGTAAACTGTAATGTCTAATGTAAATATACATCAGTCTTTGTGACTGCCGTCTTGACTTTGTGTTAACACTCAGCATGCATAAATTTCTGCAAGCATATTTTAATCTATCCTAATAAAACTACTGCCTCCTTTAGAATGATTTTTGGTTTGTTAACGATCTTTTTCATCATCAGAAAGTTAGCTGTAATTTAAATTAACACAGATTGTTATCCAGCCAGTATCACTCAAACACAACCTTGGAAATCAAAGCTATGCCACAACAAATAGGAACCAGTATGATATACTGAAGTTGCTAATTTAGCACAGCACGTACTAACATAAGTATAACTCCATATATGCAAGTCATAAATGGAGTTTATCGAGATCTATAAACATAATTCAGTCAGCCAAATGAAGCAATCAAATTATAAAACCACATAGTTTCATGGGTTTCTATAATATAATAGTCATTGAGTATTATCGCTATATGATTATTCCTTTTCTATCTGTTCTCCTTTAACTAAAGGTTGTCTGTAAGAGATTGCCCTAGCGATAAGACCGCCTTTTGTACCTTTATGTGTATATTTCAATCTGTATTTATGTTACTGTATTTCATTTGAATTATTCACTTGTCATTGTATATTTTTATTTATGGTACAATAAAGAGTTAAATAAATAAATAAAATGTCGGGGCTCTTTCTACATCATTTTATTTTGTATGCAATCTTATGCATTATGTATGACAATACATACGCAACAAACGTGACTGTTTGATCTTTCTTTTCCGTAAAATTAAGTATGCCTACTTCAATTATAGTTAATAATATAATGCACCGCGACATAATAATTTGGATATTACATGTCTGTAACTACTTACTATTACTAAGTATTGTATATCTGAATATGATATGCAGTATTTCTCATGGTGCGATCATACTTGATCTATGATTCGGTACCGCAGTACTACGGATAACATGAATACTATTTAATACTGTAGTAAAGTATACAACATGCAAATTACTAAACAGGTAGACCATTAGATAGTTTAGATCATTTAATATTTTTGTTAAATATGTTACACACTTAAACCTTATTATTTGTTTGACGTGATCACAAGATCATTTTTAAAATTTAGAACAATAGGATTGTACATAGTAGCTGTATTAATCCAATCTGGAAAGCAGGTTGGGAAGTTGGTTCAAACCAACTTAAGTGTCTAAGTATTATCTGGGTATTAGGCACGATGAAATCTAAATAAGTACTTACTCTCAGCTTGGTTTTGAATACTAGGTTTTTAAAGAAAAAAATATCAATTTCTCCTGAGTAAAAAATAATACATCTATCACTTTTGTTTTATTTAATTAGGTATATATTACCTATTACACGTACTAAAAAGAATAATATAATAAAATTTTATAATAGATACTTAAAAAGCTTCAAATATAATTGAGGAATGCTTGTATATCTTTCAAGTGACGTTTTCGGCCCTATAATCTTCGGTATTTTTACTTTTTGGATTTCTGATGCTACAGCCAAATGAAACTTTAGGCGGAAGTGTTTTAGTGTTCTAGCTTACATTATTTGGACTAACGTAGGGAATCCAACAGAAAATTACAATCTCTGAGAGTAAACCCAGTAAGATTATAAAACTAAGATTTAATGTTAATTGTTCGGTTAAGTAATCAGTCAACTTTTTATAGAAATAATAATATCCAGTAGAGACAGGTTCATATATCCTGTTTCAAAGATAATAATGAAATGTACCTACTACAGAGTATTTATACTCAGGTGACATGCAACGGAAGTTCCTACCAGAACAGTGCAACTAGCAGGAGTATAAGGAAATGACGGTGGACTCGACGGTTCTGTTTTGTAGGTTCTAGAATATTTTGTAATGTGTTGAATACCATTTTTTATAGTATAAAAATAGATAATTATTGTTAATATTATACTTTACCTACCTGTTACGGAGTAGGTACGTTTGAACTACTTAGGTTTGAAAATTGTCGTTCGATACTTATCTACTTATTTTACATTCAAAAAGTGAGTGGTACAGCTAAAGGCCAACAACTTATCTTGACACTAAAATTGAGCTATACTACGCTATCTACATATATTTTAAAGCCTAAATCGCTTGTAATTATTATTTAATTAGACGCAGTAAAATACATAGCTAATGTCAATTGCCAGCTCATAGTTATGCATAGAACATTTAGAATAGAATTATTATTAGACGTATAAGATGCCTACTTAGTTAACAGAAATATTTTTTTTTTATAAAATTCGCAATTCACCGCGCAGTCTCATCTTATGATGTAGTCTAAGAGGTTGTTACAAATATACAAAACCTGCTCAAATATAAAGACTGGTTGTAGTAGAGGTAGTAGATACTAAATAAATGATTTATTATTGTAACAACTCCCAGTTGTATGTATACTAACGGAATGGGCAAAATCAAGTCACTTGTAATCCCTAGAAGTTTCAGCATTTAGATACCTACTAAAATTACGTTTAGATAAACTCCCACTAATATAACCGCTTAACCACTTAGAGATTTCCATTTATGTAATAACTAGTAGTCGCATGTTCTCTGCTTGTTTCCTACCTGCACTGCACATTTAGTTATTAGGTACACTTATATAGTTCCTACAATTCGATAAAGGGTAATTTTCAAGCTAACTTAATAAATATCTCGCGAGTCAAAATTTCATTACCTATGTACCTAATTCTATACCTAATTGCCTAACTATTAAAGAGATAGTGTAGTTAGTTTTTGATAAAAAATATAAGTGACTTTCAAAAAGAGGTGGTTCGCAATTTACACGTATTGAGCGAGTAACTGGAAATTTTATAAAAACTCGCGAATTTTAATACGAATAAGCTGATTTTGTAAAAAAAAAAAAGAAGAAACATATTAAAAAACAATTCCTAAAGTGTGGCACTTCTGTTGTACGATTTGTTCTACAGTTGTTTCACGACTACTGCTATATTCTCATATATTTATTTCCCTAATTTCCACTGTGCATGTTTTTTCAGTCCACACATCTTAATTGAGCTTATTTTTTTGTTATTCTAATATTTATGATAATTCTTTTTAAAATCATGGGATTCAGCACGGGTTGGCCCCATTTTAAGTTTGATACTTTTTGAAATTACGAAATCTCTTTTTCTTCCTTTTCAAGAAAATATTAAATATTTAAAATTTCAGCTCTCTAGCCTGATCGGTTTAGCGTAGATATTTTGATCTCAAGACTAATATATGGAAGTATAAATATCCTAAAAACGCTTTTTATTATAAACTGTCAATAATTCAATAGCGCTTTACAACACGAGTTTAGTCACGTAGACACTGAGCGGTGGTGGTTTCTTTGTAGAACCAACGTGCAGGCCGCGAGTAGCTTAGTGCAGTCAAGTAGCACAAGTACAAGCACAACCAGCACCACAACCACAACTACTACCACCACCACCACCACCACAACTACAACTCCGAGTACCACCAGCTCCAGTACCACCACCACAACGACCACACCAAGACCGCCGCCACCGCCGCCGCCTCTGCCCGCGTTGGATGCCACAAGACCCTTCCTGCAACTTTTGCCCATTCAGACCACTGCGGCCAACACTCCGAAGGCTAATGCTGTATCTAAGACAGGTAAAATCAGTTGGAATTTTTTGTTAAAAGACCATGGCTTCAGTAACTATTGAATTTTTGAAAAATTGTATAGACAAAATTTCATGTCTGTATGTTCGAATTCTAATTTAAAGAATACTTGGCGTGTACAATTTCGCCTTTATATACATACTAAAGTAGATCCAGGATTACATACTTCCAGATACTGCCTGATATTACAGTATACATTATAATGATACATTAAAATCGGCATAGAAATTTCAGGGATAGCTAAAAGTATCACCACAGGGAGTCTTTGTACAAAAGTAGTTTACCTCTGTCCCATTCGTGTTTCAACATTGAAGCAGCTGTTTGTATGGCTGTGTTTTGGTTGAAATGGCAATTAATTTACAGGGTACAGAGGAATAACACCCGAGTTCTCAGGAACGGCAACGCATGAGGGATATTATGGGCGAAACAGTATAGTCTGTTATGTCAATGGTACTACTCATGTCTATAGGCGACTGTTACCATTTTCCATCAGGTAGGCCGTCAGCTTCTTTGACATTCTAAGTTGCAAAAAAAAAGATTTTGAGAATTACTTTAGGAGTCAGTAGAAGAATAAAAAGAATTCGCATCTGGTAATGAACTAGACCGTTGTTTTTAGGATCTGATATAATAACATCTGACGTAACTTATTCCCATACTCACAATACTGCGTCGGTTTACGTCGATAATGTGGATTACTCGAGCACAGGGAAAACACAGAAACTGGTGTGCCCAAAGTCAGCACCCGCGGTACTGTTCCCGATACCGTGTGAGAACAACGCACAGTGCCGAGCCAGCAGTGGCCCCGGACAAGTATGCTGCGGAGGACGTTGTGTCAATGGAGTACCAGCGCCGCGACCTGTCGCCGCACCCAAGTCCCATCAACGTATGATCAATTTATTTATTTACCAATTATATACATTAAAATTTAAACTTCAAATACCTGCCCCCTAAAAAAATTGCATACGAATCTTTTAATAGACTTGTTCTCGTTAGCAAGTCCATGAGATAGAATGAGATAGCGACATGTTTATTTTTCAGATGCGTTATCGATCGCATCTGAAAAAGATATATAAAGATAAAGATTCTATCAATAGATTTATTTGCCACATGTCTAAGGGGACTGAGTACTAACCCTCAATTTTACTTAAACGATTGAAGGTCTCTGAATTAAATTTGAGATGAAGTCATAACCCGCGAGTTAGAGCTAAGTAATAATAAAAGGGATACCTATATTCAACGGGATTAAAGATATACTATCATAAATTGCAATAAGGATTACTAATTATTACTACTAACAATATACCCTGTCAGATGGGGCTTCGCGCGATGCCCGCTCGAAATAATCATGCTTAATACTTGGCGACTTCGTCACGATGGACTAATACATCTGTCTTCATTCTCATCTATCATTACTAACTTTTACCCTATCACCAGTGGCGCAAGCGAGGTCACTAATTAAATTTTACCCTGTTTAAAAAATATACAGAACCCTCAATGCATAAGTGACATCGTATCAGCCCTTAACTGTCCACTACTGAACATAAGTCTCACTCTTGGAGGGTTTTGCTAGTTGCACGCTTGGCAGGCGGATTGGCAACCACAGTTAGAGTTTGGAGATGTTTTAAGAGGGATGTTGCTCCCCATTCCTCGCCCTCCATTAGTCACCCTTTTCGACACCCACGAGAAAGAAAGAGGTGGCCTATTCTATGTCGAGACCACACGGGACAAGCGATAACCGTACAATTATTCAAAATGTTTATTGTATTGTTATCAAATTATCATCTTTCTCACGTCCTCGTAATTACCATTGTTAATTGTTACAGCGTTACTGGGCGTTATACCTCGAGAATGCCCGAGTGCGCCGCTAGGCGAGTTGCTGTTTGAGGTGCAGTCGTGTAAAACCGATGCAGATTGCTGGCCACGCATTTGCTGCCCCGATGGCACCCGCTCCTACTGCCGCACGGCTAAGGCCAGGCTGGACCTAGTTCCCGTCGCCCGGCAAATTGACGCCCGTTCGTTTTTTATTTTTTATTTTATTTACAACGGCAAACAAACAACAGCCCGTCTAATGAAAAGTAGTAATGCACGAATGAACCTTTCGTTCCACTATCTTTTCTCTATTTTGAAAATTTAAAAAAAATCAACTTTAATAAGGAATTTTAAAGTCAACTTTCAGAAAATCTACAAATAAAATAATACTCGTATGTAAATAAAATAAATGTGTTAATTGCCTTATCTTAATTATTCCAGCGGCGACCTTAGCGTACCAGACGCCCCTGGATAAGTTTTAACGGTACGACAAAAAAAAGGTGGTGAAATCGCACCTTTTACTGACATGCCCCTGAGCAAAACGTTAACTGCGCACAGCTGCTCTGCTGGTGGTGAAAAAAGAGATCATTGTTCACTGAGACGTCCCTGACCATGACCAAAATGTCGACGGTGTTCGGCAACTCTGACCTTTAGCGCCCCCTTGGAACTCGGAGCCTTCGGGTGACGATTATAACTCGTATTATTGATACAGTAATAGGAAATTTCTTATTTTGAGCTACAAATGGAATTAAAAACTAGACCGCATAACTGGGTTCTAGAGGATTTTTAATAATCTCTCAAAAAGTTAGGAACATCATTTTATTTTCCCTCATATACCTTTAATTATTACACTATTCGGTTTCTAAAAGGAGTGTTTTTCATTTCACATTTCTCAAACTAATTAAAAAAACTACGCGGAATAATGATAACTAAAAACAGTTTTAGAATGTACAAATAAAGCCCTCTCGTATGATACCTCATTTGGACTAGGAGATTTTTGAGTACATACCGATAGCATTTGTTGTTCGCTGTTGTTTAGTTGATAGCAATTGCCTAAATAAAGCGCTGCGACAGACGGTCAAAGTCGCACCATAAAGGTTCCTTTATACCTTTACCAGAGGGAGACTTTGTACAAAAATCGATTGTTTGGGTACCTCTGTCCCATTCGTGTTTCAACCGTGAAGCAATTGTGTTTGCATGGCTGTGTTTCGGTTTGAAGGGTGGGATATAGCGTGAAAGAATGCATGAGCACTGTGGTTTATAAAGTACCTCTCTGAAAATTGTTTAAAAATTATATTGTAGCTTTTTTTAAACGAGTTGTTGAGACTAATTTGTGTATATGAAAACAGAATGATTATATACTGTTTAGTATTTGATTATCGTACTTAATTATAAATAATTTACCGTTTTTCCACAGCTGTAAGAATGATAGAACAATATCTGCAATGCACACCACCACCTCAATATGACTTATTCCCTAAGCCGTGCAGTTCTAGTGTAGACTGCTTCCCTAGCTTGTGCTGTGCAGAGGGAGGCAAAAAGCACTGTCGACCGCCACAACGCAGCATTTTATCTCTTCTTTCCGGTGTTACACAGGTAAATGTTTTATATACGAGGTCTGTCCGGAAAGTTCGTATAAAAGTGTTCTGGAATGCGAGAAAGAGGAGTGGGGAGGCCAGGTAAGCGCAGGACCCCTTCCTTATGTCCCTAACAATGCTTCAGTTCTGGTCTGACCGCCGTGCGGTGCGAACTGGCTTGTCACGCCATCTGTGAAGTTACCTCTTAACGAAACCCCGTCGGCATGGAGCCCGCTTCCGTTGAAGAGCAGCGCGTCGTAATCAAGTTTCTCTCGAAACTCGGCAAGAATGGCCGTGAAATTTTTGCCGATCTCAGAACAGTTTATGGGGATGATGCTGTGAAGGAACCAACCGTCCACAAGTGGCTAAAAAGATTCAGAGAGGGCCGAGAAAGCGTTCAAGATGACCCACGTTCAGGACGTCCTTCCACTTCACATTCCGACGAAAACGTGGAAAGAATTCGAACTTGTGTTAATGGGGACCGTCGTTTAACGGTCAGACAGGTGGCTGAAGAGCTTAATTTGGGCAAAACCGTGGTCCACGAAATTCTAAGAAACGAACTTCAAATGAAAAAAATTTGCGCCAAGATCGTTCCCAAGCTTTTGTCCCCGGATCAAAAATCACGAAGAGTTGCTTGCTGTGAGGACTGTTGTTGGCCCCGTGTGACTTCTTCTTGTTCCCAAAAACCAAATTGGTACTTCGGGGGCGGCATTTGGGGGACATAAATGAGATAAAAAAAGCTACGACGGGGCAGCTGAGAAACCTACAACCAGAGGACTTTCAAGGAGCCTTCTCACAGTGGAAATGGCGTTGGCACAAGTGCATTATGTCACAGGGGGAGTACTTTGAAGGGGATAAAATTGATTTACCTGAATAATTGTAAAATAAAATTTTTAAAAAACTTTTATACGTACTTTCCGGACAAACCTCGTATATAATAAAACTATAGAGGTCGATGTGTGCATAATTTTTTTGTTTCTCTGTCCGTTTGTACGGGCTTATCTCCGAAACTGTTGGACCGATTTAAATGGAATTTGCATGGTGGTACATTATATCCCCGGTCAATTTAGATACTTTTAATCACGGAAAATTAAAGAGTTTTTGTGAGAGATAGTAAAAAACTATAGTAACTTATACAGCTTAGTACACAAGCTACTAAAATACATTCATTTTAACCGAATACAAAAGTGAGAACGAAATTTGTTAATTTTGGTCCAGTATTCAAAAACAAAATAAATAGGTAGGTACATACATCGATACATAATAAATAGGAATAACAAATACCACGCGGACAAAGTCGCGAACATCAGCTAGTATAGTATATTTTTTTAACTGTAAAATAGATAATAGAAATGAGTTATAATTACAGTTTATCAGATTTGCACAATGATATGGCTAAAAGAGAAGTAGTATAAATAATAGTTTTTATATTTTATAGCAAAAGGCTAGCTTACTGGAAGACTTAATGCTATTGGTTAAGTCATTAAAGGTAACAAACAGACTCACTTTCAGATTTATAATATTGGTAAGAATAAATTTAATCACTTATTTTTTTCAAAGAGAAAACAATGCTTGCTAAATCCCAATTTAAAAAATTGGGATTGCGTTTACAATGACAATATATTGCACCAGGTAATAGTAACACAAGGACAAAAATTTTTATTTCACCTGCAGTGTTAGATCCGACATGCCTGATTTGATAACAAAATACTCAAACATGATGTTTACCATTACATTTTTATTTACCTCTATATAACACCGGATATGGAGCTGGTAATGTGTATAAAAGACGAGAACAGGGATAAGGTACTGTTGATTATATTATTGACGAAAAGTGCAATTAACAATTGTTGGAATAAATATAAAATAGCTGAAAAGAAGTCCCTCCGGAATTACAACTACAAACATACACAGTGAAATAAATTGTTAGTAATGGGGTCTGTCCCATTGCTAGAAATATACCCTATAAGGTCGACCTCCATGTAGTTCCCTCTGGAAGCCATCATCAATTGATCTGCATTAATTCTCATCTTTGATCACTCACTGGTGCCCCACCAGTGTAAACGAATAGCGCAGGTGGGGTTACTATTGTAATACATTAAAAAAAACTACAAAAATATATTATAACGATTACTTAACAAGAACTTAAGTTCATAATATTAATTTCATTTTTACAGACAATTGGATCTACATTGGGCAATCTGCGACAGGCGCAAGCACAAATAAACAAAAATAAAGTGTAATATTATATAATATTATTAGTAGTAATATTGTAAATTATTAAATTATAACAATTTTGTATTTTTATACTTTTGTACAGATTATAAATAAATTATAATATTAAATTGTTTAATCATTTTAATCTATTAGTATAATTGTGCTGTCAATACTACTTTATTGTATTCTTGATTCCTTGTAGCTATCACAGCCCACACAGAATTTAGTGTTTATCTTAGGTACCCTATTAAATGACTTTCAGTAATAGTAATAATAAAGGTGTTACCTTTATACATATAATTTTCTTAATTACAAGTAATTCTGACTGATATAATCAAATACTGGTATGTGACTGGAAGATTATGTAAAAAAACAATACTTTTCATAAATGTGCATTAAATAGGGAATATTTTTATAGACAAGCCACATATTAGACACTATTATCAATATTTATTTGAGTTGATAAGGTACAAAGTAATTGTAAAATTTTGAAGATGAGTTTAATATTATCATAAATAAAGTTCCAAGAAGTTACAAGACTAGACTACTAGGAAATTTTATTGCTGCCTAATTGTTAAAAAATAATAATTATAGTAGTTTAGTGGATAAATATTTATTGCAATAAAACAACAGAATACTTACTTAAAGTTTATTATAATTATTAAATGTTTACCACATTTAGTCCAGCTGAAACAATAATAAAGTAAAAATTAATATTCAGATAACAGTTATTACTAATATATAATAAACCAGTGTAGCTAAAATTAGAAATAGCAAAGATTTAGTTTTTTGTTTGTAATGTACAAACTAAAAAAAACTAATTAAAAAAATCATTTATTGAAATAACACTAACAGTGGCTGTAATTTGTAAAAAATAAGGTAAGGCCAGGCCAATGTAGATATCAAATTTAAAGACCAATATTGTTTATAATCTCAACACAAGAAAACACCATTGTCACATTCACAGAATCTATTTTCTATTTTTTTTAATTATTTCTGTCATTAACTGTCCACTGCTAGATGTAAGCATTCCCCACAAGAGGAGTTTTGCCAGTAATTGCACACTTGGCAGGCAAGTTGGCAACTGTAGTTAGGCTTTAGAGCTGTTTTTAGAGAGATGCTGCTGCCTATCTCTCACCCTCCTTTAGTCGCCTCTTACAACACCAACGGGAAAGAAAGGGATGGGTATTTCCATGCCGGGGCACACACAGCATTTTATTATTATAAAAATTTTGTGAAATTGAAATGGCAAACAATCAAAGGGTTTACATGATAAATTGCACCATATTCATAATTGAATAAGCATGTTGCATTCAATACACTGTGATGTCCATAGTACTCATACCATTACCATGCTGGAAGAGTAAGGCCTTACTCATCAGTACCCTGTAACATTATTGCCTTAACACCATACTGAAGCACAACACAGATCCTTTAAATTTTTTGTGACTTTTACACATACTGATAGATGGAGAATAGATACATCAACAGGTCACCGACAGATTACAAGCTATAAGTAATCTCAAATATAAAGTAGCAATAAATATGTACCTTTTTAAAACCAATATCATGTGCATATTCCCTGAAGCACTGTCTACAGATATTCAAGCCATATTTGCGGATTAGGCCATGTCTGTTGGAGCAGGCGCGGCTGAAACAGAAAGTATACCGTCGTAAAAAAACACGTGTTCTAACCTAGGCTATATCACTTTTATAAGTAATAATATGATAAGCGAAAATCCATACCATGAACGAGATCCCTGGCCGTATTTACGAGGATGGGAATACCAAATATTTGCATGACCCATTATGAAATTTTTATTTTTCCTGCAGAGCAAAGAAAAGCGCGTAGAAAATGGCGATCGCACAGATTAAAAAGAATGAGAGAAATCAAGTAATAGTTAACAGAAAGTCGTGTAGTTTCCAGTTTAAAAGGTACTCTGTAATAAGACTCTATGTTGTCTTGATTACAGAGTACCTTTTAAACTAAAGGATTGTCTTGGAGATTTTCTGTTTGTTTATAACCTAAGAACAAGAAATTACATAGAATGATAAAATAAAACTGCAAATCATATGATTGTCTCCTTTTTTCTTTTACAAATATAATTAGTAAAAAGAAGACGAAAAATATACCATCATTTCTCAATTCATAGCAGGCTAGTGTATGAAAATGTTCTTTCTCCTTTTACTAATTATATTTGCATAAAAACAAAGGAGGCAATCATATGATTTACAGTTTTTATTTTATCATTCCTTCTATGTTATTCCTTTTTCTTAGCTGCAAGAATATCAGAAAATATTGTTAAAGAAATTATTAGTATTATCAAAGTAACATAGTAGATATTACAGCAAATAAGATATAATTCATAAACGATTACTACTTGAAAAAAATTGCATTCTTTCTTTTTTTCTTTCATAATTTTTAGGATCATTTCTATCAACGTCATGTATAAGAGATTCGTAAATCGAAAATTATTATTTTTCTATAAATAATATTCAAATAATACTGTCCGTTTGGTCCCAGTATAGAGTTAAGCCACCTCTTCCTTTCCCGTGAATATCGTAAGAATCGACAAAGGGAGGCCGAGAGTTGGGCAGCAGTATCCTTCTCAAAATATCTCTAAAGCCTAACTGCGGTTGCCTATCCACCTGTCAAGCGTGGCAACTATTGACGAAACCCCCCAAGGGAGAGGCTTATGTTATGTTGTGTTGTGGTGTATTGTGTTATGCTATGCTATGTTATGTTATGTTCAGCAGTGGATAGTTAAAGGCTGATATGATGATGATGAATATTCAAAGTATACCAAAATCATAACAAAAAATACGCATTGACCCCTCGCGTATTTATGTATACTCAAACTAAATGCTCGGTGACACACGGTAATAATTTCTAAATAATAATAAATCATAGACTATAAGGAAGTAATTAAGAATAACATATAGAATAAACATTAAGAATAACATATCTATCTATAAAATTATGGTATAAGGCAGGAGGAAGCACATAAGTTCCCTATGGGTCGATGTGCAACGGCTTAGTTGACCCCATATGCGAAAATAAGAGAAGAGAATACATTAAGAATAGTTAACTACGAGACTAGGATCGATTCTGAGGCTCCATACAGCGTATAGGTAATATAGTCGACGATATTGTTAATCTGTTTTATTTGACATTTGATAGTAAATTGCTTCTAGGCAGCATGGTCTCCGACCTTAGCCTGTTCCAAACGGAACAAACGTACTAAAAAGTAAATTGCTTCTTTCAAACATAATCTCTCTACTCTATGGTAAATTGCTTGGAAGTGACTTATTTGATGAGATAGATAAAAATTACTTATACCTATCTCTACCTACATACGTGTATAATTAGTAATTACCTGTCTTAATTTACCAGGTTGTTTACAAGGTGAGAATTAATTTTTATTCATAAACTTTTAAAAGAACTTTAATAATTAATTCAATCTCTATTTTAATACGTATTTTTCGCATTAAAATGATAGTTAAAAACAATACCTGTGTTTGCTACACATATTCATTTTATATTATTTTATATTTGTGGCATTTGTTTGTTCTTGTGTTTGTATTTTTTTATTATATTATTAATATTATTGTGGGATGAATGTTGAATGGTAACCTCGCTTCTGCTAATGGTATATGCTGGTAGAGTACCAGTGAAGAATGATAAGTAAGGGTGAAAGCAGGTCAGTTGGCCCATCGTGACGAATTCAACAATAATTACCCACGATGGTCTCCAAGAGGAACCTCGTGGAGGTCGACCTGATATGGTATATTGTTAGCAATGGAGACTTGCACTACTAACACCTCCACCATAATATGAATTACAGTGTGATATGAGTATTTAATCTTTATTAATTAAAATAATGAACAGTAACAATGATTTCAATTTTAATTATTATTTCAGTTCTACATAAAAAAATATAATTGTATAATATATATTTAATTTCAGAATAAACTGACATTCAAGATGGGCTTTATATTTGGAATTATAAAGAGACTAATAAAATTAGCAATATACTTTACACTATTTGCAACAATAATTGTGTTCATTCCAAATTTACCGCCTTATACAAAATTCACAGCTATAAAGTAAGTTGAAATGTATAGTAATTACTATAAAAATTTAAACTAACAGACTAGAATAATTCTGCACACTTACTACATTAGGGCTTATGAATGTTAATGTGGAACTAATGCTATAAATATTAGTTCCACATTTAAATCAATAAAATTTTCTAATCAATATAATTATTAACACTCAGTCATATGTTATCTGTATAAACTGCCATGTTTATATTTATTAAGATAATGTATGACAAATAAATAATTAGTAATAGATAACAAATATATTTATGTAGGCATAAGTAATAAATTTTTATTTAAATATGGAAATTATTTTTGATTACAATGCATCCTCTACAAGTACATAATACCTCAATGTGTAAAATTGTTATTACTTTAGGTAGAACTGATATAGAAAAAAAAAATTAAATCAATAAATATGCCCAAGACTTTAATCCTAGATGAGGTCAAGCATATAAATAAAAAAATATATATATATTTTAGGTTAGAACCAACTCAACCGCAGGTTGGGCCACTTGCACCTAATGGTGCTTTGAATAATGCTGAAAGACTTTACAATAAAAAGTTGCATGGCCCAGAAGCATTCCAAGTATATAATGGCGAAGTGTACACTAGTTTAGCTACTGGTGAAATTGTGAAACTTTCACCTGGTGGCCATATCACATTTGTGACTCAAATTGGAAGACCATGTGGTAATACTTTTATTACTTATGTAATTAATCATTTGTATTATGTAAAAAAAATATTTTTTTTTACACAATACAACTGACAAAAATTAAAACTAATTATTATTTCAGTTACATTTAAAGGTATTTAATAAATAATAATGAAATGAAGACTCCTCTTTTGGGTTAAAGATATACCGTGATGGGATACCAGTGAGGGGTAATAGGGAAGTCAAGTAAGGTAATCAATTCATCAAGAATTAACCAAATATGGGTTTAAGGGGTCACCACATGGATAATAATATTTAATATACCAATGTTTAAACAAATCTTAGATAGCTCCAAAATTCATAATGCAAATAAATTTACAATTTATTACATAACTTCTTGAAACTGTTCGGGGTGTCATATAAGTAAAAAACCTACATTATTGGTTATGTAACTAATATTTGAAATTTAGAATTGCCTTGTGACTATTGTTCAGATTCATTATATCACCAAATATACATTTTATTACATATAGATAGACTCAAATTGTCAACCAACAAGATATAATTATAAAGCTGCAGTAACAATTAGGAAAATTGGAGAAAATTAAAGTTAAGATGTTTCATGCCTTTTTAAACAGTAACTCCCAGTATATTTATATTAAATTTAATGACGTTTAATTAGTATGACTAAATAAGTTATAACATGATACAGAATTATTCACACTTGCTATAATGAATTAACACATTTCCTTACCTTCTGATGACCGCGCGTTCGATCCCCGCGCAAAATAAACATTTGTATTTATGAGTATACCTGTTTATATGGTTTGAGTTTTATTTATTTAAAGTATGGAAGTATTTGCACAAAACGCATGTCTAGTACTCATAGTACAACCTCAGTTTGAAACTAAATGGCGTTATATATTATGCCCTATAGTATTAATTATTATACTTTTTTATTTTTCAGCTGGACTTCATCAGGAACATATCTGTGGAAGGCCACTTGGATTTGTAATAGATGAAAAGAAGAATATCCTATATGTAGCTGATTCATATCATGGCATTTGGTCAGTGGACCTAAAAACTGGCAAAAAACAGCTTTTAGTATCACCGACAGTAGCGATCGATGGGCGACAACCTAAGTTATTCAATAGTGTTGCACTAGATAAAAATGGAGAATTGTATTGGACAGACTCAAGTAGCGATTTCCATTTGAGGGATGGTGTATATTCACTAGTTACTGATCCCAGCGGAAGGTATGTTGTTATTGTAAAATAGAGTTAAAAGGTTTATAATGCTTTTTCAAATTTTCTAGTTTTTACTTTAATAAAAAAAGCTTTATCAAATTTTTCAAAGTCAAAGGCTTTAGCATGAAGATGAATAGATTTTTATTATTTATTATTTCATTATAAATAATTTTATTTTTTTATAAACTAAATTACTAGATTGTCAATTGTACACTTTAAACTTTTAACTATTTTACCTGAAGCTCTGATGTTTACCCAGGTATTGTGTTATAGTATAAATTAAGACTTTGTTTAAAGAATATCATGGATGTCAGACATGGAGATTTGTGTTATTCATATCTTGTGAACAGTAGTAATATTCAGTTGACAACATTAATTTGTTTCCCAGGGCTAGTAACCTAAGGTGTATAAAAAATTAAGAAAAACTTCACCAATAAAATGTTTATTTTACCAGGTTGTTCCATTACAATGCTGCCAATAACAAAAGTAATGTGCTTCTCGACGATTTATGGTTTGCAAATGGCGTTGCAGTTTCTTTTGATAGCCAGTTTCTAGTTGTATCAGAAACAGGGCGTTTCAGGCTTCGAAAATATTACATTAATGGACCCAAAAAAGGACAATCTGAAGTTTTTATAGCAGGCTTGCCAGGTACTTGAGGTTTTTTACATAATAATAATAATAATTTTACATGTTACTAAAGGATTGTTTGTTATACAAATATTGTAACAATATTAATAGTAGTCATTTATGCTGTTATTTGATCTATTGAATAGTTTCTTGATCATGTAGACTTGCAACAACCCAACAGTAATCATGAAAAATATTTGGAATATAGACCATACATCCACAATGAAAGTATCTTCAAATGCTAAGTAGCTATCACGTGATTTCATTGCACCATACAGATCCAGTAGGTGGCGCGCCTTCACTACTTGCTTTAGTGTCCGGCTTAGCGATTCATGAATATGTTTTACTTCGATATAATAGGCATTCCCTTCTTCATCAGTACCAGTCCATTCAATAACTTCTTCTTCCTCTTTGCGCTCTCCGTCTGCGTCTACAACGCTTACTTCGGTCTCATCATTATCATCAGTTACCTTGTTTTCAATCATCACATAAACAAACACAAGTTTTGAATTAATAACACTGATAGTGTTATCCATACAAAATACATAATCACCATCCATCTCTAAATCCATTATGATGGAATTTTGTGACTTCTTGTAGTCTGCTACCAATTGTACACCTTGTGGGTTTATGATTTCAAATATAATATCCAGGTCCCCATGTTGACCATCGAGAACCTGATAATATACTTCTAACGTTTGTCCAGCCTTCCCTTCCTCGAAAAAACATGTTCTTGATCCCGGATCCACTCTAAAATTAACATCAGTTTCGTATATTGATTGTGCTGCACATTGCACACATAAAATTATAGCGAAAGTGTAGAAACTCGCGTAATGCATTTTAAATTATTATTTCAAGTATAAGTTAAATAGTTCTGGTTGCTATTTCAATGTTAAGTGAGGTTAAGCTGTTACTTTTAGTACTTTCAATAAATTGTTTGCACAGTTGTATCAAATTGTTCTTGCGCATGACAAAGTAAATAAGCCACGTTTTCAAGTGAGTATAGTGTTTTATGCAACGCAATACGTTCACATTAATACTGTCACCTTATACATGATCTTGTGTGCAGGTGTACCGGATAATTTACGAGCGCTACCCGACGGCTCCGGTGTGCTGGTGGGATTGTTCACTACCTTCGATAATGACCATCCAATGATCTTCAGGTCAATGTCAGAGGCGCCGCTAGCCAGAAAGTTCATAGCGCGACTAATTCGACTTATTGAAATACCATTTGAATATCTCAATAATTTATACCCACATGTTATTTTAGAAGAAATTATACACAATGTTAGTAATGGATTTATTTATTATTCTAGTAATATGGTTAAATGAGAAAAATCCTTAAGATTATCAAGCACTTGATACACAATGTTACTACATTATTCTTAGATCAATTTGATTTATTACTGTCGTCTATCATTGCCAGATTAGTCACGATTTTTATTTATTTTCTAATTGACACACTTACAACTATTAAATCTAATTCAGACAAGTAAATTAAGCTGTAAAGTTCTGTCGTGATTAAACTTATAGTGTTTGCCTATAGTTATTTTAAATAGGCCTGTAAAATTTGTTTTCATTTAGAAATTGTAACAATTAAATAAATAATTTTATTTCAGATTGGTAACTTCAGACTCACCAGCAAGTTGCAATGGGGTACCTCAGGCTTAATACAACTTGACTGGAATGGTAATGTTGTGGCTTCATATTACAACACAGATGGAACATTCCCTTCTATTAGTGATGCTATAGTGTACAATGACAAATTGTACTTGGGTGCTCCGCATAAGATTGAATATATTGGTTCGGTGCCAGCTCCTCCAGCTTTAAAGAAAGCATTTTCATCTAAGCTATCAGACAAGGATGCTAAAGTACCACCAAAAATGTCAGAACAAAAAATTAAGGAGAACCCAAAGGTAGAAGAGAAGAAGACTCCTCCAAAAGTTGAGAAACCGGTTGTACCAGAACCAAAACAAAAACCTCAACCTCAGCAACAAGCTAAACCAGTACCTCCAAAACAGCCTGAAGTAAGGTCTGCTCCTGCACCAACAGAGAATAAGCCAAAGGCAAAGGTTGAGCCAACAGTTAAAGCTCCAAATGTCCCATCAGGTGGTAAAGATAAGAATACAGCTTCCCAACCTCAAAAACCTGTCAAAGTAAATCCTCCAAAGCCTCCTGTTAATAAACCAGTTCCTGAGCAGATACCAATTAAGGAGGAAATCCCATCTGATACTATTAAACCTAATAAGGAAACTCTTAAAGTGATAAAAAAGGATGGACCAACAGAAATACCCAATCCTAATGTATAGGTAGATAGGTATGTGTAGGTTGTGTTTTATATGTATAGAGACTTGTTCAAAAAAGAGGTGAACGAACAAAATGTAAGGAAAATTTACGGAATAAATTGTTCATTTTTATATATTTATATTAACACATTTTGTAAAATGTTTTTAAAAAATCTTTATTTGTTTGATAATTTTGAAATTGATATCTTTGTTCCAATTATATTTCCAAGAGATATTTCAATGATTCTTTTGCATTTCTTATAACATTCCATATATTGTATTCCTTTGTAATAAGTTAATATACAATATTATTTTTATATTTTATTTCTATTATCTATAAATTTTAATATTTCCTATTCAGCTCAAATAGATCGTAGATGTCTTTACAGATATGCATTTATATAGATAGAAATGCATGTACTTTGTCTATTTTAACTTTTGAAACAAATTAGTTTTATGTAGGGCTTAATTTCGAGTTCCAAGTTCCTACATAATGTTTATGTTGCAGTTTACATAATTAGTAAATTATTATGTAAATGTAAAGGCATTGCTGATGATATTTTTAAAAGGGTCTAGTGCAAAAGGGATTTGTTGTCAATAAATAGCTATTCAGGATGTAGTTCAGTAGTGAGAGTTTATATAAATTGGGGTACTTGCTTTATCTATCTCTGTCTCTGGTCTTTCTCATTATCACTAAGAGTATTTGATCTCAACTGCTGATTTATGTTTACCTTTATTTAGTCAATTTAGAAATGACACATGAGATCTTGCTAAATTTAGTTACCATAAACAAGTACAATATAAAATGTCAGTAAACTTTCTAATCATTATTTAAATAATACTCGTATTTTAAAATTGTGAACTTATTTACATGAAGTGGTGCAGAGGGTTGGTTAAAATTTTTATAATTTTATAATTGTTGTTTTTTATATCATGAGTGGAGCAATATTTATATAATTTAAGCAATAAATATTTTTTCATTATATATATTTTTTTTATTTTTGCGTCATTTATCATTTAGGTCTTAGAAAAATAGATACAGGTCATTTCTACGACAGCATTGCGTCATAGAAAATTTTTTGTTCCACGCTCCTATTTGTTTTTTTTAATATTTACAGGCATAAAACGAAGGGTATTTTCTGATATTTGATTCATTACTTCATCCATCAAAGCAAATTCGTAAGAGGTTATGTAGACTATGTTTTTTGTGATTATGCTACACTAATCTGTAATCATGAACCATACTTTAAATATAGTGACAATAAATTCCCATTTTAATATAATAAATAATAGAATCGTGCCTTTCCTTACTTTGATGTATGATGATTATGTTTAAAAAATACTAAAATATCTGTCCGTATCTTTAATGAAACAAAATCCTGTTACAAAATGATTTATTTAATTGTGGATAATTCCTTATAAATTAAAAAGTTATAATTTATTATATTTAAATTAAAGGGAAAACATGGTGTCAGTTGGGTAATAAACTGCTAAGGGTTATGTTCATAATTAATGGAATGTCAAAATGGTTTAGGTACTTAATCTCAATTGGCAATGTTATATCAACTACCATGCCAGATAATTTTATTAATTATACAAAAAAAAAATATCCTCATCGTATAAATGGTAATAGAAGAAAACCATTCAATATACTTATGCAAAATTATAATCTAAGAATACTCTTTTCATTTTCAACAAGAACATTACGAATTGCATTAATAATATAATAATATGTACACTACCATATTCTATATCTATTGGTGTCTAATTGAAATTATTGCATTGGAATTTCCATTCACAATTTTCATTCTATTACCTACATATCTATAAATATGGTTATCTGCACTTTGACCTCGAGCGACAATCAATTGTTAATGAAGCTCTCATAATACTTTCAATATTTTAATTAAATAATTATATTTATTTATTTCAATATTATATTATTCTATTGCGCTGTAATATCGCAATAATATTTAAAATATAATTAAAACAATTTAAGTCAGTGGCAAACTTTACTTTCCTATAATTTATTAATTGGCAAATATGAGATCAAGTGCATCTGGCATGTACAAGAAACAAGAGTTTATCAATATTACCATCGGAATATATCGTTTGAGATTTTGTATTATACGCAAAATGTCATTTACATTATGTTGGTGTAAGTGAGCTATTGTTTTGGATCTTTACAAATAAATAAAAAAAAATATATAATCATTGTCTAACAAACACTGAATCTTCAATTTCCTAAGTACCACGTTAGTGAGCAGGTATTAAAGGCGGTGGCTAAATGAACACTTGCTCAGCGGCTAATGCGTCCGCAAATGGTTTGACGACACAACGCGTCGCGAAGTAGAAGATTAATCCAAATGTAATAGATATAGGTAAAGCAGGCAGCGCTTTCTTGAGTATTGCAAGCAGCAATAGCGTGAGGCACAGCCCCTGTAAAAAAAAAAAGTTTTTATTCATATTGGTGTGGATAAAGCTTTCACTATCTGTACACGGTTTTTGTATGTGACTTGTAATGGCTATCGGCCCATCTGGTAGCCTTACTGTTTTATGGACAAACAAACTAAATTTCTAATAATATTAAAATCTATTAGAAATTTTGTTCACGTAGAATAAATAAAAAAAAGTGCGTCAGAATCAGCCTCATTACACTCTATGCTTATAGAAGTCCTTACGCTTTGTTGTTCCTGAGAATTATGTGTTATGCCTCCTTACATAATAATTACAATACGATATCTCATTCTTTATACATTTATCATATAAAAATTACATTAAAAAGAAGTAATTATAAGTGGAATCAAATATTCACTACATTCACCGATAACCGCTTACGATCAAGTGATCCATATGTTTGTTTGTCACCTCAGTGGTGTACAAAAAACATGGTAAGTCTTCTCGGTAGATCTTGATTTTATTTATATCAATGTTTTTGTGTCTATTTTTTCACTAATTCTCCTGGTACTAGTGAAAAAAACAAGCAAGCATGTCCTTAAAAGTAATGCAATGATGGAATGGTTTACTTACAATTAGTATAGCTACAAAACAGGCGAGCGTAGTGTTCCAGTCTCCATAAGAACTAGCTTTCCCCACTAGTACACTATAGAATATGAAGTCGCCTAATCCAAGCTTAACTCCCTCTGGAAAAAATATAAAATATTATTTGTTTACCTATTAAGAAATTTCAAAACCTGACAAATCTCAATATTAATGCCGCAAAAAAATGTTATCAAAATATAATAATATTGAGTCGAATGGACATTGGTAATATATATTTTATTCTTCGCATTGTTTTATAAATTTCTAAATTAAAAACTAACATCGCATGTATCAAAGCTTAACGGAAGGAATTGATATTGCAGTAATTAATAGGATTAGTAAGTACCTAACTAGTAGAGTTAAACTTACAAATAATGTGTTGTCATGCTTCTTTTTAAGAGGTCCAAATATTCACTCGTTTATGAATAATTTATTCTTCATCGTAATTTTGTACAGTGGATTAAAAATGTTCTACATATTTTTGTTTTGTGTCTGGTGAGTTGAATGAGTGTGCATTTTTTTTTGTTTTAGATATTTGGATGTTTATTTTAACATGTTTAAATAATGTGAACACGTTTAAATTAAATTCGACGCTAAATTTGAGCTAGCAAGAATTCGCATTCCAAACATTGCAATTCGCACCGCATGAAGAAACAAGCCCTGCGGTTGCACAAGTTGAGGAATGTATTCTTTGAAGACCAAAATCCTATATACAACGCCATCTAGCAATAAAATGGTGGGCAGAGGTCGATAAAAGGCACCAAAATCTAAGAAAGGCGTCATAGAAGCATTAGTGATCACTGGAGTGAACATAGCGTATCTTCAGCGACCATTTCTTTCCGTTATCAGGATAGCGTTTACTTAAGAGCGCTAGGTAGGCTGAGGCCGCTCTTGAATAGCGTTGTACATTTATGGCAAAATAAGAATAACACAAAATTTTGAAAAAATTAAATTGTTCGAGAATTTGTTGGAGAAAAATTAAATGAGTGTTGAGAAAATTGGTAAATCATGTAACAATATTAATTCACAGAGTATTATTTGTATAGAGAACGATATTTTTCTTCGTCATTTGTGAAGTGGTTAAATGATGATTTGTGGAGTGGCTGAACAGTGATCACGTAATAAAAGTAGATGACTAACTCTCTTCGTCGAGATCGGGCGGCGGCTGCGGGCGGTCAAGGCGCGTGGTGTAGCTGGCGGGCGCGGTGCCGTCCACCCGCAGTCGCCGCGGTTCACCCGCGCGCGCCTGCCACGCCGCGTCGAAACCTGCCGCCTCGGCCGCGCCGCCGCCGCCTGTACCACCACCCGCACCAACCGCGCCTGACGACTCGCGCCGACTCGCCTCCCGCTCCCGGGCGGCTGTTTCAATAAACACAATTAATCTATGCTCAAGCAAAATGAGCATTTTATATTAATAGATTGGTCTTGGTATGGTCATGTTATGCGCAAAAATGAAAACCATATTTCAAAGAAAGTGGAAAAATATGAAAATGGATGAATGTAAAGCAGACGACAGAAGAAAAGATAGATGGACTGTGCGAAAGATTATATGCAATAGTAGTGAGCCCAGAAATGACAGTTGACAGAGATTTGTAACAAAAGCAGACATACTGCGCCGACCCCAAATAAATGGGAAAAGTCAAGGCAATGATGATTTACACATTCAATACTTTATATAAAGATTAACAAAAATATGCTTATTGTGACATGTGCACATAAAAATGCAGTAAAAAATATAAAACTAAGTGAAATAATTATAATGATAGGTCATCAAGAATGGCAACACACGAGAGGTATCTTGGTATCATTTTGCATTCCCCTTATGTCTATAGTGCTCATGTTCATGCGTCACTTATGTTTAGCATTACATTAATATCATTATGAACTTTTTGAACTAATAGCTACATTTCACTTTTACATAAGATAGTTTGTTTTTTATATTTTAATTTGTTTTTTATGTTTGTTATCATATGATCCTGTTGCGCAGTCGGGAAACTATGTTCATTGATATTTTAATTTGCATGTAATAAAATCCACAGTTTTATCAGATAAAGTATCTGTATACCAGATAGTAAATAAAATATGACTGAAAATATGTTACTATTTCATCACATCACTGTTTTCAGTTAGAATATGTAATAGATTAGCATATTCAACATCTTCCATGTATTTATGGTGTTTCTAGCTGTTTTACGAAATACTTTGTATCTTTATTTCCCCAAGAAGCAATAACCACAATGATTAACCCAATGTAAATTGTAAGAGTGAAGTAAAGTAAAGTACATACTGTGCGGGTTGAGTGGTCGCAGTTCCCGCGGGCGCGGCTCCCGGGCGCCGTCGTCGCCCGCGCCCACACTCGCCCCCGCCCCCGCCCCCGCCGCCGTCGTCGCCACCAGGCAGTACATCACCGTCGCTGCACATAGTACACACATCATACTTTATACTATAATGTTTCAACATAAAGTAATTAAAATATAAATAAACAATAAACTGACTCGACTATAAGACAGTCTACTGATGTCCAATAAAAAGCAATTAATTAATGTTTTGATTTCTTACTAATTTCATTAAGAGAGTGTTTCAACAAAATTTGGTTACCTATTCATTTAGTTCTATTGAATCGAAAGACATTTATACAGCGACAGAATACATTTGTGTAAAGAAATAGTTGGAACAAAGTGTGACATGGTTACTTCTCTAACAAGTGGGCCGTAACTTTATTTTGATATAAATATTAACAATAATATGTTAATGTAATTACTGTTGCTGAAAACTCTTATTTAGATATTTTGGAGTATGAATGATATGTATAACTCCCACATAATAACAAAAAATAAAAGGACAAAGTTCCAATTAGAACAAAAAATCTGTATGAAACAATAAAAATGTAAGATTCCAAAAACAATGTTAGATGATTTTATGAAAGTTGAACGTAAAGATATACTTACATGAATATATGAGAGCTGGGAAAATAGGTTCATTTCTCTCTTGTGCAGTCTCTACTAATATTCTTAAAGGTCCTTTAGGTGTTAACACAGCTACCAAGTCTGAAACAAATATTTAATTTACAAGCCACGGGATATAGCTGGCCTTTTATAAAGTGTACTTTTATTAAAAAATATATAACAAATAAGAAGACATTTAATAAAAATTGTAGAATTTATTCTTGTAATATGTAATGTTTGATAGCGAGGAACATAAGAACTTGTATATATTTATTTACCCCAAACAGATATAACAGCTAAGACGGCCCATGTTGTCCATTCCGGCAGGTACTTAATAAACACTAGAGCCATAAGCGCCGCTATGAATATCAGGTACGCTTGCTGCAGCCGCAATGGACCCTTCCAGTGTATCACGATCATGCCCATCACGCCAAAGTTCCACATTACAAAAGCTAATGTGATATAATCCATTGGTATATTGTATGCTCGCAGCGCTTCCCTGTAAACAAACAACAACGTTATTTAGAATCCTGTCTATTAAGTTGGATTTAGACCTTTTAATTTAAAATTTAAATTAATAAAAAATTCGCACCTTGCTTAAGAAAGGAAACAGTGCAGACACAGTTGCAGGCAGACTGAATCTATACTACAAACTTACTTAACGATTATAATAAATAAATAAGTAATAATAATGCATTACTGGATTAAACTACCAGCCTATATATAATAGCCAGCAATTACGCCAATAGCTTAACTGTAAATGTAAAAAAATAACATGCCATTTTCCATCTGAATTCTCTTGGTCATTTATGTATTTGTGGTATAAATATTTTTATAAGTAATCATATTTATATAAGTATTTAGACCTTTAGACTTATACAATTCCTTAAATAATAACACTAATAAAAAATTGTCTATCAATGCATCACATCTAGGCAGCGTACGCAAGATACTGGCAACATTTGTAATGGTTTAAATAAAAACCTTTAAAGAATATACGAGGTCTGTCCGGAAAGTTCGTATAAAAGTGTTCTGGAATGCGAGAAAGAGGAGTGGGGAGGCCAGGTAAGCGCAGGACCCCTTCCTTATGTCCCTAACAATGCTTCAGTTCTGGTCTGACCGCCGTGCGGTGCGAACTGGCTTGTCACGCCATCTGTGAAGTTACCTCTTAACGAAACCCCGTCGGCATGGAGCCCGCTTCCGTTGAAGAGCAGCGCGTCGTAATCAAGTTTCTCTCGAAACTCGGCAAGAATGGCCGTGAAATTTTTGCCGATCTCAGAACAGTTTATGGGGATGATGCTGTGAAGGAACCAACCGTCCACAAGTGGCTAAAAAGATTCAGAGAGGGCCGAGAAAGCATCAAGAATTCGTCCCTCCAGGCCAGACAGTTGATGGAAAATTCTACGTCGATGTGCTCAGACGCCTCAAAGCTCGTGTGGCACGAGTTCGTCCAGAATTGGCGCGAGAGGGGCGTTGGATTCTTCACCACGACAATGCCCCTGCCCACACCTCTCTTGTTGTCCGTGAGTTTTTGAGTAAAAATTCCATTACGGTGACCGAACACCCCCCCTATTCGCCGGATTTGGCCCCGTGTGACTTCTTCTTGTTCCCAAAAACCAAATTGGTACTTCGGGGGCGGCATTTGGGGGACATAAATGAGATAAAAAAAGCTACGACGGGGCAGCTGAGAAACCTACAACCAGAGGACTTTCAAGGAGCCTTCTCACAGTGGAAACGGCGTTGGCACAAGTGCATTATGTCACAGGGGGAGTACTTTGAAGGGGATAAAATTGATTTACCTGAATAATTGTAAAATAAATTTTTTAAAAAACTTTTATACGTACTTTCCGGACAAACCTCGTACTATCTACAAAATTATGAATAAAAACCACTATTTGAATGTATAGTTAGTAAATATATATTGTATTGACATTTAAATATACTTACTCTATATACAGATATGAAAATAAAAATAGCAGCATGAGTGACGATAGTATGAGCCAGCCATGTATTATTTTGTAACACCTCTTCTTATAAAGTACAATCAGCAGTATAGTCATCAGAGCTATCACCATGAGAAGAATCATGGAATTGGCGAGGGCGTTCCACACCTTCGTCACTGCATATGGACTCTCTTCATGAAAAGGTGTATAGGCACTGTAAAATAAGATTATTTTTGTGTTTGTAAGAATATTGTACAACATAAAATGTAATAAAAAAATAATTATAACCATTCTACAACATTGCTTGCTTTTACTTGGCAAAAATGGTGTGATGTTCGTGGTATATTCTGAAACATTCATTAGGGTTGTCAACCTACATTCATATTTTTTAAATTATGTAGCTTGATTGTCTAGCATTGATATTAAATAATAAGATTTTTTTAGCAATATTTAAGTGATAAAAAAGTATTTCAAGCTACTAAGTTTCTAAGTAGTTCTAATCTATATATCATTTCCTTTTAAGGAGATTTATCTTACCAATCTTGACACCAAGTTGATTAATTATCAGTTTCTGAGTAAAAAAACCATTATGACCTCCTGTTTTTTTTTTCTATAAAAGTATAAGTCCTGCTTAATAACGATCGTTATCATCCTCTATTACCATTCTTCTTTAATACCCCTATCAGTGTTTACCAACAGCACAAACAGGTTACCATTCCATTTTCATTTCTTAAAAAGGCCAGTCAAGTGTGAGTCGGGCTCGCACAATGAGGGTTCCATACAAAATCATCAAGTTTCATTACCTTTACTTGTGCTACATGACATTGCTTCTTACCAAATTTCATGATACTAGATTAACGAGAAGTACCTTATAAGTTTTGATTCCCTTTGGGAGACTCAAAATATGCAATATAAATATACACAATGGTATTTTTTTTCACTGTTTTAGGACATTGCAGACCTGAGTATATGATATTAATTTCAAATTAATACCTCCATAAGTTCCTAAGTAAAAAGATATTGACAGATGGACAGACAGACAATGAAGTGAAGGATAAGAGTTCCTTTTTTTATCTTTTAGAGGTACGGAACCCTTAAAAAGAATAATGACTACAAGAATGCTATGTGAATTTTCCATATCATAATCGTTGATTTTCACTTTCCTACAACTTTCCCCAATTACTCAAAAATTATTATTATCATAAAAGTTTAAGTTGTTAAATATTTATTCATTTGGTCTTACACTTAACAGAATATTTATATATTTTCCCCTTGACCAAATAACGTGTTTTTATTTTACAACAAACCCTCAGGATAAAACAATTTTATAACCCAATTCAGTGTATATTATAATCATATTGATAAGTGAATTTCATATGATGATATAAAACAGAGTCAACTTACAGATACACATCTTTGACGGAATAGAAGTTTATTGATGATATTGTAGCTACAACAACAAGCATACACAATGTAACTGGCACGAAGAGTTTGATGACATGCCGCGCTCCATACTTGAGCTCCAGCTCTTCAATCTGAGGCTCAACTGGAGGTGATGAGACACCTGCACTGGGCGCTGAACTACTTGGTACATTTGGTGCACTGCCTTCTGTCTGATCCACACTCTACAATCATTTTGTGATATTTCAGTATCTATAAACTTTCTTTCTCATAAAACCCAATATATTTTTTTCAATATCATGAGTTTGATTTGATGAATAAAGAAAGAATATAATGTGACATTACACATATTTTCATTCCCTAGATGCTGTAAAAGGCATATGCGGAAATACATCATAAAATGCAAACATTATAGCAGTAGGGCCGAATTATCCATTAGGCAGTGTAAGCAACTGTCTAGGGTCCAGTTACAAACAATGAAGTTTATACATCACAAACAAAAAATCTAATATTTATATTTATCAAATATTAGTTTAGATTTGATTCAAAACTACATTTAGTTTTAAAGATGATCAAAATAAAAAAAAAGTGTATAATATAATAGTTTCATTAGTGTTTTTTTTTTTTAAATATTTTGAATATATCACTTAATAGAAAACATGTTTGTTACATTAAGTGATGTATTGTAATAAATTATATGAAACACTGTTGATGTACCAATGAATAAATAAAAATATTTTCACTTTAATTTTGGTGTATATGTATTTATACAATATTAAATGTCCATCAATTGAGAACCGATTATAAAAATTCTCTTTGTATTTAATATATACATTTTGTTAAAATTGTACAAGTAACAAATGTTAAATCATATATAATAACTAGTATATAATAAAAAATAAGTATTGCAATATTGTTAAAGTTATCAATTTGTTTAATTATCAATACATCTTTATACTACTAAGAATTGATAATAAGATAGTGGAAGTACATACAATTGCAAACCCACAAATTAGTCACAGCTCTATAGATGTTTTAATAGGTAGGTTTTACTTTAACAATTGGTGGTTTATCTAATGTGGGTACTAATGTTTAAAAATAAATATTAATGTTAAGTTACTTACACCATATGTGCGTTGGTTTTCCGATTTGGTTTTTCTTTTCCTTGCTATTCTTTCAGCAATCTCCCTGTCGGGGCGAGCTTCAGCTATGTGCCCGTCCATGAGTGCCGTATGTTCGGTCGCTTCCGTGTCACTGCCGGTGTCACTCATTCATCTGATCTTTGGCTTACTAGCATTTTGTTATTATAAAACAAAATAAACCACTTAAGGAGTTCTGTTTCTCACAAAAATAATTAGCTTGGCTTTGTCACAAATACAAGTTACTTAGCATTTACGACTACGATGATAAAATAAACTAGTGTAAGTTAAAAATGATATAGTCGTGATGTTTATTATTGGATATCTCTTTCATATCTATACTTAAAAAATAGGTTTTCTCGCTCTTCATTACTTCTGCAAATTTATTTAACATAGGCGGATTGTACAAGCAAACTGACATACAACTGACACTTAACTCAATGTTCGGAAATCTACAAACCAAACGCACAGATCGAAGTCTGATAACGTTTAGAAACATTAATGTTATGAACTTAGTAGACGGTTCCTTAGAATTATTCATTTACTCTTTATTGCACATTAATTTTTTTTTATATAAATAACTTGTAAAAAAAGATAAAACAGTGGAATCTGCTTTATCCCTGCTAAATTATTATATTGAAAATTATACATTAATCAGTTCTAACACAATTCTAGATTAAGTTTAGTTTATAATTCCGTTTTAATATAAAATATAAATTTTAATTAAAAAGCGCTGATTTAGAATTATATCTATAATAGAGTTGTATATTTATATTTTGTCTACTTACTTACTTTTACACATATCAATTAATATAGCAATAAATAGTAAAATGTATATTGCTATGTCTGCTATCTTTGTCATTCAAGAGGGAAGTATACGTAATCCTCTACCACAGACTTTCTCAATTTTATGGCTGCACATGCCCCTTTTAGATTTTCTGAACCTGGTTAAAGCGAAACCCTTAAAAAAACGAAATTATCGATAGAACGTGTATCAAAACAGAAATACAAAAGAGCAAGAGAAATACAAAAATAGTTAAATATTATTTCTATTATTTAGTACACTTAGTATAATGGGTATGCTGTGTTTTTTTTAGTACAAACGGTATAGATTCTTGAAAAAAATTGCTCATATTCAAACTTAATTTAGTTTCAGCTTTCAGTAGATTCCTCTATTTTGCCTTTAAAATGACCAGATCCTAAAACTAAGTTTTATTGCTTAGTCGCGTGTAAGTCATGCTTATTATACGTGCGAATCAGCTAAACTATCGCCATTACATAACTTTTGTCGCGTAACCCCTGGTGAAGCTCAAGCGCTACGTACTGGAGAAAAAGGATCGTTAGTAATGAGGTGGTCTAATAGCCCCATTTCTAGCAATATATTCTCTCAGGTCGAAGTCCACGCGGTTCCCCCCGGAAACCATAATAGTTAATTCTTGTTGAATTCATAATGGTGGGCCAACTGACCTGCATTCATTCTCACTTATCATCTGCCACTAGTGTCTTGTCGATGTATAACGATAGTGCGGGAGGGGTTACCATTTCGTTTTCACCCATTAAAAAAAAGTGGTACTTACTTTGAGAAACCCTGGTCTACCATATATATAACAGGTAAATAAATAAAAATGTAACGGTTTTATTTCTTTTAATTACGATACTGTTTTTAATCCCTATATCATTATACATATTGAACTCAAAGCAATTGTCATAAGTTGCAGTTACATAAATGTTATATTGCAAAACCCTAATTACGGGAATGTTTCAATATGTAGAATGATATCCAGAACATAGAAAATACAACTTCAATTTATAGGTATAGTCCTTCAGGGGTGCCTTCTTTTTTCCTGTAGAGGACACTTTCCTTGGATTTCTTGAAGTCTTCATTAGTGACTTTCATGCGACGTTCTCTCAAAGCCATCAGACCAGCTTCGGTACAGATAGCCTGAAAAATATAAATATATTAAAATCTTAGATCAGGGGTTCCCAAACTTATTTTGCCTACTTGAATATATTATTTTTTAGCACCCCCATTTTTTCACCTATTTAAAAACCACTATTACTTCAAATGAAATTAATTAATTATTGTGTAAATTATTCAATTTTTTCTGTGTCTCTTACCGCCCCCCTTTAGGCCTGCAGCACCCACAAGAGGGTGTTATCGCCTACTTTGGGAAAGGCTGCCATAAATTATATAGATAGAGCATCGACCCTCAAAAACGGGCCAATTTTTTGTCAGCTAATTGTCAAATAACTCGTTTTTTCATCAGTGTTCTATATAATTACGCATAAAATGTATCTTGACGTATTATTTAATAACTGAGTGTTTAAACATTTAAAAAATGCTGAAATTATAAGACAAAATAAATATAGAAGTTATAAAAGAATCTCATAACTATTTATCATGCAAAATTGTATGAAAAAGTTAACCCATTTTTCTTAAATCATTTTTCTATGGAGACACTCTATCTAAGATTAAAATTATAATACAGAGTAATTTTTAGTATAGGGTTTCTTAAATTTAATTTATAGAAACTTCTACAGAAAAGTGTAAGGGACTAAAATTTCCTTAATATTATAAGATATTATTATTGAAAATGTATAGAAATAATTAATTATTACATGTCACAAGGACACATACATGTATTGCAGATCTAAGAACTTCCACATGAGGATTTTATTTATCACTGTACTTATAGATGACAAATATTTTATACCTTGATATCAGCACCAGAAAGGTCGTCTTTAGACATGATTAATTCCGAGAGATTGACATCATCAGCTAAAGTCATTCTGGATGTATGAATAGTGAAGATCCTCCTTTTAGTTTTTTCATCAGGCAGAGGGAATTCAATTTTCCTGTCAATACGTCCTGGACGAATGAGTGCAGGATCAAGTGTTTCTATACGATTAGTTGCCATGATTACCTAGAAATAAAAAAATTATCTGAGATTTTGATCGCAAATGATAAATTTCGGTAACCCAATATCATAAGCAATAAAAAAAATATTTATGTTTCTCAAACTGGTTGGTAATGAGTTAATTTCAGTCTTGCTAACATTTTTTACATCCACTCAAAATGAATAGAAATGTTGCATAAAGTTATTAGATTAGATTTGTTGATAATATTTGTGCCAGAAATACATATAGTTATGTCAAAACGTATGAAAAGCATAAGATATTAACGAAAGTAAGAGGATTATAGAAAAATAAAATTAAACAAAGTTTGTACAGTAGGTACTTACTTTAACATCACCACGGGAATCAAAGCCATCCAGTTGGTTCAGTAACTCCAACATAGTTCTCTGAATTTCCCTCTCACCTCCAGAGTTAGAGTCATAACTGTTAATAGAATGAAATATCAATGATATAAAAAAATAAAATATAATGAGAAACTTTTATTTTTCAGCATCCTTTTATAAAAAAATTATAACTTCTGACTTCAGATATGAATATCATAGAATAAACAAGCTGTTACATCCCGCATTGCCATTCCATTATGTATGTTCTGTGTCTAGTAATTTCAATGCCTTTCTTCTCATTATGATAAATTACATTGTTTGGTCTTACCGTTTAGTACCCACAGCATCAATCTCATCAATAAAAACAATTGAAGGAGCATGTTCCTCAGCCACTCTGAAAAGTTCTCGAACTAGTTTGGGCCCATCACCCTGTAATACAAAGAATAAATTAAAAAAATTCAAAACATTCATTATGAAAATTAATAAGAGCATTTATAGTTAACATTTATTAAGTACACACTTGTATATTTGTATCACTTCTGTTAATTGTTACATTTCATACCTTTAAAATATTTATTTGCATTATTTATTTATAAGTATAAATAAATAAATAATGCAAATAAATATTTTATAGACATGTATCTTTTGTACACATTAAAATGTGTCTACAGAATGAATGCCTGGTTACATTTTTTTACCAATCAACCATTATGGTAAACAGAGAGAGTAAATGAATGAAAAATTAATAGCTTTTACTTGTAATTTCATTCATGTAATCAGAATATGTTGATAAATAGGCAAAAATAGTAATCCAATTCTTTCCCATTCCATACAGTAAAAAAACTAATGAATAACTAATAGTTATACAATTCTGGAACTAATTAGCCACAGTTATGAAATTTAAGGCTTGGAATTAATATAAGTATATATAATTAACTCCAATTGAAATTTTCTATAGATAGATTCTACTTAACATCTCACAAATACTTTATAAATCATACATAATATAATATTGACAGTTATTTACCAAGTATTTCTGTATAAGCTCTGAACCAACAACTCTAAGGAAAGTGGCAGAGGTTTGATTGGCAACAGCTTTGGCCAACAGAGTCTTGCCTGTACCTGGTGGTCCATACAAAATGACGCCTTTGGGTGGTTTAATACCCATTTCTTCATAGTATTCAGGGTGGGTGAGTGGTAATTCAACTGATTCCTAAAATAATAAATATTATTAAAATTTTAATTTATTTATTTGAACTTTATTGCACCATTTATAAAAATAATAAATACAATGAATTTAAATACAATGTGAAACAAAAGGTGGCCTTATCATTAAGCAATCTCTTTCAGACAACAGCAATAGTAATAGTAGTATTACTTTTATTAATCTATATAAATAAATAAATATCAATTAACGAATGTATGCAAGTGTATCATTTGATAATAGTTGCAGCTTTTTGCCATATTGTTTTGTTGTACTTGTCAGGACAAGGTTTGTATGAAGATAAATTGTTTTAAAAATGTCTGTGAGAGAGATTTGATCACATTTTCTTTATTATTACACTAATGCAAAGCTGGACAGCTACTTCTAAAGATAAAGTATAGGTAGGTATATTATACATGATGTAAGTTTGTCCTTTTCAATTTCAAGTAATACAAAATAAGTAAAATATCTATTTTTGTAACAATTGTGTACTTTGAATACCTTGATTTCCTGAATCTGAGTATCTAGACCACCAATATCAGCATATGTTTCTTGAGGTGCTTTTTCTAGCTTCATCACTGATACCATTGGATCTGTATCATCACCTAGCACCCCCACAACAGCATGAACCTAAGTATTATATAAAAATTATATTTATAATATTTTTAATAAGCCTGTAATTTGTAATGTTCCACAATAATCACTAAAATTTAAAATAATTTTCATTATTGTTTTTAGTATGTTAAAAAAATTGTGAAATGTTCACAGGGAAAACTAAATACAATTAGGTATAACAGCAATAATTGTAACTTAAATATTTATATAAAAATACTGGACCAAATTTATCCAATTAATTTCTACAATTTTTCTTCTCTTTTATTTGTATTCATATATATTTGGCTAAAATTTTGCCTTAAACAGCTAACAAAATAAACTTTCAAGGCCAAAGCTTTAGGTTATTAAGATAATGGATGTATTAGGGGCATACAACACTATTAAATATAAAAGTTCAAAAATAAATAAGTAATCTTACTCACTTGTTCATAAACAATACAAGATTTGTAAAACTTATAACATAACATCATATCAGCCATTAAATGTCTATTGCTGAGCATAGACATGTTCCATAAAAAGATTTTGCCAGTAGTTGCCACATTTGGCAGGCAGGATGGCGAACATAGTTAGCCTTTAGTGATGTTTTAAGAGGAATGCTGTTGCCCATCTCTCGACTATAAAGTTCTCTTAGTCAGTTTTTACAACATCCATGGGAAAGGAAGATATTTTTTTTTATTCATTTTAATATATTCTATATACTAAATACTGTAATAGCCAATTAGTATAAAACTAAGTATTTAGTAATTGATTTGAGGCACTGAATATAATACTTAAAACATAACAAGAGAATTACCTTGTGATTCAGAAGCACTGAACATCCAGGTTCCAATTGATCTTTATCCACAAAGGATAAAATGCTCACATAGTGTTCACTGCCCACAGAAGTGGAGACAATAGCATGGTTATCATCTATTATCTCTTCAAGGTTGCCAACAGACATTGGAGTTCCTCTCAAGTCATCAACCTATAAATTAAAACTTCAATAAGTTATAATTAACTGTTTATGTTGGAACTTCATTATTCCAGTTATGAGTATATGCTATTATTTAAAATATTGATATTATATATTTACTAGCTGACTTGGCTGTCACAGCCCACAGCTATCTCACAGGTCCACTTTACCTTATCCCTTTTAGACCCAAAATTTTTTTTCTTTCAAATATATTTTCATGTTTTGGAGCCAAGCCATCTTGCTGGCACGCACAAGACTACTGCACCACCTAACCGCTAAAATGATTTCTTATTAGTTAGTTTAGAATCTCACTATCATGTTATTTCAGCTTGTGCATAAAAATGAATTGCGCACAGTTTTAGAATTTTTTAAAATTACAACTCACACCCGTTTCGTTCAGGTCTGAAAGGGTTATTAGGATAAAACTTAGCCAATCTCTCAAGAGGATCACACTATTTGTAGCAAATATATTTTCTTTTCTTCAATTATTTTTGTCTTATTTCTATTTATTTGTAATTAATATTTTTTTATGTAAAAATATGGAAGATATAAAAAGATGAAGTGATATCCTCAAATGTATTGCAGGTAGTCAGTGGATTATAATTCTGAAATAGGGTGATACATGAAAAAGTGTCATCTATATGACATAACTCTATAGTTTGGGCATACCAAATCCTATACAAAGAGCACGTAAAAGTGAGAGGTAGGGAATTATCATGATATTGAAGTCATCAAAATTTTTCTATATTCTATTTTCTTTGAAATAATATTATTTAGGCCTAAGGGTATCCACTGACGCAATAATGTCCCTATTCATACACTCCAACTACAACAACCACCATTAAGGGACACACAGACCCATATATACCCAAAGTATATTTCTAAAATGCCAGATGAATAATTAGATTTTTATACAGGTTGTACAATGGCATGAATCAAACCATTTGACGCACTAATTTTATTTGTTTCCACAAATATTCTGATATATTATGAATTACCTTAGATCTTTCTTCTTCAATCTTTTCCTCCTGCGGCTTCAGACGTTCTTGGTTCCTGATAAATTCTTCTTCCATAAGCAAATAATCTTTGATTCTTTCCAATTTTAATAGTTTCAGTCGACATCTTGTATGTGGCGTTACTTGAGGCAATTTCAATGCCGCATCGGGTCCCTTAGCTTTACGTTTCTTCTTGCCAACCCTTGTAGGAATTGGAGGCTCATATTTCTTTTTTTTATCCTTGTCGTCTTTCTTGTCTCCACCGCTTCCACCACCAGATTGATTTTGTCCCTAGAAAAGTATAAAAGAATGATACATTAAATTCAACGAATTTTAACAAAGTAAATTACTTAATTATATAGTCATATATATTACCATTTTATTTGAAGAATTTATTTATTTACTCAAACTTGGCTTAGGACGATTACAAAGCGAAATTTATTTTAATGCGTGTCACTCGTTCATATTCACAGATTCATCCATATATAATTTATTCGTTCATTTTCATTCAATCAAGTGTCTATATTCTGTGGTATGTACCTATCTATGCATACGAGTAAAACACAACACCACTCCAAATATTGCACAATATTTAGTTTCAATATTTTTTTATTATTATTAATAATCGTACGTTCTTTATTTATACGTATGAACATATGATTATGGACATAATCTTATGGACTTAAACTATAAAGAGTATAGATGGACAATGTACGAGATAGAAAATATAATAACCTGTTTGTTAGAGCGAGAGAGACAAAAGGACAATAATTTGTAAAACATGTTCGAAACTGTTTTTACGGGAGTATAAACATTTACGTATTGAAGTCGAATTAGTTTTAACTGAATGTAATAAGTTAGAATTAAGTGTACTTTACCTATATGGTATACGTACGAAATTCTTTACAAATACTAGTTTGTTTTTCTATCATTGACTGAAGGTTGTGATATTATCTTTCTATTAATGTCTATCATAATACCAAGTATCTTGTAGTTGAATTAATCCAATATTTTTCTATGGTCTATATTGTTTTATATCAACCTGAATGTAATATAAACAACAGAGAAAAAAAAAACCATTTTCCTGTTTTATAGGTAAATATGCTTGAAACATTTCACTTATTTAAAACCATTATTTAGAACCATAACAAATATTTTGTATATGAATCGACAGGAAAATTTTCACATTTAAACTACTGTCCGTAGTATGTCATACTAATTTTAAGATTATGTCAGTACACGGGTGTAATATGTACTCTGTGCTCTAATTATGCTGTGGTTTCACCACATTTTGACGATTCCAGACAAATTATTTTTGAAGACTAGGCAGCATGGTCTCCGACCTTAGCCTGTTCCAAACGGAACAAACGTACTAAAAAAAAAAAAACATTTTGACGTGTCTCGTGTCGTGTACCCCTCCTGTCACTTTATATTTCGTTTATTTCTGTCTGTTCTCTCTTATGAGAAACATAACTGTTAAAGTAGATCGTGTTTTATTAATAAATCATTGTTTTTCATACCAGAATTATGGTTTAAAATGTCACAAAACTCTTTTATATATTTGATTGATATAATAGTTTAGATTGGAATTATAATTTTTATCCTAAAAGTTGTATCATATTCAAGATGGTTTTAGCAGATTTAGGTCGTAAAATAACCACTGCTTTACAGTCTCTAAGTAGAGCTACAATCATCAATGAAGAGGTAAATAGATAACGTTTGTCATAATATGTTATAATAATATATAAGGGCCTAGCTATATATTTCCTTTATAATATTTTTAGGTTCTAAATTCTATGTTAAAACAAATATGTGCTGCATTATTGGAAGCCGATGTTAATATTCGTTTAGTCAAGAATCTTCGTGAGAATGTTCGTGCAGTTATTGATTTTGATGAAATGGCTGGGGGGCTGAACAAGCGACGCATGATACAATCTGCTGTTTTCAAAGAACTTGTCAAAGTAAGTGTATATTATTTCAGAACGATATCAGAATTTGAATATTTCATACATAATTATCACAACCATAAATGTACATGTTGTAGGATGTAGAGAGTTTTATAATATTTTCACTTAACTTTTGTTATTTGTAGTTTTCTAACAACTTGGTCAGCAGATAGTTTTAAGGTTTAAATCATCACCTTATTTTTTTTTAGTGTACTGTTGTAATTAATATAACTGAGAAAGGGCACAGACATGGTTTGTCATCAGTGTGTTTTGTCTATGTTTTTTTCCATAGAATGAAATGTAATTATAATTATTATTACTTATTATTAATTTAAACAAAAATTAAAACATTCACTTGATATAGAAATCATATATGTATATATTTATTACATTGAAATTTAAATTTCAAAATTATGTGTATATCATTGTAGATAACATTATATTTATTTTTACATAGGTACATTAAAAATGTATTTCCTTTAAAAATTAATATATAATAATCTTATACTTGCTGCCAGCTTTGCCCTTTTTTTTACTCTATCCATTTTCAATTTTTTGTAATTTTTGGTATAAGAGATGTTTTGTTTCAACATAATAACAGTTATTTTACTAAACTTCTTTATAGCAAACAAATGTCTTAAAGAAGTTCACTGCAAGACACATTTTTGGCACTCTTTATTTAAAGTAATTTAACCTTTGAATTTAACATTTTTATAGTTTGTACTTAATGGTAAAATTTCATTGAAATGATTTAGTCAAATATGATGTAAAATAATCAATTACATTCCTTATTTATTGTTATAATGTGTATAACAGTAATTTATCATTATAATAATCTTTTTTTTTTATACAACTTAGAATGGCAAACAAGCTGATGGCCCACCTGATGGAAAGTGGTAACTGTCAGCTATAGACATGAGCAGTGCCATGGACATAACCGAGTATACTGATTTTGCCCATGATACTCCCCATGCGTTGCCATTCTTGAGGACTCAAGTGTTATTCCTCTGTACTCTGTAAATTCACGCCATATCCCACCCTTTAAACCGAAACACAGCCATGCAAACACAACAGCTTCACAGTAGAAACACGGATGGGACAGAGGTACCGAAGCAATCGAGTTTTGTACAAAGTCTCTTATATTTTTGATAATACATGTGCCTTATTTTGTAATTTCAGCTTGTTGATCCAGGAGTAAAACCATACCAACCAGTCAAAGGCAAACCCAATGTCATAATGTTTGTAGGACTCCAGGGTTCTGGTAAAACCACAACATGTACAAAACTTGCTTATCATTATTTAAGAAAAAACTGGAAATCATGTTTAGTGTGTGCTGACACATTCAGAGCTGGTGCTTATGATCAAGTGAAACAGAATTGTACTAAGGCCAGAATACCATTTTATGGAAGGTAAGTCACATATTGTCATCATCATGTTCAAGATTATATTGAGTATCTTCTGTGTGTAGATGCCAAATTCTTTTCTGAAATTATAAAGGGTGTATACCATGAATTGAGTGGTTGTATTGCATTTTCTAGGATTTTATGTCCAGCTGACATGTAAAATTAGTTCATTTGCAACTTTCTTAAATTTTTTTAATCTGCAGATTTGTGTTGGAGATGATACTAACATCATTATTATAAAATCTCTTTATGTCCTCATTATGGACATGTATATTGGTGTCCAAATTGATTGTATGACTAGCTCATATATTATACTTAAATGTTTCTTAATGCATTTTATGTTGCAAAAGTTTTTGGGTAATGGGCAATCAAGCAGACATAATGATTTTTGTTTGGTACCATTGTTGTATATATATATATATATATATATATATATATATATATATACTGCATGTATTTTATCTCAATGTGTATTTAAAATAATAAAATTTTCATCATGCCACTGATCAAACTGTTTATAACTAGTCCTCTTTATCCAAAGGTTACTTTGCTTGGAAGAGATCACTTTAAGCGATATGGCCACCCATTGTTTTCTCAGTGTGATCATTTCTTGAAATTATGTGTATTGAAATTATTTACTATTATAAATTAGGAATTTTAAATATATATAATTGTTTTATTTTCAATAGTTACACAGAGGTAGATCCAGTTGTTATAGCAACAACAGGTGTGGACATGTTCAAAAAAGAAGGGTTTGAAATGATCATTGTAGATACTAGTGGTCGACATAAACAGGAGGAATCATTATTTGAAGAGATGTTGGCAGTTGCTAATGCTATTGTGAGTTATTTACTACAAAATTATATAATAATAAAAATAAAATAAAAATCTTAAATATACATAATATTGAAGAAAATAATAAAAATTAATCTGTTCCTTTTATTTTGAGCAGAAACCAGACAACATTATTTTTGTGATGGATGCCACAATAGGTCAGGCTTGTGAGGCACAAGCTAGAGCATTCAAAGAAAAAGTAGATATTGGTTCAGTCATAATTACCAAATTAGATGGTCATGCAAAAGGTGGTGGTGCCCTTTCTGCGTAAGTATTATTACATATCTACACCTGCTTTCTATAATAAATTAATTTTATTTTATATATACATTGTTGATTTTGTTTTTCAGAGTTGCAGCAACACAGAGTCCCATTATTTTTATAGGTACAGGAGAACACATAGATGATCTGGAACCATTTAAAACAAAACCATTTATTAATAAACTGTTGGGAATGGGTGACATTGAAGGACTTTTAGATAAAGTGAATGAACTTAAATTAGATGATAATGATGAACTATTGGAAAAACTGAAACATGGTCAATTTACTCTACGTGCCATGTATGAGCAGTTCCAAAACATCATGAAGATGGGACCTTTTTCACAGATAATGGTAAAACTTTTAACTATAGATAATCATTTTCCATAGGTGTGGTAAGACGTTATGTTAGATTACATGTTTTACATTTTGAACAATGTGTTACATAACATTATTTATTTGTGTAATTAAAAAACTAGGGAATTAAAATCTCCCAAGTTGGCAACCCTCTTTATTTTATGAGGAATTCCTCGATTATATTGTACATAATTTTTATTTTGTTCTTTCAAATTGGCAATCCTTTTCTATGAAGGCATCCTTGCATAAAAAACATCTTTGATTCTCAATTGTGCCTTTTGTATGTGTTTGTAATTGTGTATTTGTTTTTGTTCAAACTTTTATTATAATCAGAATTTTTTAATTATGTTTATAAGGTATAATTACATAACCATAATTTGTGACATCATTACAGTTACAACATTAGGCTTATAAAGTATTTAGGTCTATGAATATCTACTACCTTAACTTTTTCAACCTAACTCTTCAAGTTCATTTGATTATTTGTAACATATTTATCTTAATATTTCTGTGCAGGGAATGATCCCAGGATTTTCTCAAGATCTGATGTCCAAGGGCAGTGAACAAGAATCAATGGCTAGGTTGAAACGTTTAATGACTATAATGGATTCCATGAATGAGGGAGAGCTGGATCATCGTGATGGCGCCAAATTGTTTTCTAAACAGCCCACTCGCATAACAAGAGTTGCCCAAGGAGCCGGTGTTACTGAACGTGATGTAAAGGATTTAATAGCACAATATACCAAGTTTGCAGCAGTAGTAAAGAAAATGGGTGGTATTAAGGGTTTATTCAAGGGGGGTGACATGGCGAAAAATGTTAATCAGACTCAAATGGCTAAACTAAATCAACAAATGGCAAAAATGATGGATCCTCGTATTTTACAACAGATGGGTGGCATGTCAGGCTTGCATAACATGATGAAGCAACTCCAACAAGGTTCAAGTGGAATGAATAGTTTGATGGGTGGCAAATGACAGTAAATTTATCTATTATTATAATCATCGATGTATTTATAATAAAAGCCCTTATTAAACAATAAAGATTAAAAGGAATTGTATAAATTTATTGTTATTATAAATAAGTATTAATTCACCCTCTAAGTTGGATCTGTGGACTTATAAATAATATCTACAGAATAGTAGTAACAATCAACATTATAAGAAATAGATTTTGAATATTTTATTGAGAACGATTAATTTACAATGAACAATGAGATAGCAGTTTAAAGAATATATATCTTTAGGGGCACTATGGACCAGACTTATATTTCCAGAAATATTTTGATAATTTTTTCGGTGTCGCACTAATCCCACTTTTATGTGCCAATCGAATATTTCCATTCTAGAGGATCAATTTTAGTCACCTCTGTCCCATTTGTGTTTCTACCATAAAGCAGTTGTGTTTACATAGCTGTGTTTCGGTTTGAAGGGTGGGAGATGGCAGTGATTTTACAGGGTACAGAGGAATAACATATGAGCAATAAGGGGGATTATTATGACATCGAAAAAGTCGTCGAAATTATTTTAAGTTCCGGAAGTCTGAACTGCTTTAACTGAAGTGAGGCAACGCACAAAAAATGTCATATGGTCAAAGTTTACCCCCTCGAGGAATCCCATTCGATGAACCTATGAAAATGGAGTTATTGTGACGTCGATAATGTTCAATCCACTGTAACTTGGAACGACGCAAAATTTTTTTAATACTTTTTTAGGCGTAATAATTATTGCATAAGAACAAAGGAGGTAACCATATGATTTACAGTTATGATTTTATTATTTCTTCTATATAATTCCTTGTTCTTAGATTATCAACTATTAAAAAATACCCATAACTGACATTGACAATTCTTTCTGACACATATAAGATGTCAAAATAGTTCTGTTTTGTCAGGTCTTGTATTATATTGTCTTTTGTTGTTGCTTAAATTAGTTATTTATTTTACAAATTAAAATTTAAAGTATCTAAATGAAATAGTTTGTGATCAAAGTTATGTCCTCTATTTATTTAGGAGTATTGAAATTGTGTCGTGCAGGGGTAATGTACACATAACCTTTAAATATTTCGCTTTCCACATTTAAAAAAATTACTAAGATTTCAATGCATTTTCAAATTCGTAAATAGATTTATAATGTTCTCTTAAAAATTATGTCATCAATATTATATTTTTGCGTATAAGATAATAATATAATACCTAAATACATAATAAATCGTAGGTAAATTACAGTACTCTTCGCCGTAGAATTCGGTCACAGATAGACATGGCGTTGAAAAGTCGAGAAAATCCTGTAGTAACCAAGTTAAATTCATCCGAGTTTAACAGCATATTTACTGAAGAAGTTTTGGATTTAAAGAAACTATTTGACAAATATCAGTATGAAATAAGAGTGGCTGGAGGAGCTGTGAGGTAATGAATTGATATTATATGAATTAATATGAACTGCCAAAATGATAATGTCTCTATATTGCGTATTATATTTACGGGTTTCTTCATAAGATGCATATAGCCTATATTATCTATGATATAGCTTATATAAATTGTGTAATTTATAGACTAATGCAAATAATGTATGGTAAAGTTTACATTTATACATATTTTCTTATAGTTATACATTTGTGACATATACAATATTATTTCTTATTCTAATGTTTATATAATAAATCAAAATGTAAAATGATTTGTTTAATACAAATCATTTTCATTTCACAGTAGGTATTATAGTTTTATTTATTATTCAATAATTTAATTATTTCAGAGATTTATTAATGGGCCAGAAGCCAACTGATCTTGATTTTGCAACAACAGCTACTCCACAACAAATGAAGGAAATGTTTACAATCGAAAATGTAAGAATGATTAATATGAATGGTGAAAAGCATGGTACCATTACACCAAGAATCAACGACAAAGAAAATTTTGAGGTTACCACATTAAGAATTGATATGGTGACAGATGGCCGACATGCAGAAGTAGAGTTTACCACTGATTGGAAACTAGATGCTAATAGAAGAGATCTCACAATTAACTCCATGTTTTTAGGTGAATATATTTTTATGCATTCTTAATACAAACATATGATAAGAAGGTATGTAGATAATTATAGAGATGTTTACAGAGCTTCCAATATATTCTTGTTGTGACTCAATATTTTAATTCTTCAATTAGTATTATTGAAGAATGAAAGAAAGAAGATTTTTATCATACTATCTTTTAGTAAAAATACTATGATAAAAATTGTAAGGGTTGGAATGTTTGTATATTGTCTTTAGAGTGTGGAGATTCCAGTCTATTTAAAAGACTCAATATGTACTGAAACCTAGTTATTTTTAGATTTCTTGTATGTTCATCTATTACATAGATAGATACTCTTCATTGTTTCCTCATTTGGAGGAAACAATAAAGAGTTTACAATAGTAATTTTATAAATATAAACAATTACATTATCATTAAAAACTCATTAATGTATGAAATAATCTTTGATTGTAGCTTAATACTCTGCCATTTTATTCAGAGTCATCCTATAAATATTAATAAAATGTCATAAACAGATTAGTATTTTAGGATACATTATATTAGTCAGTTATCAAGTTTATAGCATTTGTGTATGAATATTGCAGGTTTTGATGGTTCTGTTTATGATTACTTTTTTGGATATGAAGACTTACAAAAGAGAAGGGTGGCTTTTGTTGGAGATCCTGATGTTAGAATAAAGGAAGATTATCTGAGGATAATGCGATATTTTCGTTTCTATGGAAAAATAGCAGAATCTCCAGATAAACATGAAGAGAAAACATTGCAAGTACTTTCCAATAATGTCGAAGGCTTGCAATGTATATCGGGGGAAAGAATTTGGGTTGAGCTAAAGAAAACATTGCAAGGAAAATTTGCTGGAGACTTATTAAAAACGATGATTGGAGTTGGTGTTGCAAAATATATAGGTTGGTATATAAATCATATAGATGGTATTGTGGTTTACATTCATTTCCAATACTTTTAGATTCTGTATTCATGAGTGTCATTTGTATTGATTTAAAATAAATGTGTCAATTTGTAGTTTAATGTCTAGTATAAAATGCTCAGTTTGGAATTAGATGGATTTTTTTTAAATGGGTAAAAATGGTATAGTAACCTCGCTTGCGCTAACGAGATACGCTGAGCACAAGTGAAGGGTGATAGATGAAAATGAACACAGGCCGGTTAGCCCACTATGATGAATTTGTCAGGAATTAACCATGATAGTTTCCAGGGAGAATCGCAAGGTCGACCTGGTTGGGTATATTGCTAGCAATAGGATTCTCAGTCTCCATTACTAACAATCCCTTTCCCCCCAATTAGATAGTGTCGTAATTACGCAATATCCAGTGATATTTATTATTATTCTTTTATTTACAGGTTTGCCAGAAAATCCAAATTTAGAAGAACTAGACAAGGTTCTGAAAAGAGCAGAACATATGAAATTACATCCAATGAGCTACGTAGCTGCTTTGTTGCGGAATGTAGATGAGGTGACAGTACTTCACAGCCGACTTAAGTTCTCAAGTTATGACAGGGATTTGACTTATTTTTTGGTGGTACACAGGGAAGATAAAGTATCAACAAGGCCACTATTGTAAGTTTAGTTTTACCCTCTTAAACAATTTGTAATTTTTTTTAAACTATATAGGTTTTATTAAAATTGTTTTGTATATTTTTCAGACCTTATGAAAAATTGGTGTTAAATTCGAAAATTAAGCAGAAAGACTCTTATGAGTATGTACGGGAAGTGTTAAAATATAGAGGAGAGGAATCACTTTTGGAGCAATTTAATAAATGGGAGATACCTCGTTTTCCAATCAATGGTAAAATCCTCAAGGTAAATAATGTGGCACCTGGAAAGAATTACAGCACTATTCTTAGCAGGCTTAAGGATATTTGGATAGAGAATGAATATAAGCAATCAGTAGAAGACTTGGTTAAATTTATTCCTGATATTATAAAAGAGTATGATAAAAAAAAGTAAACTAATAAAAATTTGTTTTATTTACACAAAATTATACACAATATAATATATATATACATATTTTATATAACAAATAATATGAATAAATAGTATAAAATCAGCACTGGATATTAATCAGTATAGGTGCCTTTTGGTGGTCGATAGAGCTCATATTTATCACATCCATCTTCATCATCTTTATGGTCCATGAAGCAGCGTTTACAGAATAAATAGCGACATCCCAGGCAGCGCATTTTCGCATCTTCATTACATATTTCACAAAAAGGTAGTTCATCATTTGTTGTAGAAGAAACTTGGTCTTCCAAGAATGTTTCAGCTTTCACCTAAAGGAACAAATTATATTATATATTATTGTCTAGAAATAATGAATCTTCCTGTCTATATATATATATATATATATATATATATATAGGTAAAAAGTACAAAGAGGAAACATGGCATTGCCTACCACCCTTCCACCCTCCTTCACACATGTAAGTGAATCAGACAGATTTATATGTAAATATACTAATAATTTTGAATCGGATTAGTTGGGCACTGCCAACTATGAGAGGATACTAAAGATTAAGGAATGCATCAAATTTGATGTTCAAATGGGGTGCTTCAATGGCCTCTTTGTCATTAAAGTGGAAGCCTAGCACCACCAAAAATTTTACCAGGATCTTAAAATAAATAACATTTGTAAAAAGTCACTAAGGCCAGTTCTGATTAAATCTCTGTTTTTCTATTTATATCTAGATATTATACTTATGGAGCCTCATTATCACATCACTATAATTATGTAGATACTTTTACCTTCTCAATTATTTTTTTTACTGTTTCTTCATCTTCATTTTCAGATTGTTGCTCTTGAGAACTACTTAGTTTAATAGAGTTGCTTCCTTTAATTTTTTGTAATCTTGCTTCCATATCATTAACTAACGTATCAAATTCATCTTTATATGTATTATCAATTTTTGTTTGCTCCATGTATTGTTTTAACAAATCATCTGCTTGCTCTTGCTCTGATCTTAGGTCTGGTGCTGGCAATGAAGGCTGAAAAATCATTAAAAAAAATAACTATAACTAGTATTTTAAGGTCTTGTTATCAATATTTATTTTAATTTTATTCTCTAATTTATTATAGTTGCTTTATTTTTCATAGTTTCCAATTTTTATAATATTTTATTCTCTTATGAATTTTGTATTGTAATCATAATAATATTTAATTAGAAATTGTTCTTACAGAAATATGTAATGTAAAGAGTTATGGCAGTCCATGGTAGAAGCCTAGCAGTAGACAATTATTAGGCAGGAATGATGATGATGATGAAGATTAGTTCTTTATGTTCATGTTACTTATTATTAGTTGCCTAAATATTTGTTTACCTTACTTTGAACTACACTGAGTGGTACTCCTCTTAAGTTTGCCAATCGTAACTGTAGTTGGTTATCTGATGTTGATGGAAAATTACTTTTAAGATGCTGTAGGCGCTTTGCTATTTCTTCTTCAGGTTTCAGTTGATGTTCAGTCTTACCTTGCTTTAATTTACTTAATCTCTCAGCTATTTCCTGATCTTTGGAATTTCCTGCTGCTGAATTGTACATTTGATTTGTTCTTGCACCTATTCTCCTAAAAGTTATTAGATGAAAATTGTTATTACAAATTTATAAATGAAATAACTGCAACATTATAATAGCAGGTACTTACTTGTAATATGCATCTGGAGGTTCAACTTTTCTTGGTTCACATTGGTTGTCTGTTTTTGCACATTTCATACAGACCTGCAATAATTATGGGTGAACAATTTACATTACCGTTTATAATTATAATGAATTATTGCTTTTTTTTCTAATATAACAGTTTTACAATCCTATTCTATCAAATATAATTTTTGTTATAGTAAAAGTTGACAACATTTTCATCAAAATAATGCAAACATGCTTTGAAAAATGTATCTTTACTTATATTATAAATATGAAAGTAAGTTTATTTGTTATCTCTAAGAACCTTAGTAATAGCTTAACCAATTGCTATGAAATTTAATGTACAGATACTACATAAGATGCAAAATGGTATAGGCTACTTCTGTCAAAGCCACACAGACTTACAGGTAGTAACTTATAAATTACAATGTTATAAATATTAGAATAATATATGAGCATATAACAGAGTTTTGGCTTTTATATACCTCATATTTTTATTATCATTGGTGAGCAAATCCTGCTAGTATACATGGATTTGCTCGCCAATGATGCAGAATCTTCATTTATGTTTATTGCATATAATTGAATAATATCATTGGAACATACTTGAAATTTGTGGTTTTATAAAGATAAAATATAATTATTACAAATTTTTAAATTACCTTGGCCTCTTCATTCAGTTTTTGCACAAATATTTTATGTTCTAAACATTTAGAACAAAATATAAAGCCACAATTGGGGCATCCTTTCTGAAAATTATTAAATGTTTAATGAAATCTTCATAGATATATAAATAATTATACAGTTACAATTTCTCAGATCACTTTATAACATTATTAATATAATAAATGAGAAAGTAAGTTGGCGCATTAATAGCTTCTCCATTAATTATGCAATTTTATACATATTATATGGAATGGAGAAAATATAAACTACTTTTTATCTCGGTCACACGAAATCACTGATAAACTAATAATAAACAAACAATTACTAGTAAGTAATGTATAATAAACAAACCTGCTTCCGAAATAATGTAAAGGGTTTTGCGCACGAATTACATGCCATTAGTGTCACTTTTACGTAAAGGAAAGGGTTAAAGAGACAAGTTTTGTTTGTGTAATGTAAAAGAGATAAATAATCATCGATCTCTATTCCAATGCAAGATTTAAAGTGAAAAATAGATGTTGAGTTAGGGCATAAATTTATAAGTTGTTTTTGTGAGAATACTAATAACACGGGTATTGCATTATATCGGTATATTATTGAGAAAAAAATTACACGATAAAATAAGAACAGCAAATTTCAAAGACAAGAGAATAGGGAAATCAGTTTTAACATATCACATTCTTCATTACACTGACGATGACAGTGTTGCCAGTGGCCCTGAAATTGTCAAAAATTGGACCTCAAGTAACCTGAAGTTGTCTAATTTTTTTTATTGCAATATAACCTAGAATAGTCAAAATCTACTCTCTTCCCCATTTCCCATAACGTATCTGTAAGTAATTGAATAGTGTTTTTAAACCTAAATTACTGAACCGATTATGATAAAATTTCTATAAGACCTGAATTGCAGTAGTACCAGAGATTACCCGAACATTCAAAATTTACATGTTATATTTATGTATGAATATTTAATATAAATTGTATATTAATATAGTTTAAACGTAATTTTTTTTAACTTCAATTCCATATAAATTCGGAAGAACAGAATATATATAAGAAAAACTCCCCGGAAACATGCTCTACTACAAACATGCAATGCTTGTGTGCGTACTACTCTTTTGTCATGTACATACCGCGTTGAAATAGTCCGGTATCTTGCTCCGGTTTATTCAATTAGAAATATAATGTAGTTTGTAGAGTAAGATTTTGCATTTATTGGCCGGGCGCGGTTTCTTGTGTTCTAGAAGTTTAGTGTAGAAACAAGTTTAAGTACACTTTCACAGAAATAAAAAATTATTTGGAAATGTAGCGGAGTTTTTCTCACAACCTTCGCGGAAAGTAGCCGGCATGCGTATGCGAAAAATTCGGTCAGTTCGTTCCTATATGAGTATCATTAGCTTTCTATACATAACGCATCTCCTTTATTCATATATCTATGGATTCAAATGAATAAAATGCATTTTAATTATTTATTGTCGTTTTTTTCTTAATTTATGTTACATTCAGTTTATGCACACTTAATTTCAATAAACTTCATTTATTTAAAACTAATTACGCATTATTAGAATGCATTTTGTTCATAATTCAACCAATTTCTTTTCGAGTTGATATTTGTGAAGGTGAATGACCTTCTTATCTGTCTGTTTCTATCATATATTATTATTGATTCCATATATCTACTAATGTTCAATAGCAGTTCAAATAAAAAAAAAATTGATTGAATGATTTGATTTAGGACATTTTTGTAATCATGTCAACAAAACTTAGTTATTTTTTTTAAAGTTCTATTAAAATACTACAAAAATTATAGGCAAATGACCTTTGGTACTATGGAGAAATTTAGGAACTAAAATATTATTATAAATTCAGTTTTCATTATTGTGCTGCTGTTTATAGAATAGCTTATTAATTCGTCTAGGAACATAATTCCTGATAAATTATATAAGTATATGCTAGCGGGGAATTAATAAAATAATAGGTAAAGATGAAAGAGGGCCAGGTGGCTTATTATGACAAATTCATAAGAGATAATGATACTAACAATTTAATAAGACTCTGTTACTGATAATTGCATTTCCTCCAATTCATTGAATTTGAAATCCAAGTTCCATTGAAAAAAGAAGTTGATTTTCAATTTTATAAAGTATATTAATTGATATTAATTAACTAAACAGACCTATTATAATGGACAAATGCCCTTTTCTGTTATTATAAACTTGACAACTGAGTTAGGAAGATCAGGAGCAAATACAGTGGATAATTCCCTAACATAAACATCATATTTTGTATCATTACTAAATAACATTGTATTTGTTAAGTTTATTACTTCTGTAGTTTTCTTTAACCATAATCTGGTAGAGATCATATTGGACCATGCTAGTCCTAAAGTAGGCAGTACTTCTATAGACTCATTAAAAGATGCAGTGACTTGGTTTATACAGAGGACTGCTAACTGGTATTCTTGTGCTAACATTATTAACAATGCAGCCAACTCTCTTAGTTCTTCAGCTCGCTGTATATAATTAGTATTCTCTGATCTGAATGGACCTGCCACTGAATCTATAATAATGAGGGATAATTTATTTTTATTTAATAATTTAGGTAAACGAACTCTTATACAAGATAGCAAATCTTGTGACTCTGTTATTTGTTCCACAAATATATTTTTACCATAGTCAACATTTGATTTGAATTGAGGAAGACTTATTTTTATTTGTTCAAAACGCTTAATAGGAAACACATCTTCTGTACAAATAAAGACACATCCATCCTTCCATGCATGGATTGCAGATTGCATAGCAAATTGTGTCTTGCCAGATCCACTTTCTCCATATAATTCTGTTATTGTTCCTTTACGGAATCCCCCATATAAAAATGTATCTATTGTTGAACATCCCGTTGAAACTTTTGTGAGGTAATTATTTTTAGTTAAAAGTGTATCACATGTATAACTCTTGGGACATACATGATTGCTAATTACATTTTTTAACAATAAAATGTCATCTTTACACAGATTTGTTAATTTTTGTAAATCCCACATAGACAAAATAATGATTTGTTTATGAGAAGAAATACCAGTTTTTTCTAGCACTTCGAAAATTCTTGAAGGCAATAAACCCTTTAGACTCTGCATTATAGTTTTATATTTCAACAAAAATTAATTATTGTACATCAACAAATGTAATTCAGTTTTAAATAAATATTTTCTATCACAACTCGGATGGGATATAATAACAGAGAGATTATGTTTAAAAGGATGTAGGTAGGTAATGCCTATCTCATATTAGTCAATGTCAAAGTCAAAACGTCAGTATTATAGTGACATTTTGACATTATGAGCACTGCCATAGTGATGTGCGGCTTTTATAATTGAGTTTTGGTATTCGCAAAAATATAGAGTTTGACTTAAATTCAATCAAACGAGTACTTTTTCTTATATTTCATCAGCGTCTATACTTTTCAAGTTTTTTTTTAATAAACATAATAAATATTTAGATAGATAGATACTCTTTATTATTTCCTCCAAAAGATTACAATAGTAAACTTATTATAAATATAAATAATTACAAGAAATAATCACAATGAGAAAACAATGGGGGGCCTTATCGCTAACAGCGATCTCTTATACCTACTCATTAATATATATATATATTATAATTGTTTTCTCATTGTGATTATTTCTTGGTAAAGCATTCCATAGCCGTACAACTTTAGTAACTTTTTTCTTTGGTAATTAGGAGAAAAATTTAATAAAATAATAAATAGAATCATATAAAAACTTCACAGACATGTATATGACAGATGTATATATATGTTTTAAATATACTGTTGGGGTATGTTGGGATAGGGGAGGATGGGATGGAATTTCTTATCGCGTTAAGCGATAAGAAATTTTTGCAGGTAAATAGTACCTATGTATCTGCTTCTTTCCTACCGACGTTTCGGCGTGGATTACATCACATTCTGCAAAAAAAATCTCATCGCGTTAAGTCCTGATAGCACCTTTAAAATATGTGTAAACAACGCAACTTTGTATGTAAAAAGCAAGCGACTTAAGTGACTAGAATATATTCAAACCATATATATTCAAAGAATATATATTCAAAGAATATATATTCAAAGAATATATTCTAATACCATCTATCTTAATTTTTAATATAAGTACCCGAGTTTCTAGTCGGTTCACGTTATCGCCTTTAGACATAGTCTATAATTTATGCACGATATTAGAGTTGACTGGACCTGCGAACTTCACTAGTTTTAGCGGTCTTTAATTTGATAAAATTTTCAAAACTCTGTATCATATTATACCCAAAATATTACATTTTCAACGAGGCAGTAAATTTCTAACTAATATTTATTAAAAAATAATATTATATTAAGTAACTTTAAAATCGTAAGAGCCTTAATATGTCATTTGCCAGAGGTTTGTTTAGAGCGGGTTTTATAGCGATACACTTTCACCCCGCGGGGTCGGCTTCGGCTTTACAAGTTCGGACTGCGATCAATGCTGCTCCAATCGCCCGGTTTGCTAGCGTGTCTGAATCGTCATTTAGTAAAAGGAAAATGGTAAGATTTCTTAGAAATATTCCATTATACCATATTTGTCTTTGTTGAAGTAACTAATATAATTATATTCTCATGTTAAATGTTATAAAATTTTGAACTGAGTTTATCTCGTGGTATATTATATTGTTTAATAACAAATATTAATCGCTCTTAAGAGTATCCACTGACCACAATATTTTGATTCAGATCTTTGTACAATAATTACTTATTTGTAGGCAGATAAACTAAGTGTGGAAGAACGCGAAACGTTGCTCCAACCGCTACTTCAGTCAGGCTGGAAAGTCCAAGGCAATAGAGATGCCATAGAAAAAGAATTCAAATTTAAAGACTTTAATGAGGCATTTAGTTTTATGACCAGAGTGGCTCTACTCGCTGAGAAAATGAACCATCATCCAGAATGGTTTAATGTTTATAATAAATTGCAGGTAAGTTATCAGTAGTAAAAGTATAAAATTTTCCTTGGACATTTATAGGTAATTAATATGTAAAATGTTATCAATAAATGTTAATAATTGTCTTGAAACAAGAAATAAGAAATTGAATTATTTATTTGATTGTATGGAAAAGATATGAGTTATTGGGATTCAATTAAAATTTAAAATACCTTTTTATTTAGTCTCTTGATATGGGTTGCACAATTTGTATGAGAAACTGACTCATGTGACATTTATTGTTAGCTGTTAATGCTGAGTAGTTACTCAAATAATGTCTGTTCTTTGAGTGCTTATAAAAGGATCTTGGTCTAATCCTTCAACTCGAATTATAAATAAACAAGTAAATGATCGCATAAAGAAAGCCTTTAGAATAATTGGTGTGAAATACACTTGAACTATCTATTAACCTTATTAAAACAGACCTAATTATATTTACAAACAAGTGTATTATGACCATACATAATAACCTGCCAAGAACTTAGTTACTGAAATTGCTCTGGAACAAACATCTTGTATAATTTAATAAAAAAATATCTACATTAATTTTATTAGTGCAAAATGATTCTAAGTAATAAAAAGGGTCTTTTATTAATAATAATGCTATGATTGTTTGTAGTCATAAAGGGATCAATGCAGGGGGAAAGGGATTGTTAGTAATGGAGACTGAGAATCCCATTGCTTGCCTAGCAATATATCCAACCAGGTCGACCTTACGGTTCTCCCTGGTAACTATCATGGTTAATTTGTGATGAATTCATCATGATAGGCTAACTGGCCTGTTTTCATTCTCATCTATCACCCTTCACTGGTGCTCTGCCAGCATATCTCGTTAGCGCAGGCGGGGTTACCATACCATTTTCACCCATAAAAAAAACTATATCCTTCAGTTATTATTCTCCAGTAGATAAGGAATAGTTGATCTTATACAATTAATCATTATATAAGCCTTTAACTGTCCACTGCTTGAACATAAGCCTCCCCCTTGGGGGACAGGAGGGTTGGCAAACGCGAAGATTTCAAAGACTAGTGTAGAAAATGTAGTATTTATTAAATACAACAATATCCCAACATGTACTCAATTCGGATCATTGGCCTAACTTGTATAGGAGTGCATAGGAGCCTTTAAACCATTGTTAAAAAAATAGGTTAAATAATAATAACAATATATAAAAATAATATTTATATTGATTACAATTTTTACAGGTTACACTAGCATCTCATGATGTGAATGGTCTCAGTAAACGGGATATCAAAATGGCTACTTTTATGGAAAAAATATATCAATGAAGTACCAGTTGACACAAACATTGAGACAATATACGAGTAATCGTGTGAATGTATTATCATTATATGTTATATTTTATGTACCTATTTACAGTCTGTTGAATAAATCGTACTTATTTTGTTGAATGTACAATAATAATATAATTGATAAGTGTTAATGTTTATTGTTTTTATTAAATTCCTCGTATACATGAACCGATATTAAGAATCGTTTATTGCTAGACACCTCCCTACAAATACACAAAACAAAGTTTCATCAAAATCTATATAATTATTATTTCAACAAAGTAGTTTTTAGACGACAGTAATAATATATAAACTGTGAGGTCTGTAGATGTTACCGAAGGGATATACCTACCTATAATATTTATTCTGCTCATTAACTACACAACTTCTTGACGTAGCACGGACAAGTTCGTTTATCATTGAAAGGTTCAGTTTCAAAAACAGAACCCGGATATGCTCTTTCTATAATCCTCTTTAGTTCCAAAGCATGCTTCAGGTTTCTTGTTTCACAAACCAGTTTGGTCTGTAATTAGGACAGTTAATTAGGTATTAAAATATTTTAAAAAAAGAGACATTAATATCTGTACCATTATATACAAGTACTTAAAATTCTTATTGATGAAATGATGTCAATAATGTTATGGGGTCGAAGACCATCATGAGTAATAAGATTTCTATTGCTGATCGTATAACAGCCTTTTTTGAAATGTTTACAGGCAACGGTCACCATGGGCGGTCAAGTTGCATGGTGTGGATCGTATTCTATATCATACGGTAGTGAAATTACAGTGGACAGAAGCATAATACCTTAGTTTTCAGGACTACAGATAGGTTTAGTTTCACAGTTGCTGAGCTGCGGGGGGGGGGGGGAAAGGGATTGTTAGTAATGGAGACTGAGAATCCCATTGCTAGCAATATACCTAACCAGGTCGACCTCCTCGCGGTTCTCCCTGGAAACTATCATGGTTAATTCTTGATGAATTTATCATGATGGGCTAACTGGCTTGTTTTCATTCTCCTCTATCACCCTTCACTGATGCTCCGCCAGCGTATCCCGTTAGCGCAGGCGGGGTTACCATACCATTTTCACCCATAAAAAAAAATACACAGTTGCTGAGCTGCTATTATGTTAGGTAAGATACCTACCTCTATGGTATACGTATCGCCTTCTATCCATGAATTGTCTCTGAACTGTCGCACTAAATTATAACCTCCATTAGCGATGAGCTTTAATAGTTGGGAGTTTGCTATAGGGTTGTTTTTTATTCTCAACAAACGAACACACTATTATCAAACCTAATTAATCAGAGAGAGTATGGTAGGCAGGTAGGTATCACCATCTGTTACATTAGATTCAAATGTAAGTTATTAGGGCATGTGTAAGTATTAGCATTAACATTTTTATATTTATAGTTTTAAAAAGCTATAACGCCTTTCGATCCTTTGATTTTTTTTAACAAATCTCACTTATTATCTGATATAAAGAAAATCCAATAAAATGGAGCACTTCTAGATGGCTTATTAAATTAAAACATACTTGCTCTAAATTTAAACGATCTTCAGAAAACTAAAAACTGCATGCAAATTGGTGCAGTAGTTTTTGCAAGAAGTAGAACAGACAAAACAAAAATTCTGTTGTTCTTATAAGACCTCTCATATTAAATTTTCTTAAGTATATGAGAGACATTGATATGTACAAACATCCTCTAGGCAAATTGTTATAATTTTATATAGATTATATAGGTATATCACGCTACTCCGTGATATATTTGTGTATACGAATAAGTTACAAAAGTCGTTTTATTATGTCTTTCCTTTTTATATCATGGAACGTGCATACCAGAAATATGTACTTACATATATAGGAATTACGACTTACTCGGAACTTTACCAAACGGCCTTCAGCTGCTAAACCTCTGTCTAAGCAGCGGGACAATAGAATATTGTCGACATTACCGCCACTCAGAATGCACACGACACTAAACTAAGTATGAAACGTGGGAAATTAACCAATTACAGGAATTTATTGTTTTGTTGCACATAAGTAGATAAGTATCTACTTACAACAGTTTTAGTATGATTTGTGGGCAGATCCCTTATTTGAAAGCATATTCTTTTAGGATTAGGCCGTGTAGGCCCCGGCATAGAATAGACCAATCCCTTCCTTTCCCATGAATGTCGTAAGAGGCGACTAAGGGAGCTTATGGTGGAGGGATTGGCAGCAGTGTTCCTCTTAAAACATCTGTAAAAGCCTAACTGCGGTTGCCAGCCCGTCTGCCAAGCGTGGCAACTACCTTGTGAAGAAGGCTTATGTTCAGTAGTGGACAGTCAACGGCTGAAATAATATAAAAAAAATTTAGGACTTGTGGATTCAGTGCCCGTATTGACTTTTAGACTTTCGCGCTGCATGTTTTATAATTTATAAGAAATAAGAAAACGTTTATAGTTAAGTTTTTAAGAATAAATTTAATTTAGTCTCTATAGTAATTTTATTAAAATTTATATTATTTATGGTAAAAAAAAAAAAATTATAGACACTACTGCTAAATTGAGGCTGTTGCCCTCTAATGTCAATTTTATTATATGCTGTCTATAAGCTAAAACTTAAATTTACGTGTAGCTCAAAAATTAATCCATAAGTACTTCCTACACACACACACACACACACATGTATATGTGAGTATATATTCACCTAACAAAACATAACCAATGATAATGGTTAATATAGTCATTAAGGAATACTATCACTTAATGCAAGTTTCCCCGGGCATGGTTGCATGGCTATCATTACATTAACTGCGTGTGTTAGGGATTCTACGGGAGATATTTTAAATATGGTACATGATACGTCGTTGGATTGTTCAGCTTGCACCTAGTCTCGCATTTTGATGTGATCTACAGTTTTTAATAGAGATTTCTTGGCTCAGCTCAAAGCCATCGTTGGTAGTAAAGAAATCTAAATAGCGGAGCTGCATTCTGCGAGACTGTTATCAGATAGAAGAGCTAGCGCAGCGCGACGATGTCAACTCGTTCTCTATTTGTCACAAAAGTTGATTTTGACGACCTGGATATTATGATAACTATCTAGTGGATTGTAAATGTCATTTTTTAGTTATTTAAAATATTAGAAATTGGTTCATATTCGATTTTTGTATTATAGAAAGTTAATTGGATTTTTAATTGGTCTATTGTTCCTTGAGTTAGCAGAATTAAAAAAAAAATATGTGATATCTAGTATTTGAAAATAAAATATGGATTTGGCTGTGAATTTTACTAAAGTTTCACGACTTTACACATACAATTATTAATATTAACTAATAATAATATATGTATTGTAATATCGTCATCGTCTTCCTACCCTTATCCCAATCATACAAATTTTGAGGTCGGCGTAATATGTTTTTATCCATATCAAAATTCAAATCTAAGGTTTTGGCTATTGGTTTTACGACCGTTCGCCTCCCTGACGTCTACCTTTTTTTTTTTCTTTTCTTTTGTGGCGTTCACCCCGATATTAGGGTATTTTGCCAAGAACAAAACGGGGAAACGATAGTAGTAATAAAAATACCTAACAAACGAATTTAGAAAGGATAAGGATTAGGTCTAGGATACTTATAGGATATGAAGGATGTACTTGTACATATGAAAATATACTTATAAATATATAGGAAATGCAATTATAATTAATGCAACTATAAATGTATTCATATAACTAAATCTTAATATTGTTATCATATATATATGATGATAGTATTTTATGGATAATAGGATCATTGGAAGAAAGTAGAGTAAGAACAGAAGTTAGGAATGGAACACGGATGGATCGGAGATGATTAAAAAGGGAGGTGTGGTCAAATTTAGAACATGAGAAAAATATATGATTCAAGTCCGCTACTTCAGCACCGCAATTACACGATGAACTTTGTACAATACCAAGCTTGTATAAATGAGAAGGTGCATACGTGACCGACGTCTACCTTCCTTAGTAATTAGTAAGTATAAAAATAGAGAGTATTGATTTTAAAAAATATTTATCGTAATTTTCATGAAGTCATGGAATTTTTTTAGGAGAAAAGGTACATATCGGAATGGGGCTAAAAGGCTTCTCCAGAAAGTTACACAGGAAATAATCTTTCCATTACTTGTTTCAACTTACACGCGTGTTGTAAGTCACGTGTTTCGTATATGAGTGTCAACTGGAATTGTAATCTATTATTGAATAATATTTAAAAATAGAGTATTAACATTATCTTAAACATTATTCTTACGTAAATAGTATATAAATCATTCTCAGTTAGCCATGCATGTTCCGTATGATATTGTTGTATATTACAGCCCACATTATGCAATGTGGGCTGTAATAACAAAATGCAGCGCAATCATGCTAAAGATTTTTAACTGATCTATAGTTCTTCCAGTTGGCAGGAATACTCAAAAAATATTTAAATGGGATAGTGTTCGAAAATATATACCAAGGTATATAAAAATCATAAATTGAATAGGTAGGTATGTAATTAGATGATACTTGAGATTTAATTTGGGTGTTCCTAGTTTTTTTTTTTAATGGATGATAATGGAATGGTAACCCCACCCGCGCTATCGGTATATATCGGCGGGGCATCAGTGAAGGATGATAGGTGAGTATGAAGCAGGTCAGTTAACCCATCGTGACGAATTCAATAAGAATTGTTCACGATGGTTTCCAGGGAGAACCACGTGGAGGTCGACCTAATAGGGCATATTGCTAGCAATAGGACTGTCAAACTCCATTGCTAACATTCCCTTTCCCCCCGGGTGTTCCTAGTTAGCATCTATTCAGTTTAATCGGTTCAGTCAATTTAGCTACGAAAATATAAAATATTTTTCTATTTAAAATTTTGTATACATTTTTATATTATTACGTATATATGTGCTGACATGCGTATATTGCATAACTAGTTTTTTTAAGTAGGTGCCTAAATGAACTGTACTGGAACCATTTAATTGAAACAATTCTTACAGTTACTTTTATAATACGACCTTCTACAGCTTTTGCTCGCCCGAGGCACCGAGGCAAGGTATTGGTGTCGATATTACTTCCACTGATGATGCAAACTACGCTGCAAGTGAATTGTCTAAATGTCTATTATTGCCCGTTACATTGCATGGCCACGAATGAAATATTGAGTTAATTTTTGACAATAAGTTAAATGCTAAAAATTAAAAAAGAAATGGATATGGAATACCTTTACTGCACGATAGATATTGCTTCTAGTATTAATTCTATTTATTTACACCACGACCCATCTGATAGAAAGTGATAACCGTCGCCTTTTTTTTTTTTTTTTTTTACAACACAGGGGGCAAACGAGCATGCGGCTCACCTGATGGTAAGTGACTACCGCCGCCCATGATCACCCACAACACCAGCGGCATTGCAGGTGTGCTGCCGGCCTTTTAAAAAGGAATATACTCTTTTCTTGAAGGTTATGTTGTCGTATCGGTTCGGAAATACTGCTGCTGGAAGTTGTTTCCAAAGAATGGTTGTGCGTGGAAGAAAGTGCCTTGAAAAACGCACGGTGGAAGGCCGCCACTCGTCCAGATGATTGGGATGAAACTTTAGTTTGTGGCGGGTTGTACGGTGGTGAAAATCAGCAGCAGGTATCAATCCGAACAATTCCTCAGAACACTCCCCATGATAAATTCGGTAGAAGATGCACAGAGACGCAACATCTCTGCGCAGTTTCAATGGGTCAAGTCGGACAGTAAGGCGTTGACTATCGATAATTCGAGCCGCCCGACTTTGAATGCGGTCTAACGGAAGGAGTTGGTACTGTGGCGCTCCTGCCCACAGGTGAGAACAGTATTCCATATGCGGCCTGACTTGGGCTTTATATAATTTCAGGCGGTGTTCTGGCATGAAATATCGTCTCACCCTATTGAGCACTCCTAACTTTTTGGAAGCTATCTTAGCCTTCTCCTCCAGATGACCGCAAAACTGGACGTCGCAAGATATATCAACGCCCAGAATTCCTAGACTTGACTTTTTATCAAGGGAAGTGCCCTGAAAGTGAGGAGATACGACAAACGCGCAGACATGTGTCTTTTTGGGGTTAAATTGGACAAGATTTTGTTCACCCCAGATCGAAACTTGATGGAGTGAAGTTTCGATTTCAGACACAAGTCTATTCCGGCACTCATCGGTATGTGCCCGCGAGATCTTTGCATGACCAGTATATAATGTATCTCCTGTACTGTCGTCCGCATAGCAATGAATATTACTTATCTGTAACATATCATTGATATGCAGAAGAAACAGAGTCGGAGATAGTACACAGCCTTGCGGGACACCAGCATTCAAAGGTTTTAAATCAGAGCATGCACCGTCGACTACGACCTTAATGCTACGTTCCTTGAGAAAACTGGCGACCCAAATGCACAGTCTCGCAGGCAACCCAAATGAAGGTAGCTTTGAAAGCAGCGCTCTATGCCACACCCGATCAAAGGCCTTCGCAATATCCAGACTAACTGCTAAGGCCTCTCCCTTACTCTCGATTGCCACTGCCCATCGGTGTGTTAAGTAAGCTAAAAGATCACCGGCCGAACGTCCCTGTCGAAAGCCATACTGGCGATCACAGATCAGCCGGTGCTCTTCTAGGTACCGGAGCAGTTGACGGTTAATGATGGATTCCATAACCTTCGAGAATAAGGAAGTGATAGCTATGGGCCTATAGTTAGCTGGATCTGAGCGATCTCCCTTTTTAGGGATCGGATGCACCAGAGCAGTCTTCCAAAACTTTGGGACTATGCCCGATGAGTAGCTAAGCCGAAAAAGACGCGTAAGAACCGGAGCCAACTCTGGTGCGCACGTCCTAAGCACAATTGGAGGAATACCATCAGGCCCACTCGACTTATGGATTTCGAGGGAGAAAAGTGCTCTACGCACTGAGCTATGCGTGAATTTAATGTCAGGCATAGAGCTCCTACAACACGTGATGGTCGGTGGTGGTTTCTCCCCGTCATCCAATGTCGAGTTTGACGCAAAGATGGATCCAAGAAGATCGGCCTTTTCTTTAGCGTTCTGGGCCAACGAGTCATCCTCCCTGCGCAAAGGTGGAAAAGATGACTTACAGAAATTCCCTTGTGCAGCTTTGGCAAGAGACCAGAAAGCTCGAGTCCCAGAGGGCAAACTAGCCAGTCTCTTGCCAATTCTACTAATATGCTCTGACTTCGCTGTGGCTATAACTCTTTTGAAAGACCTAGAGGCAGAGTTATACTTCTTTTTAAGAGCACTGGTGTTAGGATCTCGCGACGCCACACCTTTAGCCCAGGTTAGGAAGCACTCCTGTTTCAGACGAGATGCTGTTCTACAGGAGGCTCCATACCAGGGCTGGGATTTCCCGCCGACGGGCACCACAGAGTTAGGAATAAATAATTCCATTCCCTGAAGCACCACATCAGCAATGGAATCGGCAATGGCGTCGGGATCATCCAGTGTGAAGCAAACCTGCCTCCATGGGTAAGATGCGAAAAAAATCCGTATCTCATCCCAATCTGCCGACCTGTAGTGCCAAATGCGACGTCTACCCGTAGAACGAGGTGGAGTCGGACTCGTAAGAGGCACTTCGCTCCGCACCAAACAGTGATCCGACGATCCAAGCGGGGCTTCGACGGAGATCACATAGTTGTCTGGGTGGGTGGTCAGCAGAAGGTCCAGCAGTGAAGGTGAATGGTCCAACACATCAGGGATTCGCGTAGGCGAGGAAACAAGCTGTGTCAGACCATAAGCCAAAGCAAAGTCATGAACAGATCTTCCCGCATAGTCGGTTGTACGCGAACCAAGCCATTCGGCATGGTGGGCATTAAAGTCGCCAACAATCACGACTTCAGCGGAAGGAATCTGCTCAAGCAGGGAATCTGTAGCCATTTGGACGTGCTCAATTAGTTGGTCGGTTTCAGTGTTACCGCTGTGGGACCTGTATAGGCACGCATAGATGCGGGGATGGTCATTGCAATCTACGCGCAGCCATAGAATGGACAGGTCCGTACCTTCAAGAGTCCCAAGGCGTCGACAGCAGATATCCTCTCTGACATACGCACATACACCGGCACGCGAAACAAAACAATGTTCAAGCTTATACCCCGGGTAGGTCAGGTATGATGTTTCGTTAGGAGGGGATATCTGTGTCTCCGTGAGGAAGAGCAATGCCGGCCGCGCCGTTTCTAGGTGGTGGTGGACAGCGTTCAGGTTTGAATGAATTCCCCTAATATTACAGAGGCTCACATTGAGCAAAGGGGATGCCGCAGAAGTCTTGCTCTGTTTGCCCTTGGTCTCATAGAGCGGAATTTTGCCCCCCCCCCCCAGAATACGCAGGGCAGCCCGAGCGTGGTTGCTCGAGGGAGGATTCTCCAGCAACATGGCTGCTGGTACCTCCCTGGGGTACGTTATTTTTTTTAAATTCCACTGCCATGGTATTGAAAGATGGGGGGACGGAGTTGGGGGAGGATTTTAGGATAAGGAAGGGGATGGGTATAGGATGGGCCTCCGGACTCCCTCACTCACCATACGGAATGTGGTCGCACTAAAAGTGCGGCCACTTAGCGTCGGTATTCTGTGAGGGTGTGGTACTTCCCCGGTCGAGCCGGCCCATTCATGCTGCAATACCATATGGTATTACAGCGTGGCTCTACCACCTACAAAAATAGAAATGTACAGTAACATGGATATAACAGGGTATAATATTTTGCCCATGATATCCCCCATGCGTTGCTATTCCTGAGGACTAAGGTGTTATGCTTCTGTATCCTGTAAATTTAAACCGAAACACAATCTCGCAAACCCAATTATTTTACTGTAGAAATACGAATGGGACAGAGGTACCCAAGCAAATCACTTTTGTACAAAGTCTCCTTCTGGTATCTAAAAGTGCTATATTTCATTGATTATCCCACTCGTGATCTCTACGCCTATGAAGAAGCAGGCAAACAAGCAATAAAACAATTACAAAATGAATCATCAGCATCACCAGAGGGAGACTCTGTACAAAAGTCGATTGCTTGGGTACCTCTGTCCCATTCGTGTTTCAACCGTGAAGCAGTTGTGTTTGCATGACTGTGTTTAGGTTTGAAGGGTGGGATATGGCGTGAATTTACTGGGTACAGAGGAATAACACCTGAGTCCTCAGGAATAGCAACGCATCGGAGGTATCATGGGCGAAACAGTATACTCTGTTATGTCCATGGTACTGCTCATGTCTATAGGCGACGGTTACCACTTTCCATCAGGTGGGCCGTCAGCTTGTTTGCCATTATAAGTTGTATAAAAAAAAATCTAAGTAAGCTTGAAGAGATAAGTTTAGTATATTGTGTTTATACTAATTACATATCCAAATCTTTCTTCATTTAAGTGTCAGTAGTTAAATTGTGATCTAAATTCAATTGAAATATTTATATTATTAATTTTCAATGGTAGTCGAGTGATGGAGCTTATATGGCTCTCATGAAGGATCAGAAGAAGAAATTCTATGAGCCATTTGTTTACATATGGGTAAAAGTGGAAAGATATGGTAATTATCGTTGCAAAAATTGCGGAAACTGGGCGCATAAAGAATGTTCTGGCATTGGTAATTCAGTTTATTATATTTGTAGTTAAAAATGATGATTCATGTCGTTGGAAATAGGCAGTAAACCTAGATAGGTTTACTGCCTATTTCCAACAGATACAGATCCGCAGATACTAAAACATTGATGTAGATACATCAATGTTTTAGTATCTGCGTATCTTACTTGTAATTATGTCATTTTATTTTTCTGATTATTAAAATAATATTAGTAAACGTATAGAATTGAGTGTATTATATAAACAAAAATACGACTATTATTAAATAAAAACAAAACAATATACAGATTTATATTGGGGCAATAAATAGTATCTAATTTATTTTTGCATACAAACAGGATTAGGAGCAAGACAGGGTCCGCGCCGGACTCCTACATTCTTCTCTGGATGTTCATTCATATCTTGGAAATAATATTCCTTGTAGTGTTTCTTGATCTGTTCTATTAGTTCCTTTGTGTGTTCTCAGCCTCTTGTTTCTACTAATACTTTCAGCTGTAATACGCTAATAGTTAAATATATAATCATTTTAAGATTTTTCAGATTCAAAACATTTTTCAGATTTGTGACAAAAAAAAGTAGCTTTTAGCGACAGTTTTAATTAACTAGCGATCTGGCCCGGCTTCGCATGGGTAAGTTTTAAATGCTGATAATGTAGCTTTTTATAGATGAAAGAATTTTTAAAATCCGTTGAGTAGTTTTTGAGTTTTTACTTATTCAATACATATAATTTAGAGCAACGCTTACGTGCTTGCTGGTGTTGCAAGCATTCATATAGGCATCTTCTCTGATTGTGCTAGTTTATCACTTTAGTTTTATATTTTTGATAAAAAACAAGTCCTGAATTCGGTTGTATTTTTTTATGTTTGTCACATTATAACTCCGTCAGCTTGAAACTAATTTGGAAAATTCTTGTTTTATTTGAATGGATGTACTTTAAGAGTAGTCACATAAAAAAATATTAAAATTAGTTCAGCAGTTTAGTTTCGAAATTACAATATTTGGTTTTGGTACAATTGAAGTCGGTTTTTATTGTGGAATATTATCTTAATTATTAAAAGGTACCTCTACACTAAAAATATCGCCTTCGACCCAAGCTCTCTCGGGCACGAGATCTCGTAGCGTGACTTCAATGCTGGCGAGCAAGGTGCACATCTCGGCCATACCTCCTGGTCTGTCGCTCACGGTCACTTTGAATTTCACTAGCCGACCTTCTGCCGCCATGCCGCGTTCAAGTGCTCGAGCTAGTATCGTAGTATTGATGTTTCCTCCAGATATTACGCATACTACTCTGCAATTTAAGTAATAAGTAGAAATGATAGTCACCTATAATGAAATATTTTTATAAAAATGGATGCAAGCTTTTAAAATGTTTTGTGTATGTGTGTACGTTTCGGCATTTTCTTGAATAGTTTGTTCATATTAATTTATATGTATTAGTTTTTTTTTCTAAAAAGTAAACTTCTATACTAGAGAGATACTTATTTATTACTTTTAAGTTATTCACTTTACTTACTTTTTTCCTTTTAAATTGGGGAAAAGGCCAGCCATAATAGCCGCAATCGTAACTGATCCTGCACCTTCTACTACAAGCTTTTCTTCTTTAACAATATGCATTATAGCTCTAGCAACCCAGTCCTCTTTCACAACAATCTATAAAAATATTCGAGACCAAAGATACCTGTTTTCTTTTCAAAGTATCCATGAGAATATATCGACTTTTATTTATATATTTCATCAAAGAATTCATACTTATCGGGATGTTAAATTGGTATTTACCATTTTGTCCACAAGCCCTTTTATATTATAAAAAGTATTGACTCCAACCATGGGCACGGCTATCTCATCAGCTATTGTCGATGATATATTCATTTTGATTCGTTCATTTTTGCGAAGTGACTCCACCATACTGCAATTTTTATCTGTTTCGACTCCCTTACATGTAAGTATTAAGTAGATATTATTTTGTAAGTAATAGACATTATATGACAGCATACCTACGTGTCGAATGTTCTCTTAATAGATGATAATGGAATGGAAACCCCACCCGTGCTAACGGTATACACTGGCTAGGCACCAGTGAGTTGTTGAGAGATTGAGAATGGGATGACAGGTGAGGATGAAAACAGGTCAGTTAGCCCATCGTAACGAATTCCACAAGAATTAATTAGTTTTCAGGGGGAACCACGTGAAGGTAGACCTGATAGGGTATATTGTTAGCAGTGGAAGTGTTAGACCCCATTACTAACAATCCCTTCTTCCCTGTTAACACGTGTTGTGGACGGGCAGGCATATTTGAGTGATGACAAATTTAAAAAAATACTTATATGGATAGTATTAGACAGACATACGGTGGTAGTATACGTTGTGTATTATATTGTAAGTGGTTCACTTAAGAAAACTTTTTCTTTTATACAACTTAGAATGACTAACATGCTGACGGCCCACCTGATGGAAAGTGGTAACCGTCGCTTATAGACATGAGCAGTACCGTGGACATAACAGAATATACTGTTTCGTCCATGATATCCCCCAATTGCGTTGCCATTCCTGAGGACTCAGGTGTTATTCCTTTGTACCCTGTAAATTCACGCCATGCCCCACCCTTCAAACCGAAACACAGCCATGCAAGCACAACTGCTTCACGGTTGAAACACGAATGGAAATTTTCTGGATATTTTTATTATATTGTGTTCAGATTCGTTTCCAGTTCAAATTACCTTGACCAAATCCCAAATAATCTGTATAGGTATATATAATAATGATAAACTGTTTGTTATAAATGTGACCTTTAAGTCCAAACTAAATAGTCAATTTGTAGAACATAAAATGTACAAGTGTAGGTAGCATTAAGAACAGTAACTTCATCCATAACTAAACTGGTACATCTATTGAAATGAAATGAAATTTATTTTTATTCACCAAACAGTAGTTACTTACATAAATTTCAGTGTCGGGTTTTAAATGCTTGATTGAAATGGCGATACCGCATAACAAGCTCCCACCACCACAAGGGACTATTATTGCGTCCACGGCCGGCACTTGTTCTATTATTTCTATGCCGATAGAACCTTGCCCCTCGATTATATTTGGATGATCAGAACTATTTTGATCGAATATCGAAATATTTTCAACAGCGAAGTGCACATATGAAAAAGATGAAATATCCTGTTGTATTGTAAGGATATTATTAAAGTTAAAAGTATCTGTGAGAATAAAAATACAAATGATTTATTCTGAAACAGAAATGCAACGGCTTGAAAAATAAATGGCTGTCTATGAATGGTATAATTTGGTATACTTTGCAAGAAACAGCGTGTCTACGAACGACGCGACTTGCTCTTTGAGCATTAGAGTTGAACCGTGGTGCTAGTTGCTATTGGGGCATTGATATTATTACGACAATTAGCAGAGTTCCTAGTACTTCGCTGCACTGAATATGTGTTGGGGAAAAAGAGATTTATAATAATTGCAATAGGCTTTAGTTATAGTGTTAGCCGTCTGATGTCCATGCGGTTCCCCTTGGAAAACACCGTGATTAATTTTTGAATTTGTTGCGTCAGGTTAACTTAACTGCTTTATTAGTTATCCTTACCTATCATCACTCACTGGGGCCTCGTCAGTGAATACCGATAGCATAGACATACCTACATTTTCATGCATTAAAAAAGTCCCTGATGTTTGAATAAAATACAAGTGACATACTTCAAGTGAAGTCGATTATATTACAGATTAAAAAATGGAGTTAAAACATAACTTTAATTACATATCTATAATTATGCACTTATGTAAATAATAAGTAATTAATTATAAACGAATTTAAATTACAAAACAGATAAAACTTACTGTGATCGCTTATAATTTTGTTTATTTTGAATGACACAATGTTGAATGATAATATATCGCATTATGTTTACAAAATATTTTTTTACAGACAAAATGTTTTATTGATTTAATAAAAAAATAAAAAAATTATAAGACCAAAAAAAACTCACATACGGGTACAGATGAATAGACACAACGGCGACAAAAGCATATGAATATTCCGTTTTTACAATAAATAATTTTTTCGACAAAATTTATTTTGTATATTATCTAATCACACACACGTACGTAACGTATATTTTATTGTATATTTTAGTAGTACACATACCTATTAGCACATATACAAATAATTATAATATATAACATAAGTGCTATGTAAAATTAATTATGACAATTAATTATACATAGCACTGTTTAAATTAATTAATAAATTATTACACAATGACTTAAATTCTAGATTGTATCATTTTCTGACGCATCGTTATTCCTATGCATTTTTTCGTCGTGTTCTCCTGTGAAGTACCATTCTTTATACGAGTTTGCGATTAAGGCATGCAACTCCTTTATGTGTTCGGCTCCCCGAGTCTCGCATACTACTTTTACCTGGAATTTTAAAATGAATAAGTTAAATCTAGTTTTTAGTGTAAGTCGAAAGGGTAAAAAATATTCAGGGTTCCACCGTTAATATACCAGTTTTCTATAAATTTAATAACTGAAACTGTGTAGGAAGGTATGTCCAGTTTTCAGACTGTCACTTCCTAGTGTGTACACACTGTACTTCAAAACTGTTATAGTTCACAATTTTTTATTATTTTATAGTTATAAATAATTATTTAGAAATAAAATCAATAACATCTCATTGTCTAAGGACACTCTATCAAGCCGTTAAGGCTACACGTTGCCTTAAATACTATTTTATACGAGTATTAATGCCTAGTTACATAATTAAAACATTAATCTTTAGTAGTCAGATAAAATAAGTATGTATGTATAAACTTATAACGTTATCGCTTTTTTAAAGGTTCAGTTCGTTGTTGGTATATTATCTCAAACCAATTTCATTAGGGTACGAATAGTTGGGTATCACTGACATAGGAAAGTATATAGGTTCATCTTGTTACAATTAACTTTAGTAGGTACATAGCTATACTTGTGGCAAGTGTGTATGTTCGTGAAATTAATAGAAAAAATCCGTAAATAAATTAATGTAACTATATTAAATATTATTATTTACTATTGATATAAAATCAACATACATACCTGAACACTAAAAATGTCACCGTAAATCCACGCGCGTTCTTGAATAATGTCCTTTATAGAAACTCCTATGGATGCAATCATCTTGCACAGCTCTGCGATACCACCGGGTCGGTCACTGACGGTTACTTTGAATTTGACTAGTCTCTGTTCAGCCGCAAGGCCGCGTTCTAAGCAGCGTCCCAAGATCGTGGTGTCGATATTGCCGCCGGATAGAATGCACACCACCCTGGAATATTAATGTGTTGTCAGTCGTGCTGTATACCTACATAGAAACGGCTGGGTATTCACATTTCTATCTGGTAACCGAAAAGAATCTGACGTCTCATCTTATTTAAAAATGGAAAATGATGACAATAACGACAAAATAATTATCACAAAATAACTGTGCGCAATATACATATAAAATGTACGTTGTTGCCACTCTTGAGCATTTTTTTTATACAACTTAGAATGGCAAATAAGCTGACGGCCCACCTGATGGACCGTCGCCTATAGACATGAGCAGTACCATGGACATAACAGAGTATACTGTTTCGCCCTTGATACCCACGCATGGGGCGTTCCCATTCCTGAGGACTCAGGTGTTATTCCTCTGTACCCAGTAAATTCACGCCATATCCCACCCTTCAAACCGAAACGATAATAATACGTTCCAATTCTTACTCTGCCTCCATGCCTTATAGATATATCTGTTTAGTTATTCTTTTCTTTAACATTATTTCCACCTGTTCAAAACAACTATTATAAGTATACCATTACTTATTTTTGTATTGGGACTTTCTTACAAATGCACATGCAACACAATATAGGAATGCGGTTTGATAACCTTGCTATATAAACTTTAAGCAGTAGTTTTTACCTAAGTTTACCTATCAACATTTAGACCTTATTTCATTTCACTTATTTACTGAATAATAACTACAATAATGTACCTACAGATATATATCTAACTTACTTTTTGTTAGCAAGTTCGGGTACTAGGCCTGCCATTATAGCGGCAACCCCAACAGCACCGCCACCTTCCACTACGTATTTTTCTTGCTCCACAAGGCGCAAAATAGCCCGAGCAAGCCAGTCTTCATTTACTGTTATCTGTAAGTTATTATGATTTATGTTTATTTACACTTCAGGTTGACTTTAAATTGCAAATTTTATAAAAACATAACATTGAAACTCCAAAATTGGCTTCTGACGCAATGTTGCGGAAACTAGTGTGCAAGCGCTAGCAGTTCCACTTCTGTATAGGCTTAGGTATATATCTACAGACAGGTAAACTTTATACTAAAGTGTTTAAAAGATAAATATATATTGCATTTTTTTGAGATTTAATTAAACTTTTTAAGTGCCATTCCATAGTAGGATGTTCTCGTTTCACCTACATGTATTTGTATATATATATATACTCTATGTTATTCTTATTGGTAATTATTTTTGCAAGGTTTGTTAGGGTTTTCTTCTATGTTGATCCTATACCTATTGATTGTTTTACGATATAAGTAGCTTTTATTTGCGTATGAATCTCCGTTATTATAAGAATTTAGGAAAAAAAAATTCTGTCCAAAAATTTCATATTTAAAAACGATTCCACCACTTATTAATGATTATATTCTAGTAGAACTTACATCCGAAAGTTCCGTATCGTACTCGGTAACTGTAATTGTTTTTCATGTTATCTAACTAGGATGTAACTAGATCGTCGAAGAATCTTTATTATTGTCATTAAAACAATCAAGAAAAGTAAATATTGCTATAAAGGTAGCGAATAGAGACACAACATAGCAGATGTATATAATCGCATGACACTCAGTTATCTACTGTTTGATATTCTTATTGATTAGCTTTCACATTTGACCCCAATATAATGGCTGTGTTAAATTTGTATAAATAATACACAGCTGGTGTCAATGCATAAGTCATTTAGGTAACATAGAATAATATCTTTAGTGAGAGGGGAAAGGGATTGTTAGTAATGGGGTCTAATAGCCCCATTACTAGCAATATACCCTCTCAGGTCGACCTCCACGCGATTCCCCCTGGAAACCATAATGTTTATCATCAACTGACCTGCATTTATTCTCACCTATCACCCTCCACTGGTGCCTCGTCGGTGTATACCGATAGTGCGAGCGGGGTTACCATTTTAATCCATTAAAAAAATATCTTTAGTAAGGGGTGAAAGGGATGTTTAGTAATGCAGCATTAACATGGCCCCACTGCTAGCAATACGGTGTATTTAACTATCATGGTTAATTACTGCTAAATTCGTCACGATGCACCAACTGACCTAATTCATCCTCGTTTATCAACTCTCACTGGTGTCTCCGGTACCAGTATAAAATATAACTTATACTATGTATTATTTAGAGTAAATATAATGGTTTAACTGTTTAACATAGTAAATAAAAATAATGATATCAATAGTGACAAAATTAAAATTGAATTCACCAACATTGTACCTATTTAGCTACCCAAACTCTATGGACTGCAAAAAGAAAAATCAAAATAATGTCCAACTTTGACGAACTCTTTTAACTGCGCTATCTACTTTGAGTTCTTAGAAAAGTTTGTGTTTTCGAAATATAAAAGGAATCAATTTATAAAATTTTGAAGACTTGAAACTAAAAAAGTTCAATGAAATTTAACAGAATTCGCACTTGTTGAAAATCACCTATAGGAATTAAAACCCTAAACCAAACCTTCTCTTTTTTAATATTTAGCAGGTATTAAATCCATATTTGTACTAGTTAACATTATGTAATAAGTACATCTACATTTACAGGTACTTGTTTTCTTCTATTTATTTATTTATTTAAAGGAACACCAACAGCATATTGCATTATAACACATATATCAAACATGAAATACAATACAATATTAATTCGTATGTCAAATCAAATTCAACACTTACCAGTTTATCCATGATCGGTTTGGCAGTGAGGAAAGCATTGTATCCCATGGTGGGAACGGCGAGTCCGTCTGCGAGAGTTGACTTGATTTCCACACTCGTTGGTTCGTTATTCTTGAGTGCCATCTTCATACTGGGACATTTCTCAGTCTCTACGCCCTTGAAACATTATTGTAATGTAATCTAATTATTAACTCATCCCTATACATAGTGAGAGGTTTTTTTTTAATGTATGACAACATTAACACCTACCGGGCACCAATAAGAGGTGATAAGTGATGATGAGGCAAACCAGTGAGCCCATCGTAGTCAATAGATCTAGAAATTAAGCACGATGATTTCCAGGGAGGGACCACATGGAGGTCGACCTAGTTGGGTATATTGCTGGCAATGGGGCTGTTAGACCCCATTACTAACAATGTCTCAAGCGTGAGAGGGTTTGTATTGTTAGCAATTAGAATTAGTGAATAAATTGGATACGATAATCCGTCTGATTTGAATTCATTACCGGTATCCCGCCAGTGTAAAATGATTGCGCAGGCAGAATTATCATTCCATTTTAATTCATTAAAAAGCCCTTAATATTATCTATATTATGGCAGGGCATATTATGGCTCAACTAATTTAAGTTGTATTATAAATTAATTAAAAAATATCCGGTGCTAATTAAGATTATGATGAAATTTCACAAAATAATTTCAAATGTAATCAACTATAAATAGTTTGTGGTTCACAAAAATTTTAACAATTTTTGTGAAGAAATTCAAAAAAATTAAAAACGAGGGTGTAAAACATTTGAGAAAATAATAAGGATAAAAATCGTTTCAGAACTGGCGATGATATGCTTGTATTAAAATTTTGCTGATAAATTATTAAAAGATTGTCATATGAGGATCCCTAGGCAGTAATTTAGAGTTTAATGGTTCAAATAATCCTTATAAATTTTTATAGCTATGTAGTTTTGGGATGGATGGATCTTTTTATCTCAGTTAATTCATATTCTTATATATTAGGTAAAACCTCTGATTTACTAAGTACTAATACATGTAATTTTGCTAAGGATTTAATAATATGTGTATTCGAACAGTTTGATTTGTATTATATATTATATACAAATATATTATATTATATATATTTGTATTTAATTAAGATAATAATAGTTTGTGAATATAGTAAAAAAAATAATGTAAATATTTAGCTACAGGTCATGAGAGTATCCAAATATTGTTGTTGCACTGATAATTATGATAACCCAACGAGTGTTTAGTTATCATTCATTTGTCATACACCGAAATACATAGGATTGTAACAATTTTTATGCGTATAAATGTTTTATTTACTTATAATAATACTAGTTGATTCACGCGGCTTTGCCTACGTTAATCAGTATATGAAATATACTATGTCTAAAGTTTAAATTTAACCTTCTCGTTTAGGAAATTTTATTTAAATCCGTTGAGTAGTTAAAGTGTGCAGACTCAGTAACAAATATTGAAACATCTTTAGAAAGTTTAACATTTATAATATTAGTTGGATAAGTAGATATGGGGACGATTCTGAGGCACCATTTCTTTAAACCTATCTTTAAATTTAAAATTTGTTATTACATCAAAATCTTTATTATAAGGACCAATATGAACTAATTTTCTAATAAATTTAAGACAAAATTATTATAATTTTAGTTTATTGTGGTCCATAAAACAGTAATTTAGTAAAATTATCAAATTAAAATATTAGGTTAAAAGATAAGTTTAGAGAAATAGCACCTCAGAATCGCCCCCATTATCTTCAATATGAGTACAAATACAGTAGGTAGTTACTTCATTAGATATACTAAAATATGCTTGGTTTAATAATGGATTTTGTTCTATAAAAAACACTGGTTTCCATTGCGACAAAACCAAATAAATGTATGGGACTAATTTGGAAGTATAGTATAGTAACGGAGTTATGAGGTAATAAACAAAAAAAATCTTCCTTTTCATCATAAGAGCTGTCATAAATGGTGACTAAAGAAACTTAATAGTCGAAAGATGGGCAGAACCGCCCTATTAAAACATCACCAAAGCCTAACTGCGGTTGCCAATTCGCCTGTCAAGCATGGCAACTATTGACAGAACTCTCCAATCGAGGGGAGGCCTATGTTTAGCAGTGGATAGTTAACGGTTGATATGATGATTATGAAATATAAAAAATACAGGCGAATTGAGAGCCTTCTTTTTTGAAGTCGGTCGATAAAAATTTTGGCTTTAAATAAACATGTAAGATAGACCCGTGGAGCCGAGAGGTCTAAAACTTTTGTTGTTTGAGTCATATCATATCTTTTTGGGGAAAAATGTTTATGGTAATCTTAGGAATACTTTCTTAAAAGGATTTCAATAATTTCGATTTCAGTATGTAAGTAAATAAGTAAGCTGCTTACATATATAAGAACATTTGGATTGAGGTGTTTTATAGCAGTGGCAACCCCAGCAAGCAACCCTCCGCCACCTACTGGCACGAGTACCGCGTCCACGTCAGGAACTTGTTCCATAATCTCAAGCCCCACTGTCCCTTGGCCGGCCATTATGTGTGGATGATCATAACTGCGAAATAAATGGCACATTAGGGCTATATTTATTTTGGTTTCGGTTGACAGGATGAGATCTTAGAGTTGGAAATTAGGCGTTTAAAAACAAATTAACCCATCGCTTGATCATCGTCTTTATCAACTGAAAGACGTCCTCAAAATTTACTTCGACCAAGCTATCAATCTGGCCATACAAACAAGAAATGCGGTCAGCCTTTTAGGTATCCCACTCAACGACAGTAACTTGGCCTTTATTTTTATTTATTGCAAAAAGATAACAAAAGTTGACCGGATACATTTATTTGTGTAAACTTACCCATTAATGTATGTAAGCTGCTTCTCTTTCGCCAATGTCATCGCATGATATTTGGCTTCTTTCATATCGTTTCCATGTATTACTACGTTAGCGCCATAGGACTGACATTTCTGTATTTTCATAATAGGCGCTACATTTGGCATAACCACTGTCACTGGGATGTTGAGTAAATTGGCGTGGTAGCTCAAACCTTGTGAATGGTTGCCCAATGAAGCAGAGATGACACCACATTTTTTTGCTTCTGGCGAAAGAAGCAGTAATGCGTTCCTGGCCCCGCGCTCTTTAAAGCTGCAAAATATAATTATGGAAAGAAAATTAATCATCAAATATTTTTAAATTTAATAATAATTTAATGAGTTATAGTAATTGTAATATGTTTAGATGGAAACATCTGAGGGTCAAACGTTGTGACCGATAATGGCTTACCTTCCGGTATGTTGCAAGAAGTCATTCTTAAGGTAAATATCCATACCATATATTGTAGACATGTGTGATTTCTGTAAAAATGCACTTAAATAAATTTATAAGTTATATATTTTTTAAACTTACTGAAAAAATATTTATTGATATTTCGTAAAATTAGTACAAGACTTCTTCTTCTATTTAAGATTGAATTGCCGAATCATAATGCTCGTTATCAGAATTTAGGAAATAATATAAAAAAATAAATAATAGACTATCTTGGGCATATAAGGAAAAAACTAAATATAGTATCAATCTTACCACACAGGGCGTCTTTATAATTCCGCTTTGTATTCTGAAGGCAGCGGCGGAGACATCCTCAAAACTTATCTTCTGTGGATTCTCCTTATCACACATAGGATCATATTCGATCGTCTGAAACACCATGGTTATTATACACTTAATATCATAACAAAATATACTGCGGTTACGTCCTGCACTCGCCACTCCCTGTGTTTTAATACTACTCAATGTTCATGTTATCGTCGGGAACGTTAATTAAGAAGGTCGAAGTCTCGAAGATGAAATTATTATAATAAGATAAGCTTAGTTGACCTAAGATTTATCATTAGACAATATACAATTTTTTATAGCACATATTTTTTTTTACAAAATAAACATATCTGCTGTATAAATTGTATAAGTAGTAAGTTTTTTGTAAGTCAGTAATATGTTGACAAGGCTTGGAAGTGGTTAAGAGTAAAATATTTTATTACATCGTTTCATAATCGTGTTCCTATTTACCTATACGTAAAATATGAGCTTCTATCATAATATATGTTATTTGTTGAGTTATTTGTTTAAAATATGACTGTCTACTAAAGCTTAAGTATTTTTTTTTACAACACAGGGGGCAAACGAACATGCGGCTCACCTGATGGTAAGTGACTACCGCCGCCCATGATCACCCACAATACCAGCGGCATTGCAGGTGTGCTGCCGGCCTTTTAAAAAGGAATATACTCTTTTCTTGAAGGTTATATTGTCGTATCGGTTCGGAAATACTGCTGCTGGAAGTTGATTCCAAAGAATGGTATCTAACTTAAGTTTAAATAGTTGAAATATATATTTCTTATTATTCAATAACTTTAGTCATTAAATTACCTATTGAGGGGCAGGTACTATTTTATCTATTACTAAGTGTATGAAGGCTATCGTGTCAGAACTTTTTAATACATCTTATTTGCAGTACGGTGGTTGTTCAAACATTAGTCAAAGAATAGAAGGAAATTGACAATATTTTTGAAACCATTCTAAAATCGTAACAGGTTTGATTCCTGCCTGATACAAACATCTAATTGCATTTCTAAATTTGTCTGTTAGTATTTAGTCTGAGCGTTTTTCTCTAAATATTATGATTTCTTTCTTTTTTAATGTAATCTTAATATAATATTGTCATCTTAATATAGGTTACTTCATAGATTTCTTCAGTAGTTGAAAATGGAATATTATTCTATTATTATTGGTGTACGCTGGCGGGGTCCCAGTGAGATGAAAATAAAGCTAAGTCAGTTAGCTCATTGTGAAGAATTCATCAGGAATTAAACAAATTTTAAGGGAGATTGCTTGAATGTAAATCTGATATATGACGTGATATATCTAGTAATTAACCTGTTTTTTTTTTTATGGGTGATAATGGAATGGTAACTCCGCTTGTGCTATCAGTATATGCTGGCGAGGCACCAGTGAGATTCAAGATTATTTATTTGTAAAACATGCGTATAAATACATGCAGATGTTAACAATACAATCTCGTTCGACATGTTTAGCCTTTAAGGTATAAAATATTTAGTTACACAGATAGTTAAAAATTATACATCAAGTCATTTTCATACAACTACTCATCATCACATTCTAATTTTAAATACATTTAAATAAATAATAATAATAATTGTCAGCCAAGAATAAAAGAACGATGTCACAATAACGTTAATAAATAGAAATAAATATTCGTTTTGTCAAATTTTATCATTAAAGAATTCACATACCATACATTATAATAAAATTTATTGATTAAGAATTTTTTTAATTTATACTTAAATACACCAGTTGATGAATCTTTTATAGATTTTGGTATTTTATTATAAATTTTTGGTGCTATACATAATATACTGTCATGCATAAGTTTTGTACTAGATTTTTTAGATATATCTTATCATTATCACGTATGTTTTATTTATAGTTTAATTTATTTTATGACGTATTATGCGTAGGTAAAACATATTGATAAAATAATAAGTACTCACCGATGGTTCAACTGTATAAGACTCCATTTAATAAAATGGGTCTATTAGCACTTTATAGAAAATAGTTCTTATTTACTAAAACTATTTTATACCTGACCAAATATTTTTATACTAAATTTATTACAATCGATACACGCGTTCAATAAAGTCTATAGATAAATTATAACTTCGACACATTTGTTATAAATATAGAATTATTATTATTGTAGATAATTTAGTGATGTCATGAAAATGTCGCATCTATTGGGTCACAAACTCGTCCTATTAAGTTGGTGTGGTGATTTAGTACACAACGCTCGATTGCTACATTAATAATTGCATCGGGCGGGACAGATACCTGCGTAGGTAGTCATATTGTTTATTAGGTGTACTGAAGAGACGTATTTATATTTTAAATGGATGATGATGGTAACCCCGGCTACGCTAACGGTATATGCTGGCGGTACACCAGTCAGGGCGATAAGTGAAAAGGTAATTCTAACTGACTTACCTTTTCATTTATTTATCGCTCGTCGTGATAAATACACCTGGAATTATGCAAGATGGTTGCCAGGAGGGACTACGTGGATGTTGATCTGACATAGTATATTGCTAGCAATGGGACAAAGCTATGTATTACTAGTGTATACGTGACAATACTAATAATCTCTTTCCTCAGATAATAAATTTGTGGATTGGTTGCGTTAACAAATGCTCAGTTAAATTTTTATGCGGTCCCTATTTAAATCATCATGGTTAAATTTTGATAAACTTGTCATACCTCACTGGTTTCCGCTAGCATATGCGGTCTGCTTAAGATTAAGTTCCAGGTTTTCAAGCAAGACATTTTGAAATCGTGGCAGCCCGATCAGGTGGTAATATGTTATAATGTTGGTATGGTTCTTAAACAAATATAATATCTGATCACTAATCTGGTTGTTCGATATTAATTTACTATTCGATTAAGGCGCTTCATCTCATCGAAGTTCGCTTTTGAAATTTATTCTCTAATTAGGTTAATAATAAAAATCTGATAAATCTATATATTAAAATTCGACCCTTAAACTACAATTTGCGTGTTTAAAATTAATTGAATTGAATTGTAAATTTTATAAATTTAATAAAGGAAAAGTGTTTTTCTTTTCATCGTTATTCAAATCAAACAAATCATTTCGAAAAAATTTGTAGACAAATTTTTGAGTTTCATATATGAAATAACTAACTAATAGACATGTCTAAATACGCATTAGTAATTTTTAGTGGCTTACGTTTTTCAAGTATAAATTGAGTAATTATATAAGACCAAGTAGTTATTTTAAACACATTAATATATCATTACTAGCTGACCCCGTAAACGTTGTGTTACCACTTATTGCGAAATATAAAAATCGCAATTAAAATACAGGGGTTGATCGTAAAACGATGAAAATTTAAAGTTGTATGTATTTTTCAATGCTTAGTTATAATAAAATACAATGTAAATGTACAATGTAACAATAATAAAAAACAATGTAAAAAAAAATTAAAAAAAATATTTTGGGGTGGGTAACCCTTATCATTGATGGGTATGAAAAATAGATGTTGGCCGATTCTCAGACCTACCCAATATGCACACAAAATTTCATAAACATCGGTAAAGCCGTTTCGGAGGAGTTTGGTAACAAACACCGTGACACGAGAATTTTATATATAAGATTACATTTACATCCTCAATTGTAATGCTAGTAAATTATATCATATTTTACTCATTTATAGTGTCAACATTTACAGATATCAGGTATATACAGGAATATAGTTATTTTACATATATTACACGTATTTATATTGTAATTGTGAGTTATTTGCAAACATAATTGTAGTTAATTCTCTGACTTAATAGTCAGAGAATATATAGTATATAATGTATTATTTATTATACAACAGATAGTAATAAAATATTCAATTTTCTTCCAGCAAAATGTTGCCCCGTGAAAGAAATTGTTATCTATATCTATACTTATAATAAATCTGTAGACAGGTGAATTCTGTACATGAAATATATTTCCAAAATAACTATCAGGGGGTGATTAGTGATCGATACTGATGCCAAAAATGCAATCAGTAAAATTTTTGTCTGTCTGTCTGTATGTTCGTTATAGAAACAAAAACTACTCGACGGATTTTAACCAAACTTGGTACAATTATTCTTGATAGTCCTGGGCAGGTTATAGTATTATACTTTTCATCACGCTACGATCAATAGGAGCAGAGTAGTGAAAGGAAATGTTAGGAAAACGGGAGAAGATACTCAATTTTTAAGCTTCCGTCGCGTGTGCAACCTAAATAGTCACTTTTTAAAATGTAAAAATGTTCACACGTGCGAAGCCGGGATGGGCCGTTAGTTTAAAAATAAAAGTATATTGCTCACATATTTTACAAATATAAAAAAAATGTAACTAGGTTATGTCTGTACATGACAGATATGTAAGAAAAATTAACAAGAGTTGTGTTAACAAGACCAATAAAAATTAAAACAATAACTTTAAGAAATATTGTCTGTCTGTCTGTATGTTTGTTCTGCACTAATTTGAATGCAGTTTTCATAGTTGTATTCCTGAAAGTCTAACTTAAAATCAAGCGTATGTTTTATTTGGATACGTTGAGAAGTTGTCTATTACATTGGTTTCCTTCTTCTAAAATTCACGCGTACCAGTTTTGAAGTTAAATCTTTTGGTTTTGTTAAGACCTCTCATTTTAGTTTTTCTTATATATCGCTCATGTACAGACATCATTTAGTTACAATTTTATTATATCAGTAAGATATGGATATATTAATTTTGTCATGAAAACAATATTATATGATACCTATGGACTGGTGATGCTTTTTTTTATTTTATAATTATACTATGAAATGTTTGCATTAACATTCAGTTTAATAATCATTTACTGAGCACTTTTACATGACGATACAACTCGGCACAATTAACTACTCTTTGCCGGGGGGAAGGGATTGTTAGTAATGGAGGGTTGGTCCCCATTGCTATCAATATACCCTATCAGGTCGACCTCCACGCGATTCCCCCTGGAAACAGTTGTGACTAATTTATCTTCGAATTCGTCACGATGGGCTAACTGGCCTGCCTTTTCATCCTTACGAATCATCCCTCACTGGTGTACCGCTAGTGTATACCGATAGCGCGGGCGGGATAGCCATTCCATTATCATGCATTGAAAAAAAAAACTACTGCCATCGTAATAACTTTTAGCGGATAATGGAGAGAGAAAGATAAAGCTACGTTCATACAGCCTAAGGCCGAGCGGGATTGAAGCGCTTTAAAAACATCAATATATAATATATCCGCAGATGTAAATATGTTATTTATTAATTTAGATAAAAATTATAATTAGTAGTGAATGTAAACCATACACACAATTTATTTTATTTATATTTTTTTTTGCTAAAGAATTTTCCAGAGGAAACCGCGTGGAAGTCAACCTAATAGGGTATATTGATAGCAATAGGGTGTAACCTCCTCATTACTAACAATCCCTTCCCCTTTATGGCTGGGTTTTGGTCACAACAAAATATTTGTGTTTTGCTTTTTTGAGGGCAAAAGAATAAACTGAGTTGTGATCATTTTGTGGCACACACACACACACAAAAAAAAATATGCTGTTTTTTATGTATTTCCGTTATTTATATATGTATTCTTTTATATCTTTTTTGAGATTAACTAATTTGATTTACTTTACCTGAGTTTAATTAGTTTGATTTACCCATGTGCGAACATTTACAGTTACATTTATACTTTATAGTTTATAATACCTACCGTAGAAAGTTAGAACCACAGGTACAAAGATCGGAGGCGCTATTCTTTAAACTTATTTTTAAAATTATTTCTTTAATCTGATAGTTTCAGAAAGATTTTGTAGTGATATGAAATTGAAATTTTAATTTTAGAAAAAGAATGTAGTTTGAATTGACTCTATCATTCTCAATCTATGGTACCAACTGATATAATAAATTGACAGTGACAGTTGAGTAAACGCTGCTACGCTGATTGAAATTTGGTAAAAAATGAAAATGGTTTCTGTTGCTTTTCATGGATAACGGAATGTGTCACTTTGAATAAAAACTGTTTGTACGATATCTATGTAACTAATTGGTTGAATTTTAAAGTTTTAATTTAGCTTTTTTTTATATTTGTCGATATTTTGGATGAAATATATTTGTATAATATCTAGACATTAATCATATAAATTAAAATTTCCTACAAACATTAACTATTGAAGTATTTTGTCACTTCATTTAAAATTGAAATTGCAAAAACTGCGCAAAAAATTATAAAATAAATATAGACAGTTGATGTATTTATAATTATTATATATAATTATATTAATATGAAATTGGAATTGAAAAAAACTGCGCAAATGAAAAAAAAACAGACGGTTGACGTATCAACACAATAATAATAACAGATATGATTTTATTATTATTATTGTGTTGATACTTCGTGGTTACTATATATCCATATAATAGCATAGATACTTTTTCGTCAATATATAAGCAGTGTAGTGGTGACTCTACTCTGGTGATTAACAGTTGCCGACTGCTAATCTCTTGGTTACATACTCTTTGCCCTTAATCATAATCACAACTCTGTCTTATTAGCATGTTCTATTTCCATTTACTTTTTATGTTTTCTTGAATTTTTATATCATACTAATGAATTAGTTTCTGGAATTGTTCGTCCTATTTATATTGTGTAATACTTTATCGTTTGTAAATATTTAAGTGTATGTTCTTGTTAGACAATACACAAAGTACTGTTTGGTATCTAACGAAATGCCGTACGCTAATCAACCGGCGGTGCATATCACCGAATTAACAGACGATAATGTGAAATTTGTTGTTGAAGATACGGAATTGAGCGTGGCGAACAGTATGAGACGCGTATTTATCGCTGAAACACCGACCATGGCCATTGATTGGGTACAGCTTGAAGCCAATTCTACTGTACTAAGTGATGAATTCTTAGCTCACCGCATAGGTCTCATTCCTCTCATATCAGACGATGTGGTTGACAAAATCCGTTATTCAAGAGATTGTATGTGTGCTGATTTTTGTTCGGATTGTAGTGTAGAATTTACATTGGATGTTAAGTGTACTGGTGACCAGACAAGACACGTTACAACTGCAGACCTAAAATCAAGCGACCCCAGAGTAGTGCCCGTTACATCTAGACATAGGGACGAGGACCAGGCTGATTATGGGGAGACTGATGAGATCTTGATCATCAAACTTCGAAAAGGGCAAGAGCTAAAACTTCGTGCTTATGCAAAGAAAGGATTTGGAAAAGAACATGCTAAATGGAATCCTACTGCTGGAGTTTCTTTTGAATATGACCCTGACAACTCTATGCGGCACACATTGTACCCTAAACCAGATGAATGGCCCAAAAGTGAACATACTGAACTTGACGAAGACCAGTTTGAAGCAGATTTCAATTGGGAAGCAAAGCCAAATAAATTTTACTATAATGTGGAATCATCGGGTGCATTGAAACCAGAAAATATAGTTCTCATGGGTATTGTTGTATTGAAAAATAAGTTGCTAAATCTTCAAGTACAGTTAGCACAGGAAGCACATAATGATGCTTTAGCAATTAATTAATAATTTTAGGAATTTAAACTTGTAAACATTAAATACTATGGATTGATGAATAAATTTATATTAAAAAAAAAACAATTTAATTTAAAATACTTACCTTACAGTACATGTAATTCTCCATTTTGTTTGTTTTATTAGTAATTTATCAAGGAAAGGATAAGCACATTCCTATTTCACAGCTTGTTGTAAACTGGAAAGAATGTTTACAAACATTACCTTGAAATAGCTGTGAATGTGGTCAATATTCTTTATCAATAATTTATTCTTGTTTATTAGTGGAAAATTTTCTCAATTGAAATTAAGGCATAGATAAAATTTCACTACATAGTTTGGCTGTTATTATTATAAAATTATATATTAAATGTGTGGATGTCATAATATAATTTTCTTTTTTCTTTTGTGGTATTCACTCGATTATTAATTATATTTAACGGGTGTTAGATACATACACAAACAACATAATATGATCATGATATCCCAATTATCTATATATGTACATTAAAATTATTATTTTTACCCATAAGGTAAAAGTAAAAATATATAAGGATTTTTAGTGCTTCTATTGATAGCAATATACTGTGTCAAGTTATGTTGACGTCAGGCAGGTGGCCGGTTGTAAAATTAAAAACCAAATCTTTTTGTTATATGGATAAAATCATATTACGCCGACCCCAAATGATTGGGATAAGGGTAGGAAGATGATGATGATACTGTGTCAAGTTAACCTCTATGCGGTTCCCCCTGGAAACCATTGTGGTTAATTCTGGGGAAATCGGTCATTATAGAACAAAAATAATAATTTTCACCTATCATCCCTTACCTGTGTATATTGATATGATCCGGGGCAAAGTTACCACATACACACATACCACATTTAAAAAAAAAAGGTTGAGACTTAAAGTCTCATGTATATGTTTTATCTTAAGTGGTTGCCAACTTCAAAATAGTGTTTTGTACACTATTTTTGCACACTGTTTGCAGACAAGAGTTAGTTTGGAATAAAATGTCTTATTCGATCATGAGAGTACCTCATTTCATATTACTGTATACCTCTGTTAATAATTGTTAGTAATGGGGTAATATCAGGTCGATCTCCATGCAGTTCCCTTTGGAAACCATCGTAGTTAACTCTTACGGAGTGCGTTATGATAAGCTAATGGACCTGCTTTCATCCTCATCTATCATATAGTAATATACCTTGTTGGTTCTAAACAGTAATATAATTTTTGTACCTTGTAAATTTGTACCCTTAGTTAAATTTAATTTCTATTCACTTGATCAAGATTTATACATATATTAAAATTCTTTCATATTTTATTTCACATTTCAATTATACATATAGTAAATTATAAAAAAAAAAATATCCACAGAAATAAGTCTGTATGTAGTTAGTTGTATCGTTTTTGTCAATCATTGATGTTTGTCATAGAAGAGAAGTAATTTACAGTGACGTAACAATTTATTACTAATAAACCCTATCAAAATTCCTTGTCGAATAAATTATTACAAAATGGTAAGTATTCGAAATGTCTTTACTGATATATATATATATATATATATATATATATATATATATATATATATATATATATATATATATATATATATATATACTATAAAATATTTAGGGATATAAACTGATGTTCTTATGAAAAACATCGTCAATCATATTATATATAATAATTGGTTATCATCGTTACGGTAAGGCTTATATATATATTAGAGGACAAATTATGATAACATGGTGCTGTTCATACCTATATCTATAATAGACGATAGTTCCTCTTACATGAGGTGGGTCGTAAGCTTGCTTCATATTTTGTTAATATATTTTTATTATTAATTTGCAGGAGGATTCTGAGGTGTCAGCGAATTATCCTCATATTTTATCATTTAATGAAATCAAAGAAGCCGCTGATCGTATAGAGGGTGGCATAATACATACTCCACTTTGTGTATGTATAGCCGCAGATAAAATAGTATAAAAACCACCTAAAAAACTTGTAATATATCTATATAAATAAAAATTTCTGATTTATATATACCTATATGGCTAAATATAGAACAAATTTTTTATTTTTTTTATTAATTTCTTTTTATAAATATTTATTTTGCCATAACTACATATGTAATGACTGTTGCATATCAGTAGTGAGAAAAAGCTTGAATACGACTTTTTAAAAAAAATTAATATATCACCTTATTCTGCCGCAGTTAGCAATAAATTTCACTCGTTCACACATTAATTCATTATTATATAAAATTGCTTACATTTTTAATGATAAACTTTATTGAGTACAGTACTACAGTGGTATATATTTAATTAGGTACATACTAGTAGTAGTTAGTACCACAGAATTATTTTTCTTGTGAAAAAACAATGCATGTGCTTTTGTTTCTTTTTGAGGGGAAACGATAACGTGACTAGACTTAGGGTGGATTTTATAAAAGTCGTCTACATCTACTCCATCTGTCCCACTTTTGTTTCTATCATAGTATGGCCGTCTAGATGGCTGTGTGTCAATTTGAATGAACATAAAGTATGTAAAGAATAGAGGCATAACATCGTATTCTTCAGAAATAGAAACGTATAAGAGGTAGCGTGGGTGAATATACATATATTTTATGATATCCATGAAACTGTCTATGTCTACAGGTGACGATTGATTGGTAAAGGGATTGACAGCAATAGCGTCTAAAAAGCCCCATTGTTAGCAATATACCCTATCAAGTTGACTTCCGCGCAGTTCCTGTTGGAAACCTTCGTAGTTCATTCTTGTTGAATTAATCACGATGAGCTCATTTACCTGCTTTCCGGTTGTTTACGATTCTGCAATAAGTTGCATAAATAATGCAGGATAACTTAGGCCACCTTCAGTACAAACTTGTAAATTCTTATCTGTTTTTGTATTTTCAGGAAGCAAAACTTACAAAACATATGGATTATGACATTTATTTAAAATGTGAAAATTTACAATATACTGGAAGGTATAGCAAATTAACGTTATATTTAATATTAAATTTAATGGCCGTGTAGTCCCGGCATAACAATAACAACAAAGTCTTCTCTTTGCCCGCCGGATGGTGTGTGGGCGAGCGAGGTAGGGGCCTCGGGGTGTATACCATTGACCCGGCTTCTACTCCGGAGGCGACGGTCTCGGGGTCGCTGGGTTTGCAGCCGGCATACACTGTTGGTCTGTGTATGCCGGCGTGGTGTCTCGGTATACAATAGGTTACTTCTTCCTTTCTCGTAGATGTCGTAAGAGACGACTAACTGAGGGCGAGGTATGGGCAGCAGCGTTACTCTTAAAACATCTTCAAAGCTTAATTGCGGTTGCCAATCGTCTACCAAGCGTGGCAACTACTGGCAAAATTATAGAATAGTGGCTTATGTTCAGCAGTGGACAGTTGAAGACTGATATGATGATGATGATTATATACCTAAAGTTATTACACTTGTCACATTTTCTTTAACCATTTTATCTTTACTTAGTTGTGCGGAGCGCGGAGTACGGAATGCATTTTTAGCATCTAAAGAAGATGATTATGCTCGAGGAGTGATTGTACCGTCCAACGGCAATATGGCGCTGGCTGCTGCTTATCATGGAAGAACATTGGGCATACCAGTAACTTTACACTTCCTATAGAAATTATTTTACCAACCGACACCAAAAAAAGTTTCTCAATTCTTTTGTAGTTTTTTTTTTTAATTATTCGTACCTCAAAACTCCGTTATAAAACGATTTAGAAAATTATTTTATAAATAATTTTATAAATAAAATTATTTTATAAATAAATAATTATTTTATTATTTTTATCTGACATTCAGATTAGTTTCTTAAAAAAATTGTCATAAGTGGTTCAGAAGTTTAATTTTTAAATAAAAATACATGATTTTTTCAGTATTGAAGTCGATTTCTTTTTGTGGAAATTGTGTATTATCGTTCATAAAGTTATTTAGAATGTAAGTAAAAATAATATAAAATAAAAATGATATTCAGTATATGATAACAGTAATAGGTACACTGTTAAATAATTATCTGCGTCGCGACTAGATATAAACCCGTAAGATTATTACGTGATCGCAAAAATAATTAGTAAAATAGAATAAAATAAAAATTGGTTTTGTTCCAAAAAAAAAAAAATAACGATTTCTCTCTTAACAAAATCTGTTATTTTATTACGATTGAACATCGAATTGATAAAATTTCTATAGAACTAAATTTCAAGGAAATTCCTTTAGATAAAATATTTTTCCAAATCAGTTTATAAATAATAGAGATAACAAACATAAGATATAACAGTATAAAGAGACTTTTTTTTTAGACCGAAAAGGTCACATAAAAGTCATTAAAATCGGCTCAAAAATTAGAGAACATATTGTTCAATGTAATATCTTTTATCTATGGTAATATACATAAAAACGATATTGGTTAAAAAATGATACAACTGTTGAAGGTTACGGTAGTATTACCGGAGAAGACACCACCAGCAAAAAGTCAGCGATGTACGGAACTCGGGGCACACGTAGTGCTCTACGGAGACAATATAGACGATGCAGTTGCTTATGCTAAAAAGGTGCAACGGGATAGTAGGCAGGTGCTAATAAGGTATTTATTAATTTTTCCTTTTTTAAATTCGTTTAAAATAATTGTAATTGTATTCAAAGAGAGTGGCCAAGGAACGGCAGGTTTTTTTTGATGGGTGAAAATGGTATGGTAACTCGGCTTGCGCTAACGGAATACGCTGGCGGAGCATCAGTGAAGGGTGATAGATGAGAATGAAAACAGGCCAATTAGCCCATCATGATGAATTGAATTGAATTGAAAAGGGATTGTTGGTAATAGCGTCTAACTGACCTATTGCTAGCAATATACCCTGTCAGGTCGACCTCCACGCGGTTCCCCCTGGAAACCATCGTGGTTAATTCTAATGGAATTCGTCACGATGGGCTAACTGACCTGCTTTCATTGTCACCTATCATCCCTCACTGGTGCCCCGCCAGCGTATACCGATAGCGCAGGCAGGGTTACTATTCATCATTTTACCAATTTACTGTCCACTGCTGGGTGTAGGTCTCCTTTATAAGGGGAGGTTTTGCCAATAGTTGTCACAGTTAGCAGGCGAGTTGGCTACCATAGTAAGGCTTTGGTGCTGTTTTAAGAGGAACGTTGTTGCCCATCTCTCGACTATTAACTTCCTTTAGTGATCTCTTACAACACCCGGAATCTAACTATTATATCCTTAGTTATTATAGTATACATAGATACTATACTTATTTTGTGGTAATATATATATATATTAATGTTATAATAATCACGTTATGCATAGTTCCGATGATCCGCTGGTGATGGCAGGGCTCGGCACGGTGGGTCTGGAGATTATAACCCAGCTGCCGGAGGCTGACGCCGTGATCGTCCCAGTTGCCAGCGGTGCACTGCTTGCGGCTGTGCTTGTTGCTTGCAAGAAACTCAAGTGCTCTTGTTTGATTTATGTAATTAGATTTTTACCGATACGACAACATAACCTTCAAGAAAAGAGCATATTCCTTTTTAAAAGGCCGGCAGCACACCTGCAATGCCGTAGGTGTTGTGGGTGACCATGGGCGGCGGTAGTCACTTACCATCAGGTGAGCCGCATGCTCGTTTGCCCCCTGTGTTGTAAAAAAAATATATCAATTAGTTCTAATTATTATTTAGCATTAATTTTATTTTTCAACTCAGAACTTCTGACTCGGAAATCATGAATTTTCATTAATGATTCATCAATGACTCGACTGATCAACTTGTCTAGGAATAGAAACTTACGCTAGATCGTGAAGTACTTTTTTCATTATAAATATTAGACAAAATAAGTAAGTTTACTCTCTTGGTTAATTAAGTAGCTATCTATCTACGTAAAACTTCAGACTCCACGAAAATTAGGGTATGAAAATAACAAATTCAAAATTATTTCAATTTCTACATATAACTAGGTACCTAATACGATATTTCCATTTTACTTAATTTCATTCTGTTAGGAATAGTTTAAAAAAATAAAAAAAGTCTTATCATTTTTATAATAAGTGTAAAATATGGAACTACAAGTAATTATATATTTGATTTCATAGGGAGTAGAATGTGCAAAAGTATCAAAAATGATGAAAGCTCTGCAAGCGGGACGCCCGGTGAGAGTGCCAATAGTACCAAATCTTGCTGATGGACTCAATTCAACGACAGTCGGTACCAACACTTTCGCAACTGTTAAAGGGCGACTCGACAGAATGGTACTATATATTTCCTATAAAATTTTGAAGTGTTTCTAGATGTTTGCGCGTTCTGGGTCAATAATCGGAATTCCTACATATTTTTGTTATCACCTATAAGCATAAGCGTTTTTAAAGGGGAGCCGGGTGAGCCGTTTACCCACTGTGTGTAACTATATTTTGCTGAAAATATTAATAGATTATAAAATTCACCTCTTCACAGCTCAATATAATAAAAAAAAAAATAGATAAATAGGATTTGAACTCGCTATCCGGGCCGATATGTTGGCCGGGCATTTACTAATAAGTAAGGAGGAAATTAAATCATTTTGCCCAACGTGAATATCTTCCCGAATACAGGGACAGTAGTACATTTTATAAATTTTAAATATGATTGAATGTAATTCGGGTACAAGGCACATGAAGAATTAAAAGTAACGTATGTTTCTCTAAAAATCATGACTTCTGCATAGGCTTGTCTTTCTTTGTAATTACTGCTTTAAATATTTTCAGTTAGTGGTAGACGAATTGTATATTGCTCGTGCAGTAATTAATGTGTTGGAAAGAGAGCGTTTTGTAGCTGATGGAGCCGGAGTGTGTTCTATTGCTGCTGTTATGCAAGGACTTGTGCCAGAATTGAGAGGCAAACGGTAAGTACTATCAACATTTGAACTTTACGTAGCTAAATACGAGTATTATGTGATTATATTAAAGAGAACGACAATTATGATAAACGATATTAATTTTAATATTTATTCTATTGTTCGACAATTATCAACATAAGTGCGTTCATGATTTTTGCTTACCGAAGTGTGGAAATGTTACAACAATCTATCAGTTTTAAAAAACAATTTAACAATTATTTAAAAAGTGCTCTATTAGCGAATTAAAAACGTTAATTGTAAAATGCGTTGCATCTCTGAATCTGCCATTAAAATTTTGGTATCTACTTCATATTTTCACATAATGTATACGAGTATTACCATCAGAATCAAAGTTCTCAGTGCGAGTTTAATAAGAATATTATTGCAGGATGATACTGTAACTTAAGAGATTGCCGTAGATTATTGCTATAATTATCCTCAAGTTTAATATAATATTATTGATTCCAGTGATGTCTTTATGTATAAAATAGTAGTGATTAAAGTTTATGGTGTTTCAGAGCGGTATGCGTTATAACTAGCGGAAATATAGATTCTGGTCGTTTATCTCGTACAATACAGCGAGGTCTTGGTGCTAGTGGTCGCCTCCTTAGATTTACTGTTGCTATTCCCGATCAACGTAACAGTTTAGAACATCTGGCAAAAGCTATTGCGGAAGAGAACGCCGTGCTGAAGAGTTTGGTTACAGAGCAGATGTGGGTGCATAGTGATATTGGAACTACTTGGGTTTGTATTTGAAAGTAGAAATTGGTATTTTTAAAGCGAAAAATGTAATGGTAACACTGCCTGCAATATTGCTTTATGCTTGTCTTCATCATCACTTACTGATATTCCAGTGATGATGAAGACAGGTCACTTAGCTCATCGTAATATCAATCACGATCAACAGAAATTGTCCACTATAGTTCCTAGGGGGAACCATGTTTTTTTATTGAGTGAACATGGAATGGTAACCACTGCTCGTGCTATTGAAATAGATAGACAGGGCATTAGTGAGTAATGATAGGCGATGATGAAAGTAGGTGAAATGGCCCATCATGACAAGTTAATCAAAATTAACTATGACGCTTTCCAGAAGGAACCGCATGGAGGGCGACATGACAGTTTAGAATAGAGAAAGGCTACTTTAAATTCCAGTTACATAGGTAATGTAATATAATAACTAGTGTCTAATAATTTGATTAACATATCATTATGTTTCCAAGGCTAATGTGGTAGTTGAAGTGGCCAATGAAGAACAAGCTATCAACTTCAAGGATCGCTTAAGAGATCTTTATCCATCAGCTAGATTTACCATCACTGACCTTGAAGAGAAGCATAAAATAAATTTATGATGAAAAATTATTTGTTGTTACTTTGAGTTTTCATAATAAATGAAATGAAAACATTTAGGTTTTTTGTTTATTTTTTAAGACTTATACATAACATTATGCAACAGGATCATCTCCCTTTGTTGCTCTTGTGTAGATCACTTGACCATGGTGTTGAACTACTTGCTTGATAAGACCTGAAAAATAATATTTATGTATAATACAAATGGGTTAAAGACAAAGAACTTGTAGTAAGTAGTTTAAATAAGATATCAGACTCAATATATCAGTATTTAAACTGTCAGGGTAAATCCAGAAAAAAAAATTCATCATTCTTTTTTGATAACCGTTTCTATAAAACTGCATATACAATTTCAAGGATTTGAAATTGTCTAAAAACATTATCAAATACTAAATTTGTTTGTCACTGGACAGTATTTAACAGCATAGGTACATTCTACTACCACTATGGGCAAGACTGTTTGACAAAACATTCATGGACAAAAATAACTATTCTTTGTATTTAAGTTTTTATCACAATTTTAGTTTAATTCCTAAGATTTTAACCCTGATGGAATTCCTGTTTAATGTTATGGCAGCTTACAATGTGGGATAATTTCTGTCCATGAAAATAAGTTCCTTGCCATAATTTATGGAACACATATAAGTTAGTGTTACATACAGTGGACTTTCAGTTACATGAATACCTACCAATACATAGAGTTGTTTTATGTTAATTATCTATATAGGCAATTTATTAGAGATATGTAATGTAAGAAGCAACTTATCAACTATTTTACTAAAAATCTGTCAGGTTATAATATGGTTGCTACACTAAAATATTAAGAAAAGTGTAATTATACTTTTCACAAAGGAAAAGATTTAAATATTAAATAACAATTTGCAATACCAACCCTTTTCTCTGAGCTCAATGAGCGCTCGCCTCGCAAGAGATCCTCGAACTTTCAATCTTTCAGAGACAACAGCAGGTGTGATCAGCTTGTATTGGGGTACTTCCTTATACAGCTTATCATATGTGGCCTGGTCAAAGAGAACAAGGTTGTTCAACTTGTCACGGGTTTTTCCTTTGGACCACTTCTGCAATTTTTTAAATATATTTATGAATATAAAAACTAGACCAATGAATTTTTATTTAGTTCTTTAAAGTAGCCATCAGCCTCAATATATCAGATTTTACTCTCATAGTAATCAAGTGAATTAAGTTTAATCATTTGACAAATACAGAAACATTTTAATATTTTTTAATTTATATAGTATTATTTGCATTATGTATACCAGAATGAACTGAAATTATAATATTCCGACTGACATGTTCTTATAACCTAACTTTCTGGGATACATATTAGTTGTTTACCTTCTTTTTTGCTTTGCCACCACCAGAACCTTCTTTTTTCTTTTGTGTCTTCTGTGGCTGCTTGGCCGAAGTCTTCGCGTCCTTTTTGGGCGGCTATAATCACAAAAAGCAATGTATGCATACGTAAGAAACACGAGGTAAGGACAATTGTTATATTTAGGTAAGTTCATTATAAGATACAATTCAGATAAAATTATTAATTTACAGAATTATTAATTTATAAAACTATAATTTCATAGAATTATTAGCAAACGATGTTGATAGAACGAATTAATTTAAATTTAATGCAACAATACAAAGCACTCACCATGTTGAATAAAACCGGAAAGAAATAAGAAACCACTCCTCGTCTCTCTCTCAGCCGTCGCTTCTTGTGTCTATGGTTTTCATCAAATGTCAAATGTGTTTTTTCACAAGATAATAAAAAATTAAACTATTATTATGATAATGATTGTTATAGTTGATGTTATTATACTAAGAACAAAAATATTTGTTATTATATTAGGAAATGATAGGTACTACTTAATTTACCAAACCAACCTATCGAATAAAATTAGTACAGTAATATAGTATAGTAATATTCTTTGTCTTTGTTAATATAAATTTTCAAAATAGCGTAGACAGTGAATGCCAATTCTTAATTATTAGTTTCATAATTTTGACAATTTGCATAATTTGCTACTTGTTTATATAGGTATTTCTTTTATTTATATATTTAAAAATAATTTAATTGCCATTTTTTTAAACTTATCTTAGAAGTTGGAAGATATGTTTAGAAAAATGGTACCTTAGAATCAGCCCTATTATCGATTATATAATTCTATTAGTTTTTTTATTTTTATACTAAAATTTAGTATTTGAACGTATTTTTTATCTCCAGTACGAGCCTCTTATGACTCTGATAGAAATGTTTATGAAAATAATGACCGATAGCCATTGAAGTAACGAAGAATTTGCGTATTAGATTATGATCATCTTATTTTTTATTCCCGTATGGGGTCAGCTTAAGCCGAGATCGATTTTTTGTGTTTCTCTCTCTTACACAATTTTTTTTTTAATGGGTGATAATGGTATAGTAACCCTGTCTGCGCTATCTGTATACACTGGCGGGGCACCAGTGATAGATGACTAATGAGAATGAAAGCAGGTCAGTTAGCCTATCCTGACGAATTCAACTAGAATTAGTCACGATGGTTGCCAGGGGGAACCACGTGGAGGTTGACCTGACGGTATATTGCTAGTAATGACGTTATTTGACCCCATTACTAACAATCCCTTTCCTCCCTTCTCTTACACCATTATATATCGATAAAGCAACAGATCCTATGTGTTACATTCACGATATCTCGCGGATTAAGATATCTGTAGTCTCCTGGCTCTGGATAAGTCGTTCCAAGTGGCATCTCATACGTATACTTTTTAATCGCAGTTGCATATCTAGTGTTTCATGGATTTTGATTTCTCACCGCACAATCTGCTCAGTGTGTCTGAGGATAGACCCCTCTAGTATAGTATACGCGTTATTGGAAATGCCAATTCTAGTCCAGTTAGGGCACCCACAATGGGCCTTGCCTGTTGTCTGCCACCGCTGTAGAAGAGTTTATCCCATCTTTCAGCATTATCGTTTAAGAACTTTTTAGAATGCCCAAGATTCTTCAAAGTTCTCCATACCTTTTACTGTTTTTTTTTTCTTACATACTCCTCAAGGGCATAGTTAACAACACTTGATGCAAGTGCAACATATGGTTCAGGACCTATCATTTTTAATTCTGATCCCTTTCTCGTCAACTTATCGGCCTTTTCATTTAATTTCTATATATCCAGGGTTCCATATCAACCTAACTCTAAAAAAAAAAAATTACCAAAATTATTTAGGTTTTGAATATATTTTAAAGTTAACTCTGAATTCACTCTTGTTTATACAAGTATTTTGATAGTGGTTTGATTGTAATTTATAGATATCCTTGTTTTTTTTTAAATTATTTTCGGATTCATAGCTGCACAGGTGGAAACAGCATTCATTTCTGTTCGAAAAATAATAGAGTATTTCCCTGTTTTATTTTTATTTCAGCTGTTAACTGTCTACTGCTGAACATAAGCCTTCCCCATAAGGGGAGTTTTGCTAGTAGTTGCCACGCTTAGCAGGCGGGTTGACAACCGCAATAAGGCTTTTAGAGATGTAATGCTGTCCATCCCTCGACCTCCCTTAGTCGCCTCGTACGACACCCACGGGCCATGTTACCACTTTTCTGTCTGTGGTAACTTTGAATTTCTTTTTGATGATGTATCTTGATGTTATTTTGTCATATATCATGTCCAAGTCTTTTTCGAATTCCAGTTTTGTTTAATTTGTAAGTGGCATAGATCTGTTCCATAATTCAAGATACTATAATAAATAGATTAAAGACTTTACGCGTTTTTGTAGACAATTTAGAATTTTAGAAAATAATATGTAGTTTATGTTATTCGCTGATAGTAGCTTTCTATAGGTGAAAGGATTTTAAATATTATTTGAATAGATAGTTCTCAAGTTTATCCAATACAAAACAAATATTAGATTAATACAAAAACACGTTTATTTATTTTTTATATATAGATATATAAAGTACTTGTATATACGTGTAATTATGTTATATACATTTTTAGAAAAGGATTAAATGAAAAACATTTATATCAATATTTTTATATAATTTTAATGTAATAACAACCGGATTAGCTTACTATTTTAGTACAGAAAGCTAGACTAGATTTTTATGTAAGTTACAGCAGCAATTACGTTTATTTACACTGTACTTAATGTACCTTTCCACTTATACATTATATTGTTGCCTAGGTACAATTGATATCACATGTTTAAAAATCCAAAATAAAACCCATACCCAACTTTAAACAAGTCCTGAATTGCCCGGAATGAAAATTGAACATACTGTATACACACACATTCACGCAAAGCAAGCAAAGTGCATATCAATATAGAAATGGTCTGGCAGTAATCTAGCTGTAAAGATAATTTACAACAATTTGCCATTACATTTGAGTACAAGAATTTATATTATTATCTAGTAGATTTTTAAATGTATAATTATATTATACACATACATACATGTAGCACTTGGCATGCAACACATAGGCTATTTTGTACCTTTTTATATCAATTTCTCCAGTCATTCAGTTAATATTTGTTACCAAGAAATGATTCTATAATTAAAAACAATATGTAGTGTAATTACATTCGTGACTCTAAAGAATCATAATAGGCTAACTCTTCATCGGTGATCGAAGGACGGAATGTTTCCACTCCTTCCGTCAGCTCTGGGACACCAATGATCACTGAATCTGTACTTAGCTCACTCTCTTTTATTAATCCTAGAAAAAGCAAATATATATTATTTAGAAACATGAAAGTTTCAAAAAATGATTTAATACTAGGTAACCAAGAACAATTAAGTTGTGGTGAGGGGGGGGGATTACAGGATGTGAGAGGCTTATTAAATCTGCTGAATTTAATAGGTCTTTCACACAGACGACGTATATTAATGAATTAGCAATAGGTTAATAGAATTAATAGGATGTGCCACAATATTTTTAATACTCTAAGGTTCCAGCATAGAATAAACCCCACTTTCATTGCCATGTTTATGTCTATAGGCGACGGTTACCACTTTCCATGAATCTAATGGACCGTCAGCTTCTAAATTGTATGAAAAAATCCTAAAAATGAATTTAAAAAAGTGTAAATCAAAAGACAGTTTAAAAGTGTTTAATAAAGCAAGACAGTTACCATTGTGCAGGTCTCGCAAGAGAGCGCGTACAGCGGCGGCGCGTGCGGTGGAGACGACACGCAGCAAGTCTGCGCCCGAGCACCGCTCCGGTAGGGCTGCTGCCACGCTCGCCAGCTGCACATCCGGCCGTACGTTGTGGCTGCGTCAAGTGCCATCGACATTAGTTACTTAAACTTGATTATTAAATAAAGTCTGATAATGTTTTTAAATAACTTCAAAAAAGAGGTGGTTTCCAATTCCCAAAAAAAAACATGTTTCGTTTTTTGGGTGTACGATTCAGTGATCTCATTTTATAGAATAGTGCAAAAGTGAGAAATTAAGTTCTTAGCTTTTATATATGTGTTTGTGCATAATTTCAACTTGAGTTTAAAGTTTAAATAACTGTCGACAATAACTATTTTTTTTTTAAATTTAAGCTTACAAGAACTTGTGAAATAAACTTTTACGAAATAGCGCTAGATAGCTAATGATAAATTAGATGATTAGATATGTAGAGGGTTAAAAACAGTTTATTTCTAATTATAAGAAGTAAAATATACAACTTCATATAATAGTGAAAAATTCCATATTTAAAAATATTTTTAATGAGTTTGTATTGGGGACTCCTAAATTATAAATAGGTTGAGAAAAGTTTGAGATGATATTGTTATAACAAACAATAAACTAATATAAAACGTTTATTTGTATATTTATTGTAATATTTCTTAAATTATAAATGAATATTTTATTGCAATTTATACGTATTAATGAAAATACCTTCTGCAAAGTGCTTTTAATACGGAAGTTTTTTCACCAATGCCACTGTAAGGTGCCACATATACGAGTTTATCGAGCCGGCCCGGTCGCAGCAGTGACTGTTCTAACAGGTCGGGCCTATTCGTAGCGCCCATTATAAACACCAAACTAGAACTATCGGCATCTGAAAATAATAATTTTATGTTGTTACCACTTTTTAATCTAACGACAGACACACTGTACAATCATACAAGGTATATTCTATTGTATTAAATAAAGTAGACAAAGGTTGATTGCTTGGATACCTGTGTCCCATTCGTGTTTCTACCGTGAAGCAGTTGTGTTTGCATGGCTATGTTTCGGTTTGAAGGGTGGGATATGGCGTGAATTTACAGTGTACAGAGGAATAACATTTGAGCTCTCAGTAATGGAAACGCATGGGGATATCATGGGCGAAACAGTATACTCTGTTATGTCCATGGTACTGCTCATGTTTATAGGCGACAGTTATCACTTTCCATTAGGTGGACCGTCAGCTTGTTTGCCATTCTAAGTTGTATAAAAAAAAAGATAAATGCCTCTACCCCACTTATTTGTCACAAAACAGATTATTAATTTTTATATGCTATGAATTGGTTTTTTGCTTGGTAAAATTACTGACCCAATTTTTTTATGTTACAAACAGCAATGTGAGAGAGAAGTTTCGTCGTCGTATGTATTATTAGGTGGTGGTGACCACGTAACACCTGGCAGATGGGGGGAAAGGGATTGTTAGTAATGGAGACTGAGAATCCCATTGCTAGCAATATACCCAATCAGGTCGACCTCCACGCGGTTCCCCCTGGAAACTATCATGGTTAATTCCTGATGAATTCATCATGATGGGCTAACTGGCCTGTTTTCATTCTCATCTATCACCCTTCACTGGTGCTCCGCCAGTGTACCCCGCTAGCGCAGGCGGGGTTACCATACCATTTTCTATCATCAAAAAGAAAAAAAAACACTTAGCAGATGAGGTGGAGGGATTGTTAGTAATGCGGACTACCAGTCCCATTGCTAGCAATATACCCCGTCAGGTCGACCTTCACGTGGTACCCCCTGGAAACCATTGTGCTGAATTTCAGGTATATTTATCACAATGGGCTAACTGACCTGCTCTTTCATTTTCACTTATCATCCCTGGCAGATGATTAATTTAAATCTTTGTCTTAATCATCAAAACTTAAAGTGGTTAAAAATCATTAGTCGATTGTTGTTGCGGTTGATGACTGTAATACTCAACATGTCCACTTTCTGCCAAGCATATTGAAAGTGAGAGGGGTGAACCTACCACCGTCACTAAGATTTTTTGGTTTATTATCTGTATTTTCAAATCACCAATCTAAGGGTACCTGCTGACTATCTACTTTTCGGTGCCGGTTAGATTCATAAGTCGGGGCACTATACAACCGGACCGCGATACTCTCAAGATGTTTGAATTGTTTGCTGAAAGTTACCTTCTCCACTGGCGACGCCGTCGATCTCGGCGAGTAGCTGACTGACGACGCGGTCGCTGGCCCCTCCCGAGTCGCCAGCGGCGCCGCGCCGCGGTGCCAGCGCGTCTAACTCGTCCAAGAAGACTATGCACGGTGACGATGCGCGCGCTGATTCGAACACTGCAAGTGAAGTCATAAAAAATTGGTAGTTGAGAATCAAAAAGCTAATTGATTTCAATAATTATATTAGCTAGCTAGGTGTATTGTGAAGATTTAATATCGAGTTTTCCATTAAGAATGTATTTAATTATTCTTGACTATATTAAAAAAATTAAAGTTAATAAGGCGCATTTAATGTTGTAAAAATATTCTATTAAAAGAGAATTTATTGATTTAATCATACCTTTTCTAACATTTTCTTCTGATTGTCCAATGTACATGTTCAATAATTCTGGACCTTTAACGCTTAGAAAACTAACATTCAGTTCTGTGCTGACTGCTTTGGCTACTAATGTTTTGCCACATCCGGGAGGTCCGTACAGTAATATGCCTAAAATTTGTACAAATTATAAATATTTTTTGTTTATTACAAATGTAAAAGTAAGTTTGCATATTTAATGACAATTTAATTGCAAATAAATGTTTATTGCATCATATGAAATTGTTGTCAGTTATTGTTCAATTAGTTCATGAGAGCAACTGATCCATAGTAATGAATTTGTTTGGAATTATTTATAGTGGTTTTTAGGAGAGAATCATGCAGAGTGAGAGAAAGAGAGGCCATTAGATCTCATTACTAATAATCCATTTCCTTAAAGGAACAATAGAGCTCAGTTGGATTGTTACACTAAGCATCGTTTAATTGGCATTTTTTTCGTCGTTGCGTAATTATCGTGGCTATTTGCGAGTCATATGCTGCATGCCACGGACTGATATACAATGCTGTGAAAAGTGTGGTCATGGTCTTTGAGAGCAGAGGCAAAAACTCAATAGGCTTTCCAGATATTAAACTGAAGGGTATAGCGTTGAAGAGGGTGTATAAATTTAAATATTTAGGACATCAATTGGCCTCGGATCTCAAAGATGATGATGACATTGAACGGGAGCGGAGGGCGCTGGCGGTGAGGGCGAATATGATAGCACGCAGGTTTGCGCGGTGCTCTAGACAAGTTAAAATTACGTTATTTAGATCACATTGCACATCTTTCTATGCATGCAACCTGTGGGCTGTATATACTCAAAAATCCTACAGCGACCTCCGTATCCAATATAATAACGCGTTCAGGGTGTTGATGGGGCTGCCGCGATTCTGCAGCGCGTCAGGGATGTTCGCTGAGCATCGTGTAGATTGTTTTTATGCCACGATGCGAAAAAGGTGTGCATCCCTGGTGCGCAGAGTACGTGCCAGCACCAACAGCATCCTGAGTATGATAGCAAGCAGGCTGGACTGTGTGTACGTTAATCACTGCTGCGCAATTTCCAATGGAATTGTGCAGCGGTGATTATCTGTATACTACTTAATATATTGTATGTGTGTATGTGTGTGTATGTGTATTGTGTATGTAAATTTACTAACATTAGTTTTTAAGAATATTGTTACTAATAAATATTTAATGGACCAAAAAGTCTGAAATAAAAATTATTATTATTATTTTTTAAATTTCACTAAAATTCTCATCTCCCCTCTTAAGGAGAGGAGATGGCAACTAACCCCCGGCAGAAGCACAGTCGGCCGGGGTTCAGGGCCCCAGGGAGAGAAACCGGCGTACAATGCGGGCAGAATCTAAGAGCACCGCTTTCTGCATCTTTCCCGGAAGTGAACCGCCTCTGAATCCCAACCGTCTGAGATGTTGTTCGAGACTGGTTGGGATAAGACCGTTCACCGACATAACGATTGGGATGATTTCGGTAGATGTCACCCCCCACATTTCGGTCACCTCGTGAGCCAGGTCGAGATATTTTCTCTTCTTCTCGGTTTCGGCTTTCACGAGGTTCTCGTCATGCGGTATGGTGACATCCACCAAAAACACCCTCGAGAGTGCCCGATCCATCACCACGATATCAGGTTTGTTCGCAAGAACGGTCCTGTCCGTGATGATGGATCGGTCCCAGTAGAGCCTTACGCTGTCGCTTTCGAAGACCGGCTGGGGCTCATACTTATAGTACGGCAACCTCTCATTCGCGAGGCCGTACTTCAGAGCTAGCTCTTGATGGAGTATTTTGGCTACCTGGTTGTGTCTGTGCAAGTACTCAGTGTTGGCAAGAGCTGAACAACCCGAAAGCACATGTCTGAGTGACTCTCCGGGATGGCGACATGCTCGACAGATGTCCTCAGTGCCATCCTTCAGAATGTGCTTTCGGTAATTGTTCGTCTTAACCACCTGATCCTGTATTGCACAGACAAAACCCTCGGTCTCTCCGAAGAGATCACCGAACTGTAGCCAGTGCACGGAGGTCTTCGTGTTTACGTACGGCCCGTGAAGGGCTTTGAAGAACCTTCCGTGCAACTCCTTCTCTTTCCATACGGCCTCCCGCTGAGAGGTACCCAAAACTTCGGGTTTTCGCCAGTCCTCTTTAGCCAGAGAAAGAGGGGTGAATCCTTTGTCACATTCTATGACCTCTCTATGCAAACCCTCGTCTCTTTTCTCCAGAAAATATGTCCTGAGGCTGTCAATCTCGCGGTTGTGCATGGTCTTAACGCTTAACAAGCCTCGACCACCAGCTTTCCGCGGGATATACAGCCTCATGACTGACGATTTCGGGTGATGCATTCTATGGAGGGTCATAGTTGTGCGGACTTTCCGATCCAGGGCTTCGAGTTCGGTTTGAGACCATCTGAGCACGCCAAAAGTGTAAAGGAGTACGGGTATGACCCAGCCGTTATAAGCTCGGATTTTATTGGCGCCCGACAAAGAACTTTTCAGTACTCTTGTAAGGCGCGCAAAAAATTCCTCGCGGACTGACTGTTTCATATCCGTCTCCTTCACACCGATGTTTTGTGACATGCCCATATACCGGTATGTTTCAGCCTCGGAGAGGGTTTTAATATTAGAGGGATCTGTGGCGATCCCTTCAGTTTGAGTGACCCGTCCCCTCTGCACATGGAGGACCGCGCACTTGTCTATTCCGAGCGCCATCCTAATAGAGCTGCTATAATCGTTTACGATATTTAGCAGCTCCGTCAGGCGTTCGATGCTCGGAGCTAGCAGTTTCAAGTCATCCATGTACAGAAGGTGAGACACTCGTGTACCTCCTCTCCGATACTGAAATCCAGTCCCCGAATTCTCCAGTAAAGTACTGAGTGGATTCAGGGACAGGCAAAACCAAAGTGGACTCAAACAATCGCCCTGGAATATTCCTCTCTTTATCTCTATCCGGTCAGCGGTATCCGTCAATCGCTCGCACTGGATAGTCAGGATCGTCGTCCACTGCCTCATGCATGCCTCCAAGAACACTCGAACTGTACCGTCGATCTTGTACAGCTCGAGTATCCTCCGGAGCCATGAATGGGGCACGGAATCGAACGCCTTTTTATAATCTATCCAGGCGGCGGAGAAATTCCGACGGTTCCGCTTGACCACGTGGCCAGCGACAGCATCAATGAGGAGCAGCTCCTTCGATCCGCGGCTACCGCCCCTGCATCCGTTCTGAGCGCTAGATATGATCTTATTCTCGTACACATGACGAGAGATCTTAGCGCTCAGAACGGATGTTAACGTCTTATATATTGTCGTAAGACAAGTAATGGGGCGATATTTAGATGGATCCGCGGTATCGTCCGTCTTAGGAGCTAAATGAGTGATCCCGGTTGTAAGGAAGTTCGGGAGCGTCCTGTTTTCGAGGGCACAGTAGAGGGCAGTAGTGCTGCAATCCGTCGATCCCCGGACTTTTCCAGTTCGGAGCCCGACGAATCGCGGCAACCACGTCTTCCTCCGTAATGGCAATGGCGTTCATCGGCGTTATTCGAGCACATGCTTCCTCAACATCGTGCATCCATGCGCCCTCCTCATGTTCCACAGGTTCAGACCACAGCTGTCTCCAGAAGGCGACGAAATTGGCTGTTTCGGGTCTTTGTCCTGTGGGCTGTAGTTTTGGGCGCTCCAAGTTCCTATAAAACTTCCGTTGATCACTCATAAAGAGGCGATTCTGTTGATACCTCTCAACCCTCTCAGAGTACCGTCGGAGTCGCTTCCCCCATGCAGCGATCTTCTGCTTCAGTTCATCTATGCGCTCCGTAAGTTTGTGCCCGAAGTCCGGCTGGAACAGACGTACACCTGTCCCAGCAAAGGCCTCTTTTACGGAGCGCATAATTCTCGGGCGTGTGTTGCCCTCCCTGAAGCAGAGCAGTCTACCAATGAGGACTCTGGCCTGGGCGATCCGTCGTTCAATCCTTCTTTTCCAGGCTGCTTTCATATTATCCCTTTGGATATTACGTCCAGCCCGGGGCATTTTTGCGCCGGTATATCGGCATACTGCCAACGCAGCGCCAAACAGGATTGAACTCGTCTCTCCCAGGTCACCGCTGCCCTCAAGGTACTGAGGCAGCAGTCCATTTGTGGCCTCAATGGCATCCCGCGTCGCCACATTTGGATATATCCGGGGAAGCTTCGGTCTCTCTTCGAGGGGAGTTCTTCGGATCTCTAGAATTATTGTTATTATTATTATTATTATATGATATACATCTGATAGATTTGGTGTTTATAGAAATACAGTGATAAGTATTTTACCTGATCTTTTAAGAGTTGAATTCTTGAATAAATGTGGATACTTGATAGGAAACTCTATTGTCTTCAAAAGTTCCCTCTTCAGTTTCTCTAGACCTCCTATATCTTCCCAATAAACCTTTGGAATTTTAGGTGCATCCAAGTGTTGACTTTGTAGATTTCTTATAGATTCTAATAATACAAATCATAAGGAGCAATTAATATTAATCGCCATGTGGTCTCGGCATAGAATGGACCACACCTCTCTTTCCCGTGGGAATGGTAAGAGGCGACTAAGGGAAATAAATGCTCAAGGGATGAGCAGCAGTGTCTTTCTTAAACATTACCAAAACCTAACTGTGGTTTCCAACCTGTCCCTTTTATGAGGGAGGCTTACATTCAGCAATGGATAGTTAATGGCTGATATTATAAATTAATATTAAATTTATGATGGTAAATTTCTCCTATTGGGGTAGGCAGAGGTATATATTCTTTTATATTATATATCACTATTATTGTATCACCAAACGTCAGTTAACTTACATGTTTTAATCTTGTATTATATAACATTATACTATGCAATATTTTGTAAAACATATTATACCTAATGCTGAATCAAAATCCTCTTCTTGAACAAGGTGCAAATCAGGGTCTGGTGGTAATTGATTGTAAATATTATGTTGTTTTAAATAAGATTCCCTCAAGGCAAAGTGTACTAATGTATCAATATCACCATAACGGAATGTTTCTGTTTTAGCTGCAACCCTTTGCAAGACATCTAATGAATTTTTATTTAAAGAAACTTTTGAATCTTCAATATTTAATAAGCTTTGTTTATTTGATTTGTGTTCTTCCCCATTGATATTCAGTTGCATAACAGATGTAAACCACTGCAACATTTCATACCTCTGTTGTGCATTTAGTCGTGGTATATTGAATATTTCAAGGAATATCCTTAATATGTTTGGTTTTAGATCTGTTCTCTCAGTAACAGCTATAAATATGATAGGGTGTTTTGTATAATTTAAATACAAGTCATTAAGTATATTCATAAAATATTCTATAATTCGACAGTCTTCATTGTTCTCAGGGTCTACTGCAAATACCTATAATAAAATTGTTTAGAATAGTGTCAAGTTATTTAATAAAATAATAAAACAAATGAATAATAATGATAATACAACAATAAGAGATCTTAAAACGATATGTAAAGACTTCCTTAGAGTCAACAAGGAATCAATTGACTCTAGTGTTGAAGGCATTCAATGCCTTGGTATTATGCATACAATCAGACAAACTATAGTCTTGTTTGCCACCTCAGTAGCAACATAGGGAGACTTTGTATTGCTCATGTCTATAGGCGACGGTTACCACTTTCCATCAGGTGGGCTGACAGCTTGTTTGCCATTCTAAGTTGTATAAAAAACTATATGTAAATTTAACCTCAAAATTGTCCAATAGAATTATGGCAGGAGCTGCAGCTTTTCCTTTTTGTATTGTTGAGTTTATTTTACTTTCTGTCTGCTTAGCTGTGGAGCTTTGAAGTACATTGCAGTCTATCTGTAGACAGTTCAAGCCTAAATAAAAATAATATATCATTACATTAAATATTGTCTTTACAATGTAGTATAATAATTACAATTCATAATTTTATAACTTACCATTGTATTTTGCTAGTGTTTTAACAAGTAAATGTCTTCCTGAACCGATGGATCCAGTTAGTAGTAGCATGGGGATTATGGGACTTGTCATAACAGATGATAAATCATCTGTAATAAAAAAGTCATAATTTCAGATTCAGACAATAATAAAGTAGAAAAATATTAAATATAAATAGGAATTATCTTAATAATAAAAACATATAGAAAATGCAGTTCTGAAGAGCTGCAAAGATTCATATATAAGGGTTTTAGAAATACCCCATGATGACTACTGTTCTGAAGGTACAGAGCAGCAGTTAAATTTATAATAAGATTTACATATTTTAGTTTTTAAAAGTAAACAAAATACTTAATATATATATATATATATATATATATAACTAATTCATAGATATGTAACTACATATATTAATTTTTCAACATGTATTATATTAGTTAATAAATTCAATAAGAGATATTAATAATTATAATTAGTAATATCTCTTTTAATATTAAAAATACTTTACTCATTTCTCCAGACAGGAAGGGACTGATGGCTTCTTGAATTTGTTCAAATTTTTCTCTCAAACCAGTAGGACACAATTTCAGTATTTGTACATTTTCCTCAGATTTTGAAAGCCTGAAATACTCATCTTTTGGTTTTATTGAGTGAATATTTTCACCTAAAGTTAACTGAGTTACACCTTTTATTATAAAAAATGATTGTATTACATTATTTTGGACACTGAGCTCAGTTTTTACAGTATTGGAATCATCACCATTCACTTTCCTACATTTGAAATAAAGTTTGCCATTTGATTCCACCAAGTCTAAATATTTATGATGATATGCAGCAGTAATTTTAGGTGTTAGTTCTATGTTAAATATGTCATTTACACTTATTAACTTTGGTACTTCAAAGTGATTGTTTAAAACCTCCTTTATAAAGTCATTTGCTAAATCAAACTCATTAACAATAAGACTAACTTCAGCTGTTGCTGCTATCTTAGGTGAACTTTCAAGAGTAGGCACTGGATGAAAGGTAACTTCAATATTATTACAATTTCCTAAATTATATGTTGATGCAATATTTTGATATTCATTCTCTGCTATAAGAGCAACATTTTCTTCTACAAATTTTGAACCAACAACAGGTACTATTCTAATATTTTCTAAGTTATCTTTTATGTTGGCTGTCCATAGTTTATTGTGCATGTCAGGAGTTAAAAAATTAAGGTTAAATTTGTACTTCTCCTTGGAGCTTTTTTGTTTGTTGCTATGTTCGTTTTTACAATCAGAACTTAATTTCAATGCAAGCCACAATGCTCCATTATCTATATAAAATAGATTTTCACTGCAAAACTGAATATATTGTTCTTTTGAAATAATAAGGCATTTATGCATAAGATGTAGACTGTTTTCAAGACGGTCTTTTATTAGAATTCTTTGAATATACGTAGGAACAGTTTTGAGTATAAACTTATCCATGACGTCTTTCATTATTTTTTTATGGTAATGAATTCTGTACTTTATTGCAAGAAAGACTAGAAAAGTGGAACTGTTGAACTTTGGATAGGCTAGTTTTAAAATAAATTTTATCACCCATAGTTTTGCAGTACTTTGTTCATTCATAGTAAATTATAAATTTTAAAACAGCTTTTAAACTTTCTTAACAATAAATACATATATTACGTAGTATTGAAAAAGTAAGTTATTGAATTCAATCAAATTTTGAATCGGTAGCTAATAAATTTGGTTATATGATATTGACAATAACGTCACATACAAATTGTCAATGTCAACAAAATATTACTTTTTTTTTTATTTGGCAATGAGGTAGTGTTGCCTTATATGATACTTAGCAAAGACGGGAAACAGAACGGAGAATAAATACGATGGGATTGTTCATAAAGATGGAAGAATGAAAATTTTACCAATAAAACCGCTAGATAAATACACAATATACATTAAATAAGAGGTAGTAAACTACTAAATATATTATTACAGTCACTAAATAACCAAAAAAATATTTAAATTAATCCAAAATAAAAGCCGCATCCGCCAAGTTTAACGTTTCTGTCTTTACGAAATGTTATTTTCTTTTGTGTTTTCTTTTTTTTATTTTTCCTCAATGGCAATCAGTCGCTGTTTTTGCGACCATTTTTGTCAGCGTGTAAGAGGACATTACAAACTGGACATTAATCGAATTAAATTAATTTTATTTATTTTTTATATCTCATTTAAAAAAATCTATTCGGAAATTATTATTTTTCTACCTCATAGCCATTTTATTTAATTTATAAGCGCGTCACTTAAATAAAGTTGTTTTATTTGTTTCATGTGTAGGTGGATCCGAAACGTTACTTGTGATTGATCTAGAGATCAAAATCTTTGATCCCGCAAACCATAGACTAAGGATCTGATTGCGCAGCAAATATTGTAAATTATTGCTAATAAATAAATTATGGTATTACATAGCACTATTGCTTGCTAGTGATTAAATTGTTTAAATGCACTATTCTTCGACAAACAGCGACATTTGCGATCTTTACATAATACTAAGTAAACTATTCTATTACAGGCCCTCTAGACAAGTGGCAAACAAATTCGTCAATGTCGACATCGCTAGCGAGTCCGTAAGTTGGATTAGTCATCTAGCGTTGCTTTCTCATTCTATCTCACGGACTCGCTAGCAATGTCGATTCCATCGACGAATTCGTTAGCCATTTGTTTACAGGCTCAGCATAGATTAAAGAAGTCCTAATTCTACATATTACCTGCAGCTATTATAATATATTCAGGATATTTATTACACTATATATTATCTTTTTATCTTGAATTTATGACTATTATAAACGGAATTTAAAATTGAAACTGACATCAACACTAGTACACATTGATATAGGAACTTATCTATCTGGTTCTACTTACCTTTTACTTTCAGTTAGGTAATGTAAACATCCCTTGATCATGTATTTGACATGGGCCTCTTTTAACAATATACGGATGCTTCTGATGGCTTTTATGCCTGTTGTGATATTTTATCTGATATGGTTGGTTAATACTTCTGAAGGAATACGTAGTGAAGAAGGAACGCTATTAGATCTTGTTTGTTGGCCAGACGGTAATGCTATACCCGTAATTATAGCATGTGGATCTATTATTGCTGTCGTAATAGAGGCATGTATTTACTTGATGTTATTTATATAGATACTTAAATGTAATAAGGGGAAAAGGATTGTCAGTAATGGAGTCTAACAGCTCTATTGCTGAAAATATACCCTATCAGGTCAACCTCCACGAGGTTCTTTTTGGAAACCATTGTGGTTAGTTCTTGTGAAATTTGTCATGATGGGTTAACTGGTCTGCTTTCATCATCACCCTACCACAACAAAAGTTTTACAGTCTACAGATAACTAAACATACGTTCGTGTTCATGGCACTTGCCACGAACGGTGATTATTTAATCACCGCAACTCGAGAAAGCTTGCAATATCACTTAGGACTTGATGATACTAATTTTATTATCATATTAGCCGGAACACAGCCTGCACACAAGATACATAGTGACAGAATTATTATATGAGATAATGATTCAAAGGTATACATAGAAATAACTTTGTAACAATACAAAGTCTACTGCTGATCTGGTAAAATCTAAAATTTTTTTTACAACACGGGGCAAACGAGCATGCGGCTCACCTGATGGTAAGTGACTAAATTGTGTTATTGTTATAAACTATTGTATTATTATTTTTCTTTTATAATTAAAGCTTTACGGATTGTACCAATTGTTTAGAGCTGGATTATCCAAGAAGGAATTCAACGTTACCAACGGCCTTTATTATTACATATGGGCACTGATTGTAATGATAATTATATTTCTCGCAATTATGTTTTATTCAGGACTTCAGTCAACTATTATCAGAGGTATTTTAAAATTTTCATTTCCTAGTGTATCTGTCACAATAATAATATACATATATGTAATTAGTGCCGCCATCACGTTACGAAATCTTGTATTATGAGAAACGAATATCTGGGGGCACAACCCAGTACACCTAAAACCTATTCAATTAAGGATACGAAGTTTCTTAAATTGGTGCGACCGAGAGTTGAATCTGGGACTAACTGCGCCACGGAAATTTTTATTATCGACCTTAAGTCAACTAGCATCACTTCATCATTTGCTATCGTTTTCTATATGTAAAATAAGCCATTTTGTTAGAAAGTTTTAGCGTTATCCCGTTCCCAGTAAATGTGTATCTAACAATCTCGTGTAGTCATAGTTGGCTATACTTATGTAAGGTTTTCATATAAAGAAACATAATTTGTGCATTGGCGTACAGGGTGGCCCATAAGTCCTTAGTAATGAAAAAAATTAATTAAATACACAATAAATAAAAAATTAATTACACTATGAATAATATTTTTATTTGTAAATATAGCTAGAAAAACGGGAATTATTTTTTGTAAATAACGTCGTCCAAATGTAATCCGTTACAGTCACGGCACTCTTGCAAACGCCTTCTGAAATTGTCGATGACTGCGCGGCAATGCTTGCCATTTCTCTGCGGATGTTTTCTTTTAGGTCATTAATTGACCGCGGGTTAGAGTCGTACACTTTAGCCTTAAGGTAGCTCCACAAAAAAAATCCATTGGAGTCAGATCCGGGCTACGTGGTGGCCAGGAAATGTCTCCTCTCTTAGAGATAACTTTGTTTGGAAAAAGTTGACGGATAACGGGCATAGCAGTGTTAGAGGTGTGGGAAGTTGCTCCATCCTGTTGAAACCATGTTCGGGCATTAAAGCCTGGAAAGTTTTGCAATTTTTGTGTGAAAAACTCCTCGATCATGGCCACATATCGCTCCGAAGTAACAGTAACAGCACGCCCTCTGCCGTCCTCAAAAAAGTAAGGCCCTATGATGCCATGGGCTGACATAGCGGCCCAAACTGTAACTTTAGGGCTATGTAAGGGCTTCTGGTGCTTAAGTTTTGGATTAATCGGGCTCCAATAGTGGCAATTTTGTTTACTAACATGTCCGTTAATGTGGAAGTGTGCCTCATCAGAGAACATTATGTTATTGAACGAAGTAAACCGATTAAACATTTCATTAGCATAATTCACTCTCTGAATAGCATCAGTTTCTTTTAATTCTTGCACCAACTGAATTTTGTAAGGGTGCATAAGTAAATCTTTCTTCAAAATCCGTTGTAACGATGTCCTGGATACGTTTAATGCACTGGAACGCTTACGAGTTGACTGTGTAGGATTTTCACAAATAGATTGTGCCACTGTGTCGATGTTTTGTTCCGTACGTGATGTCCTTGGGCGACCCAACCGCGGTTTATCTAACGTCGAACCGGTCTCCTCGAACTTAGCAACCCAATTCTTAATCGTTTGGAGAGCTGGGGTGTCATTAAAGTTGTGTAAACCTTTGTGTTCTCGAAATTTACGCCTCGCAACGGTTGCCGAATTGTTGTTTTGATAAAACTCGCACACACAAAACGCACGGTCCACTCCGGTGAAACGCTCCATCGCGACTAAATTCCCAGAAACCGAAGTTACTGCCCCCGCTTCCCCTGCACCGCTCATGCGCGCCGTTTTCGTTTAATTCAAATTTTACTTTTCTAAGGACTTTTGGGCCACCCTGTATAATACTACTGATACTACACACGTCCTAGAATTATGTAGTGCCCACCATAGGTCCAATAATATCTTCATTATTAGGACCATTTTTAAAGGAGCAGGCTCCTCTGAAAAATAATCTTAAATACGTCAAGGCATATAAGCAAAATGTACCTACATTATGCGTAATTAAAAATTATGTTAGGAAATATGGTGTCCCGCCAGAATTCTGAATTTCGAGTAACGGAAATCTGACCAAGAAACCTTGATTTTGAGGTAAACTTGTGAATGTGATTTCTTATTTGTAGGTAATTTATTTACTCTATATCTATATATTATAGGCAAATCGACATTGTTAAAAATCATTATTTATCATGTTATTATAAACACGTACATAAAAACCACGGTTGCTTATTAATGGGGAATAGGTACAGAATAATTGAAACACCAAAAGAGAACTTTGTATGAATCGTCTATGTGGGTACCTCTGTTCCACCCATATTTCTGTCGTGAAGTAACTGTATTTTGCAAACCAAATAAAAACACAAACAAAAAGAAAAAAAAGACGAAGGAATGGAATACACAGTGAAATTATAGGGTATGCGTGTTACCAGTTTTCAAGAAATGGCAATATCCTTATGTAAGAATGTATTCTGTGACGTCATTGAGTCATAAATCTGGCATTCTTTATAGTATGTTATAAAGGGTTTTACAAGATATAATTCGATAGCACCATTGGTCGTATATTCTGTGAAGTCTATGGTGTTGTTCATATACTTATTAAAAAAAGAAGTCCATAAACGGGAGAGTTATGCGTATGCGTACTAAGTAGGTACTACATTTCTAATAAGTACGCATTTCACTTGCTCACTTCTCTTACTAATAACTTTCAATAGATATTAATTTGTATGAATATAACGTCTAGCCAAAATAAAAGGAGGTATAACCAAGGCGATGCTACGGTATGCCAGTCACTTGCCGTCCAAGGTGGCTATAGATCGGTTACAGACAAGGTTTCACTGCTGCGGCCGTGTCAACTTCCAGGAGTGGTTTTATATACCCTGGTACACGACTGGAGAGATTGTTGATGCGAATACTTTGTAAGTAAATAATAATTTATGAACTTTACGTCTTTACATACTAGACATAAATTTTGGTACAAGTATATTTTTTTATTGTTCATTAAAATAGAACTATGCTATCGATATCACTGGCGGGGCAGCAGTGAGGGATGTTAGGTGAGAATAAAGTTAGATCAGTTAATTTATCGTGACGAATTCTACAAGAATTAATCACGATAGTTTTAAGGGTGACGCGTGGAGGTCGACCTGATAGACCAGCTATTGCTAGCAATGGGACTATTGTACCCCATTACTAACAATCCCTTGCCCCCTTCATAGTGGCATTTGCAGTATTACATCTCCATGTTTTGATAAAGCGTCATGATATCGTTTAAGAGACTCAGGTTTGCTGGTAGAAATGTTTTCTTTAATTTGTCAATTTTTAATGTATAATAAAGAATAAGGAAATGACAAACCACTGAAATAGAAAAAAAAAATCTATACAGAGTCTAGACCAGCTAGTGCGGTTAGTAAGTAGGTCTGTTAAGGGAGAAATCCAATGGATAATATTGTATAAAACTTACGACTGTGGAAACTTGCCTAGAGCCACAATGATGAATTTTGTGCAAACTTCTAGTGAAACATAATAAATGCTCTTGTTAGTCATAATTATTGGTAATATCTATTCATTGCAGTAGATCGAGTCCCAAGTTTGTTGCTGATAACGTGCCTTACAGTTGCTGTTCAATGGATGTTTTATGGCCGTGCATACATCACAGGGTTACCCAAGTTGGGACTATTTATAAGTATAATCCTTCTGTACGTTTATTTGCAACAGTTTTTACATATACTTGTGTACATAGTTGTATATCAACACAGAAACTAATCTCTAGTGTGAATGAGCATTTTTTACATAATCTGCGCATTTGTTGATTGTATATATCTAAAATGTTCAAAAACAATTTTAATAAAGATAATTTTTCGATTTATTTTTTAACATTTTATCAATTCACGTATCTGTATTCTATGCAGGTTTTTTTTGATCGGTGAAAATAGTATGGTAACCCCGCCTGCGCTAACGGGATACGCTGGCGGTGCACCAGTGAAGGGTGATAGATGAGAATGAAAACAGGCCAGTTAGCCCATCATGATGAATTCAACAGGAATTAACCATGATAGTTTCCAGGGAGAACGGCGAGGAGGGTCGACCTGGTTGGGTATATTGCTAGCAATGGGATTCTCAGTCTCCATTACTAACAATCTCTTTCCCCCCCCATTCTATGCAGGTATACATACATATCTGTCACGCCTGTCTCCCATTAGGGTAGGCAGAAACAATGGAACGCCAAATGCTTCGATTCAAACAAACCTCTTTCGCTTCTTCCATATTCATCAATCTTGTCATACACGCTCGCCGGTTACGGGTACTTTTAATTAGGCCCTTCTTCAGCACGTCGCCTATTTGGTCGACATACGTCCGTCTAGGGCGGCCCGTACCGACATCTCCATTCATTCTTGTCTATGCAGGTATAGTGGTAGCAAAAGCAAGAATACATCAAGTCTAATCCGTTGTCAGAATTTCAAAGTCTACCCATTAAAATATACTTATTTTGATGGGTATATAGGTATTAGTAGGTATGCATTAAACTAGTAATGATCTTGGTATATATTATTATATTATTTCACTACTTGCGTTGTAATTCGGACCAAAAGGTTGTGTCACTCGCAAGTGCATAGTTGTGAGCATTACATTTAAAATAACATAAAATTACCCTTAAATTTTTTTAAGTGTACCAAACTTGTAAATAAAAAGAATATAGTGCAATAAATGTACAAAATGGATACATGGCTCATGACAGAAAAATAAGGGAATCATTATTTTTACAGAAACAACTAACAATATGGAAGGCAGGTTGTGAAGAAAAACTAATAAGCGAAATGATGTCGGTATCATGGCGATTCAATGCCGTTATGGCTTTAATAATAATTGCTATGGTAATTTATTTGCATTTCTAAGTAATCGCCTTTATAATTGAAATCTGATATGTCCCACGCCCCTTTGTCCTATGGGTCTCGTAAGAGGAGACTAAGGGAATTAGTCGTAATAGTTGAGGGATGGGCTGCAGCGCGGTCCCTATTAAAACATGACCAAAACCTAGTTGCGGTTACCAATCCGTCTGCCAAGCGTGGCAAAACCCCCCAGGGGGCGGCAAATGTCCAGCGGTGGACAGTTAACGGTATATCAGCCGTTAATAATAATAAATGAAAATATTGGTACAGACCAACGGTACGGATTGATGTATAACTATGTATAACAATAGTGTCGAACAATTATAGTAATTAACAAACCTTCGAGCTAGGGCATTTTGTATATGAGAAACTTGATGATCACCTGAGAATGTAACCTAGAACATCTCAAGAAAATTCAGACAATAATTGTTTGGATGGAAAATCGAACACAAGCAAGCAAGCAAATTTGAGCTTATGCTGTTATGTACAAAGAAATTGCGTACCTACCCTCTTCACTTTGTGTTTTATTGTAATTGATGTAATTTTTTTATGTATTTAATGAATTGCATCCGTGAATTTTTCTACTAACATTTTTTAATATTATTATTATTTCATCCGTTAACTGTCCACTGCTGGACATAAGCCTTCTTCACAAGGAGAATTTTGCCAGTAGTTGCCACGCTTAGCAGACGGGTTGGTAAACGCAGTTAGGCTTCTACTAACATTTAATCTACATTAATTATTAGCAACGAATAGAAAGTTGATAAAATATTAATTCTAGTAAGGTGTCTATAATCATACTAGTAGGTATAGGTACTCTGCGGCGTGATGATACGGTGTTTACAATAAATTTATATACTTAATAAATTAATAATGCTATTTAACCCCTACAGATACTTCAAGTTATCGCAGTACGCTATCTTCATACTGCATATCGGAGTGGCTTGGACGTTGATAACAAGATAATATGCAATGCCTATTTACTGCGCTCTCAAACCGATTCAGAGTCACAGCCAAATAGCTTTATAAATAAAAAGAAAGTGTTCAGAAAGAAGAAGCTAAAACAAGCACGCACTCTGCAATGGGTGACTGCTACATATGGACCACGGAGGAAGAAGTACATGACCTCGTCCGCTTCGGATATCAACAGTTCCGATGAGTTGTTGAAACCTATATATGAATGAATAAATTATATTTTACGTAAATAATTTAATAATACGTACATACATTCACATTTGCCACGTCTCTCTCCTATTAGGGTAGACAGACACAATGGAATGCCAAATGCGTCGATTCAAAGAAAACTCTTTTTCTTGTTCCATATACATCAATCTTTTCATACACTAATTAATTTAATAATAAATATGTTTTATTGTAATAAGATAAAATAATATAATATGGGATGCAAAAGTTAATATGTTGTAAAGATATATCAAAATCAGTATGGATTTGAATATTGTGGTAACGTAACGAGAATAAAGGTAAATTGAGAACCTGCTCCTTTTCGAAGTCGTTTCAAAACTTACGTCAAATAAATATGTAACTGAAATATAGATATATCAAATAATTTATAAGTGAAACAAAGTTATAATTAAATAGGAATATTATTACACTTATTGAAGCACCTGTTGTATAATACAATGTAAATTATCTACAACTATTAACATACAAAGTAACAATGGATCAGATAATAAGAAATAAATATTTAAATAGCGTTTCTTATTATACATAAAAATCATAAGTTATTAATGCAAACCAATGCAAAACTTTCTAATAATATAATAGTGAGTCTAAGGATAAATGTACAATTGAAAATGCCATATTTGGTGTATTGTTAATACTTGAATGGAGATACTTATATTTCATACAGGTAAAGGTAAGTTTGAAATGCATACTTTTTTTAAATAAGATATAATCAGAACTAAATTAATACATAAAATATTGAGTGGGCTAATTATATTGGGAAATTATAAAAATCTATTTATCATCCATGAATTTATGTATTTTTTCTGGTTCAGACAGTTCTTTCAAGCGATGAAGGTTATTCCACCATAGTTTGAGTCTATGTCGACGAATCATATTGAACCATGGAGTAATTGGGCCCTCTAAAGTTGGTATAAATCTGTAAAATGAAAACATATATATTTGAAATTTATTAAAAATATATCTTGACATATATAATTAGTAAATATATACACCAATAAAAGAATCTTTTCTGTATGACCATTCTTTAGTTTGTGAGAAAAATCTTGTTGATAACAAGTTGCAAAAATAGAATCAAACTATTATACATATTAATACTTACGCATTGAATTCATTCTTGGGTATGAAACAATATTCGGAAATTTCATCAGGATTGGGTTTAATTTTCACATCATTCTGGAAGAACAACACATAGTCGATTTCGTGTTCGCCCCAGACACCATCACCAGGGTCGTGGTAGTGGATACGAGTTAAGAATGTGAACAAATCTGGATCCATCTAAAAATGTTATAATAATAAAAGTAAATAAATGAGTAGCCATTATATATATTACATCAGGTATTTAGTTTCTAACTATCTAAACAAAGTTTTTTTTTTTTTTTATTTTTATACAACTTTGAATGGCAAACAAGCTGACAGCCCACCTGATGGAAAGTGGTAACCGTTGCCTATAGACATGAGCAGTACATTTGTACTGTATACTGAGCTGTGGATACTAAACAATAATATCCATTTATTTCAGGCATTAACTGACTTATATATTGTACCAAATATCAAAATATAGAATCTGCATTGGTAAGTTCTATGGGTAAATTTAGTGCAGCCCTTTTTGTACTACAGAGAGGACATTTTAATCTTGGTTTTTGACAGAGAAAAAGTATTATGAGGAGCTGTCATTTGTCTGCTCATGTAGATATTATCTTCAAACTAAGAATATTTTGTTATCTTGCAATAATTTGATCACACCAGTGTATACTATTTGACATGGTTATTTAGAATTTGGCATTTTTTTTTATTATTTTGTATCTCATTTTTGGAATATAATATTATGTTAATGTGAAGGAGAGAATGTATGTGAGTATGTTACAAATTGTTGATTGGACCAGTTTAATATTTATATTACAAATATAATTACCTGCTCTAAAGGTATACCCAATTCATGATTGAGTTTCCGGCGCGCAGCTGTGATTATGTCTTCTGGTTTGTTATCAATGTATAATGGATGACTGCAGCACGCATTTGAATAGTAATCTGGATATGTTACCTAAACAGGTAAAAGATGATCTATATATAGTTTTAAGCTAACATATTTTCAACTGGGGATTATAGCTTGTTTCACTATTGCATTTCCTTTTGTTGTTTTAGGTTTAAGTTGCTAGGTACTACATTTTATAATAATACATTAATATTTATATAAAAAACAGATATTTTTAACTTAATGATCACATAGATAAAATGTAAAAAAAAAAATTACCTTTTGACTTGATCTTCTTTGCAGCAGCATATCTCCTCTTTTGTTGAAAAGAAAAACACTAAATGCTCTGTGGAGCAATACACTGCCATCTGGGGCTACTCTATGACAGTCTCTCTTACTAGCAGTACCAATGAAATTGTCCTTTTCATCTACTAGAAGGCACATGTCTTTATCTAAGTATTCCGCCTAAAATATAAATAATAATAATGTTTTTTTATTAAAAAAATAACCATAATAAAATGTAAAAGTTAGAAAAGATGTTTGAATGTTTCTTATTTAATCATGCCCAAACAACAAAATGGATTTGGATGAAATTTGATACACAGATCATATTATTGATCAACATAAAGGATATCCATGTTGCCGTATGATTCTGGCATAGATTAGGTCACCTCTTTCTTTCCTGTGGGTGTTGTATGAGGCAACTAAGGAAACTTAATGGTAGAGGGATGGGCAGCAGTGTCTTTTAAAACATCACCAAAGCCTAATTGCAGTTGCCAAGCTGACTGACAACTACTGGTAATAAAAGAGTGGTAATTATGTTCAGCAGTGGACAGTTTATGACTGACTTAATGATAATGTCTGTATTTTGTTTGTACTGCTAAAGTCACTAATAATACCTATTAAAGTATGTATATATGTATTTTTTTTTACCACTCTTTATCAGGCCCACCTGATGGAAAGTGGTAACTGTTGCCTATAGACATATAATGTATAAAGTAAGTTCTTTAAATATGTTGCTAGTAATACTTGGAAAGTAGTAAAACAGGAGTAACAAAGATGCTCATGAGATATCCTTTGGCTATTTTAGAATTTAGACAATAGCAAAACCCTACTTAATGTTAACTGAATTCAGAAAATATGTAAATTGTTTCAAACTAATTATTGCTTTTTAGGACTAATAATATGGTGAATTTAAAAATAACCTATGTATAACATAGGTCTATGTAATTATAAAAGTTGTGTTTGTTATTAGGCATGAAACAAAAACCAACTTACCTGAATTGGATCAACTCCATCTTTGTCTTTCTCCTCAGCTTGAGGTTTCACAGGTTCTGTAGCTAAATATCTCGTTTCCATACTTATTGTGCTCCACAGAGACCTTGTAAGTCTCCGTGCCAACATCTGAAATAAAAATATTGGGTAAAATTTTAATACACCTTTATAAAAGTTGCATATGTATTCTCAGATGTCTTTGTAATCCTCGTTTGCATCCTGGGATGGGTACTAGACAATTCTGGGATAGGCACGATGCATCCTCCTATGCAAATAACTCGGAATGCTAGCTTACATCTTTAATAAATACGTTAAAATCTGGAACTTGGATGTTGTTCTTTTTACTTATAATAATTGAAAGTACAACGTAAATGATTAATGTGAAATTTATTGTCAGGACAGACGCAATCAGGAAGAGGAATGTAACAAAAAAGTCAAATTCTGCTCACCTTTGCAAATAAAAAAATTAAATTACAAAATTAATTAGTCGTCATATGAATAACGTGACATGAACAGATTTAATGCTTTTCTTTTCAGTTTGTTGCAATAAGTTGTCAAGAGCTGTCACGGCTGTCACTGTCAATCTGTCTAGTGAAATCTTTGAATGTATTAAGAAAGACAGGCAAATGAACAAAGCCATAGGTTTATTTTCAGTAGAAAGTTTGTATTTCCATGTTTTAACAAGGCAAAGTTGCCATTTACTGTCGCTATCTTTACCAAAATCTTTACATTGCCATTAGATGTTCAGTCTGTTAGGCATTCTATTTTCTTTTTGACTCAAAAAAAGAGAAGGTTCTCGATTCGGTTTTTCAATTTGGCGTTTTACAGTAACTTTAACTTTTTCTAGTAATTTTAAAGATTCTTTTTTCCGTACATGTACTTATTTGCTGTCATAATTGATAAGGATAGAAGTACTTACTAATAATAATAATTATATGTAGTTATGTATACGCTTAAGTTTCTCTAGTTCTTTTTGTTTGAAAATTGTCACAATATTATATACTTACCCGCTGACATTGATGCTCCTTTTCACTTTAGGTTTGTTGAAAGAGAACTCTTAGAGTTAAGGTTGCCTTTAGATATTTACTTACCTGTGTCAGATTTTTTATGTATTATTAGTTTGTACAATAAAGTATAAAATAAATAAGGCATATTATTCTATTTGGGGTGGGGAAGGACAGGTTTTATCTTGGTCACGAAGAAGAAGCCGCAGGTACACACTAGCATTCTATAGAAATACGTATAATATAGATAGCTAATATGAACACGACAGGTTCAAAGTAACAGACATCCATCTATTTAAACAACTTATAAACTTTCGCTGTATAATATTAATAGGATTTTTTTATGGATGATAATGTAGCGGTAATCCCGCTTGAAGGGTCGGACTGAGCCGGAAGGGCTCAGGTGGCTGAGCACAAGCTCGGTGTCCGAGACTAGATGATGGTAGTTACACTAGTTGGTAGCGGCACTGCAAGCCCTGCAAGCTAGGCCCGTAAGTGGGCTTATGCAAGCTAGGGCCCGGCTGGTAAATGCCACTTCGACTATATGGCCAGTCCGACTCTGCCCGTTTGCGCTCACGGTATAGGCTGGCTGGGCATTTGTGAAGGGTGATTGGTGAGAATGAAAAGGCAGGTTAGTTAGTCTATCGTGATGAACACACCTAGAATTCAGCACGATAGTTTCCAGGGGGAACAACGTGGACGTCGAGTTGCCAGGGTATATTGCTAGCAATAGGACTCGTAGTCCGTATTACTAACAATCTCTTCATCCCTATTAATAGGTTTTTTTTTAAAGAGTGATAATGGAATGGTAACCCCGCCTGCGCTTCGTTATACGCTAGTGGGGCACCAGTTAGGGACGATAGATGAAAATGAAAAGGCAGGCCAGTTAGCCCATCGTGGCGAATTCCACTAGAATTAAATACGACGGTTTCCAGGAAGAACCGCGTGGAGGTTGACCTGATAAGGTATATTGCTAGCAATGGGTCAGTTAGACCCCATTACTAACAATCTCTTTTCCTCCCTTTTAATAGGATTAGTAGAATATAGGTAGATATTTGGTACTCCCAGAAAGGGAGTCGTTTTATTTTTAATGCATTAGGTAAATCTATTTTTAAATTCAACGCGCTTATCCTACTTTCCTTTCTCAGGAAGTGAGTTGGGCAAAAATAGACTAGTCTACCCGTATATTGCATTAGAAGCTGTATATTTGAATCCGTCGTCGTCTTATAAGGTGATATTTTGAAGCAAAGTAACGTTAAATTTGTTATACGACATGTCTAATGTTAAATTGGCAATAAGAGTTAGACCATTTAGTGAAAGGTGAGAAGTGTCATGTTTGTGTATTTAGTAAATAATAATAATTAGCTTATAAGAATAATCCCCGCCGTTCAATTTTGGCCAAATCTTAATTAAAATTAAGATTTGGCCAAAATATTTTTTATATATATGTTTATTGTTTGATTATAGAACATTTGATGGTTTTACGATTTTAAAATATTTATTGTTGTTAACTTTTGCAATAAAAATATTTCTAAGAGTCTTTTATAATGTTATTCTTTTTCAGCGTAAGTATTTTATTCTGAAATTTTACTTTAATATTATATTTCGACCTTGCAAATCAGTTGTCTGGTATCAAAAGATCCATCTAAAACTTTTTATTTAATCTTCTTACTTTTTTTATGATAGATAGCTACCATTTATTGTTTCCTGCATAAGATTACAATAGCAAATTTATTATAAATACAAACAATTATAAGAATATATTAAACTAATAAAAAAATGGACGGCATTATCGCTAAGAGCGATCTTTTCCAGGCAACCTTTGGATAGAGAAGAGTAATTTAATGATGTTTGTGTTAACATAAACTTTCAATTTCAGTCGTCTTCCAAAAGCACTAGAAATATTTAATTAAAATTACAAAAACGGTTATTTTTCAATTGAAATGAAATCAAAATCTTTCTTTGTTTGTTCCAAATGAATATTATCATTTGTTGAAAACATCTTTACATATAACAGATTTGACTGCACTATTGAAAATTTGGTACATAAATGCTGAAAGTTTTTTTTACCGCAAAGATAACGAGTTTGTTTTTTTTTTATATATGTAAGGCATCTTTACCAAGAAAATAGGCACATTTAGGTTTATATAGGTTTCTTAACTATAACATATTAATATAATAAGTAACCTAATATAATACTAGGTCACTCAGAAAGTATTGCGAGAAAGTGTTTTTATGTATAATATGTGCGACGGGCCAGTTATAATTTATTTAAAAATATGATTACTTACCATATAAGTAAAAAAATTAAAACTTCCCTCCATTTTTTGCGAGCTAATTAAAATTATCGTGCCTCATTGAAAAATGGATTTGCGTCGAGAACATTTTCGCGCTATGATTTTTTACGATTTTAAGTGTCGCCTGAAACCGGACGAATTGTACGATAGACTTCAAATGACATTCATGGATGAAGGCTTTTCTAGGGCAACCGTGTATCGTTGGTATAATGAATTTAAGCGCTGTCGACTAACTTTGGGGGATGAAGAAAGAAGTGGTCGCCCTTTGATAGCTGTTAGGGAAGAAAACGTGCTAGCAGTGAAAAATTTGATCCAAGACAATAGACGAGTTACATACCAAGAGATTCAGCATATACTACAGACTGGATCAGGAAGCTTTCACGAGATTCTACACGTGCATCTACGGGTGCGGAGGATAGTTTCACGCCGGGTGTCGCACCTCCTTACCAATGTTCAGAAGCAGGCAAGGGTGGAATGGTGCCATGATATGATAGACAAAATTTGAAGCAGGCTTGTCTCGGCGTGTTTACGATATCGTTACAGGTGATAAATCCTGGATTTATCAATACGATCAAGAAACAAAGCGTCAGTCGACGATTTCTGTGTTTCAAAACGAAACGAAACCAAAGAAGCATTAACGCCGAATGGTATACTACCAAATGCTTGGCAGAAGTTTTCTCTGTTGTCAGCAACAAGCGACCAAACACAGGGCTCCGCGGGCTACTGCTCCACCACGATAATGCGTCCGCTCACACCGCAATCAAAACGAAGGACTTCCTAGACAGCACACCGGTCCAACTCCTGGGTCACCCTCCTTATATCCCTGACTTAGCACCGTGTGACTTCTTCTTATTCCAAAAATAAAAAAATCAGCTCTAAGGGATATAATTTTCGTCGCCGGATGATGCACTCTCTGCGTTCGAGCAGGCTGTAAGCGAGGTGTCTGCGGCGGACTGGAAAAAGTGTCTCGTAAACTGGTTCAGACACATGAAACTTTGTATAGAGGATGATGGAGAGTACTTTGAAAAGATGTAATAAAAATATATTTACCTATAGAACAATTTTTTTTAGTGTCGCAAAACTTTCTGAGTGTCCCACGTATATAATCTGTTATTCGTAAAAACGTCAAGCCTTATCCAGACCTATTTTAGAATTGGAAAGATAATTGACAAAAAACTGTAATAGTTAAAATAGGTTTGTAGGACGTTTTACAAATAAAGGGATAAGTATATTACTTATATATTTCATATTATGAGAATGTTTTAACTTACAGAGAACTTAAATCGGAGAAGGATCGAATTCCGGTAGTGACTGTCGTTGACTACAATACAGTTACGATCACCAATGTTAAAGTAATTAACTTCGTTTATGATTTTTTTGCTAGTATGTAAGTATACAATATCTTAATTGACATGTTAAATGTCTGTTTGTTTGTTAGGCTATCACGTCTAAACTGCTCACTCGATTATGACAAATTTTAGTATAGAGATAGATATGACCTAGGAGACGGTTATAAGCTACTTTTGTTCTCGATCAGTGAATATACCTAGGACATGGACGAAGTCCCGGATAAAGTAAAAAAAAAAATGGTTCAATGATAACCGCATTACTATAAAAGGGTTGGATCGATTTAGTTAAGATTTTTTAAATGCAATATTTCGGTGTGGTGTTCAGGTGAAGATATAATTCGGAATTGATCGGAATGGATGAAATTGATCTGAAAATGCAAAGCTAAAAGGCCCACTCTTAAGGAGTTTCCTAATGGAATGTGTATATCAACAGAAGAACTAAAAGTAACCGATGTTAGTTCGAAAGATCAGTGCATTGGCATTTTTTTTATTGTTCTACATTTTGAAAAGTTTTTTATACAGTGTATTTGTGTTATTTCAAATATAGATAAAGTAGTATTTTAGGTATATAATTCGACGTTACAGGTAAGTGTTTCGGGCGCTGGCGACAGTCGGGAGAGAGTACGCCGTTACTACGCCGACTACACTTTCGATAGTGCGTGCCCAGTTACCAATCCCACTTTCGCAAATCAAGAGACGGTACGTTTTATTTATGTTGAAAAAGAACCTAAAAAATTTCAATTATAGAGTCAACAATTATGAATTTATTGTAAATATTACATGGATGTCAAATAACATAATGATTGGTTGATTCTTTAAAGTACCAAGAGGTAACAAACAAACAAATTTTCCCATTTATAATATACTAGTAACTGACACTGCATTTGTACGTTTTTTTTAAATAAAGTACTCCCACATTACTCATGATAATGTAAATAAATTCTATGGGTAAAATAATTTTTAAATTGATTATGTATTTTTTGAGTTTATCTATTACAAACATAAAGAAATCTTATTTCTTAATAATATTAGTTTAGAAATAAGGATTGTTGTTCACTAGGTTACTTTTTATCAAGAAGGCCGACGACGACTTGTTTGTTTTTCTAAGTTTTCGTATCACATTGCATTAATTAAAGTGCAATAAATTGTAAAATAAATAAATAAGTTGTAAAAAATTATAATGATATGTAAATTTTTCTACATTAGTCTTTTAATGTTTTATGAACATTACTTACAGATATTCGAGACAATCGGACAGGATGTGATCCGCAGTGTCTCAAGAGGATGTTCAGCTTGCGTGCTTGCTTATGGTCAGAGCGCTACTGGCAAGACTTATACTATGATGGGCACTTATACCCAACCTGGGCTGGTACCTCGACTGTGCACAGCTCTCGCTGAACTGCAGTCTTTCGATCTTACTGTCAGGTAGGTATCTAATATAACGTCATGGAGTATTTTAAATATTCGGAATGTAACAATAGCGACAGATTGCGATGTTATCATCTATAGGAGATGAACTTACGTAAATAGTTTTTTGTAGAGTGTTATGGGGTCAGGAGTCTTAATATATACTTGTACATAGATACACGACTATATGCATGTGCGTACGTGTTAATGTTTAATGGATAATGTATTTTCTTTTTGTTTTTTAACATATATATTTTTACAAAATATTTTAACACTACATATTAATGACAGTACAACGTAGATTATATATATACGTATATACATTATGCTAATTTTTAACACTTTATTTTCTTCGGGTGGGTTGTTTTCTATCTACATTGAATAGCAATAAAGAGTGGCGCCGTTATTCCCGAGTCCAAGGCCCCAGCGACACGCAATCGCTTAGCACCCTTTTCTGTGTAATCATCACGGGTTATCTTGTAGCTAATATCGCAATACCAATACAATTCTAAAGCTATCTCAAATCTAACATTGGTGGAAAGGTAGGTAGGTACTTTGCTGTTTTTTGTCAACAAGATTGCACAAACAAATGGTAATTTTCCATTAATCTTAGGTATTTAATTTCTAGAAATTATAAATATATCATAACAATAATTTATTAATGTTCTGTGTATGGATTTCGGAATTATCATTTCAGACTTTGATTGAAATTTAGTCGATATTATACAGAGGTTAGTCCTGACTGAAAGCGGGTTGAAATAGAATGGCCGTAATGTAAAACACGTTGAAAAAGTAGTAATTTTGAGTTACAGCGAATCTTAGGATTTCTAAATTACACCTCATGAATACATTGTATTCTATTCCTAATATAAATGTGAAAGTTTGTATGAATGGTTGTTGACTATTTTAAGCAAAAATTATGAATGATATTGATTGAGATTTGATACCGATAGGTTTAATATCAGCACGATTTAAAAGTAGAATTGAAGTTTTAGAAAGTAGAGATTCATCATAATAATATTGTTTAAAATTTTAATAATTAATTAATTAATACTAACATTGCAGTTGCAGATACTTTGGAATCTGTTTTCACTAATATACTAGTTATAATAACTCAATCATTAAACTTGTCCGCATTTCCAATAGAAACTTTACTTACAGAATCTCGTTAGCTAGTATATTAAAGGCAAGCCATGAAATTTGTTTATTTTTAAATGTATAATTTATGGACATATTATAAAACGTTTAAAGCACTTAATAATAAAAAAAGAAATAAACTAAAGATCTATGGGGAATATCTGTTAAAATTCTTGGTAGTATATGTGAAATTATTGCACTGTACTTTTGCTTTTATTTTTAATAAATTTAATAGATGATTGATGATTTTAATTTAATGAAATTTAATAAAATTATATCGCTTTTTAAAGATGGAATTAAAAGAGATTCAGTAAACTATAGGTCCACTTCCATTCTTCCCGTACTAAGTAAAATCTTTGATTATGTACAATTACCAAGGTAATTATTATAATTTAAACGAATTAATTCATAATAGTCAATTTAGTTTTTTAAAGGGTGATCAGCTACGGATGCAGATGTGGAGTTACTAAGACACATTTTTTCTACCTGGAAAAATAAAAAAGATGCTATTAGCATTTTATGTGGTCTATCTAAAGCCTTTAAAAGTGTAGATCATGATCCAAAGCTAGTCTTTTAAGCAATGCGCTTAAAAAACCAGCTTATTAAAGATAATGCTTAAACTTAATCAAATCATATCTGTCAGACAGCAAACAAGTTGAAATAAATTACGTTATATCTAACGGGTTTCTTGTTCGAATACGAGGTTTGTCCGGAAAGTACGTATAAAAGTTTTTTAAAAATTTTATTTTACAATTATTCAGGTAAATCAATTTTATCCCCTTCAAAGTACTCCCCCTGTGACATAATGCACTTGTGCCAACGCCGTTTCCACTGTGAGAAGGCTCCTTGAAAGTCCTCTGGTTGTAGGTTTCTCAGCTGCCCCGTCGTAGCTTTTTTTATCTCATTTATGTCCCCCAAATGCCGCCCCCGAAGTACCAATTTGGTTTTTGGGAACAAGAAGAAGTCACACGGGGCCAAATCCGGCGAATAGGGGGTGTTCGGTCACCGTAATGGAATTTTTACTCAAAAACTCACGGACAACAAGAGAGGTGTGGGCAGGGGCATTGTCGTGGTGAAGAATCCAACGCCCCTCTCGCGCCAATTCTGGACGAACTCGTGCCACACGAGCTTTGAGGCGTCTGAGCACATCGACGTAGAATTTTCCATCAACTGTCTGGCCTGGAGGGACGAATTCTTGATGGACAATCCCCCGAACATCGAAAAAAACAATCAACATTGTCTTGACATTTGAGCGGGATTTTCTTGATTTTTTTGTTCGTGGTTCCCCGGATGTCTTCCACTCTTTGCTTTCACGGCCATTCTTGCCATGTTTCGAGAGAAACTTGATTACGACGCGCTGCTCTTCAACGGAAGCGGGCTCCATGCCGACGGGGTTTCGTTAAGAGGTAACTTCACAGATGGCGTGACAAGCCAGTTCGCACCGCACGGCGGTCAGACCAGAACTGAAGCATTGTTAGGGACATAAGGAAGGGGTCCTGCGCTTACCTGGCCTCCCCACTCCTCTTTCTCGCATTCCAGAACACTTTTATACGAACTTTCCGGACAGACCTCGTATGTGTACCTCAAGTACCTCTTAGTTAGTCTATTCTTATTTTTAGTCTATAAAAATGAATGAAAAGGAAGACCTTTTGCCATGCAAGATAGATGTGGCATAGTATTTGCAGATGATACATCTTTGATTTTTAATGTTGTCAGATTGATAAAAAATAGTGGTGATTTAAATCGTATATTGCTGCGTTTCTTGTATTGGTTTACAACTAATAATCTAATGTTTAACGCTAAAAAATAAAATGTGAAACATTTCTCTCTTTTTAAAATTTACAATTATTGGAATTCTAGAATCTACTGTAAAATCAAATAATATCTCTTGATTATATAAGTTATACTGTCCTTCTTGAAATCACTCTTGATAATAAAAAATCAATAGGTTCCTTACATTCCAAATCTTGCCATTAAATTTATTGTATGGGAAGTTCGAGAGAAATTTAAAGAAACAATTATACTAACTGTAGCTTTACAATACATATACACAAACATTTTGTATATATGCAGGAATCCTCAACATTATCTCAAATGTAACTATATCAATAGATACAAATATAAACTTGCTGATTCGAAGTATCGTTTAGAAAAAGTTAATAAGCAGCAGATGTTATAATAAGACAGCGAAGGATATTTTGGATTAACTGAGATTTAAAAGAGTAACTAGCCCAACAAAAGAATCCTAAAAGACGACAAGAGACTTAAGAGAGCTCGTAAACAATTCGGTTTGAACAAAGATTGTTTTGAGTTTGAATTTGATGAATAAAACATTCAGAAAAACACAATATTTACTTGTTTTCTTGTTTGTATTGTTTACAGTGTTAATAATTTTGATATATGCGTATACATATAGATACATTATATCCTATTTTACATATATAACTCGTGCTAAAGGGCGATGTCGACAGCTCCGTTAGTAAGGCTTCACTCCGCTAGGCGTTAGTTCACCCACGTCACCCGCCCGCCCTACATTGTTCTTCAGACTCGTTCTTTTTTGTCTATAGGAAAAAAGACATAGGTAAGTTTTAATTGTTTCTTAATTTAATATGATATCAAAACACAAATGATAGAAGAGAATTCTGCCAATATTGATCTCGCATTATTTTTTATATTATTTAATATTTTTTTCATCTTGTTCCATGCTTACTATTATTAATATTATAAACTAACTACCCGACTCGATTTCGCACGGATGTACTTTCGAGGAAAATAAGACCCCCTTTTTTAAAAAACTAAATTATTTCTTTTTGTATGATTTTTCCAAATATTTCCATTCGTATAAGTACAAACCTTATTCTGGCAATTACAAATACAATAAAAAAAGGAATAAGTCAAATATGAGCAGTGATGTATTTACATAGATTCGGGAATAGATTTTTACTTATATACATGTGAAAGTAAGTTTGTTTGTTGTTTCTTCACGTTTCAACGGCTCAACTAATTGACATGAAATTTGTCAGAGCAGGTTATAGACTATTTTTATTTTAGTCAATCAACATAATCATGGTCAAGTAGACAATGTCGAGGATAAAAATTATTTATTCTTTTGCGTAAACAAAAATATGTATACAATCATTTCTATTAGTCAACTGTTTCGTTTTTGTTCAGTACATGATATTATATTTACTTATTAATTAATCTATCTACATTTATAATATATTTATACAATTCTAATGTGTCAATTTTTGTCCAAATGTATTATTTATAATTTTAGTTAAAAATATTATTAGTATGCTACTGCTAGCTACTGATCAATTTGAAGTTTGCGCTGAAACAAAATATTACTAAAGGATACAAACCACTAAATATCAGAATATAACACTAATGAAGTACCTAAATAAATGTTATTGAATAAAAATCAACCTACCTAAATAAACCTAAAAAAGTATGTCAAACAGACTGAAATTTAACGGTATCATTATCCTTTTAAATAAAACAAGAACTTTTAAAATTGGGTATACAATTGACGGAAAAATCGCCGAATATACATAACGAATACCTACATAGAGACGAACACAGAACCTTTTTTTGGAGTTGTATAAAAATAAAAAAAGTTTATTTTTATTTATGAGAGCGTGGTATTTAGATCAGAAAAGTGAATTCTAATTTGTCCGAATTGAAAAAGTTTACACCCATTTCTGTGATTCGTCTTCAGATAATTTAGGTACATAAATATTATGACATAATAAATCAATATCAAAGGAAAATTATATATGTTGTTTTTTCTTTAAAATTAATATTTCAATTAAGTTATTATTTGTATTTAAGGTCAAGGTTTACGGGACGATAATGGATTTTTTGGAAAACAAATCACGGTA